CATTGTTATGTCCCCCTTTCAATTTCTGATTTTGTTAATTTGCATGTTCTCTTTCTGCTTTTTAGTTTGGATAAAGGTTTGTCTATCTTGTTGATTTTCTCAAAGAACCAACTTTGTTACATTGATTCTTTGTATTGTTTTCTTTGTTTCTACTTCATTGTAATTTGATTATTTCATGGCATCTACTCCGGGGTGAGTTTTGTTGTTTTGTTTTAGAGCTTTCAGTTGTCCTGTTAATTGTCTAATGTGACTATTCTTCAGCTTCTTCATGTGGGCACTTAGTGCTATGAACTTTCCTCTTAGTACTGTTTTCAAAGTGTCCCATAAGTTTGGGTATGTTGTGTCTTCCTTCTCATTGAATTCTAAGAAATCTTTAAGTTTTTTATTTCTTCCTTGACTCAGGACTGGTGCAATTGCGCACTGTTCAGTTTCCATGCATTTTCTTGCAATTTGTGTTGTTGAATTTTAACTTTGAAGCATGGTGGTCTGATAAGATACAGGAGGTTATTTCAATTTTTAAAATATCTGTTAAGGTTTGCTATGTTGCCGAGTATGTGATCTATTTTAAAGAAGGTTCCATGTGGAGTTGAGAAGAACATATATTCTTTTGTTTGGATGGGATTATTCTATAGATGTTTGTTAAACCCAACTGGGTCATAACTTCCGTTAGTTCTTTTGTTTCTTTGTTAAGTTTTTGTCTGGTGGTCCTGTCCAGTGGTGAGAGTTGGGTGTTGAAGTCTCACACTGTAAGTGTGTGAGGTTTTATGTAAGATTTAAGTTTTAGTGATGTTTCTTTTATGAACATGGGTGCCTTTGTATTTGAGGCAAAGAAGATGTTCAGAATTGAGACTTTGTCCTGATGGATTTTTTTTTCCTGTGAGGAATATGAAATGACCTTCTTCATCTCTTTTGACTGATTTTAGTTTAAAATCTAATTTGTTAGATATTAGGGTAGCTTGTTTCTTGGGTCCACTTGATTGGAAGATCTTTTCCCAATCCTTTACTCTGAGGTAGTGTCTGTCTTTGAAGTTGAGATGTGTTTCTTGTACGTAGCAATAGGATAGATTCTGTCTTCGTATCCATTCTGTTAGCCTGTGTCTTTTTAATGGTGAGTTAAGACCATTAATATTGAGGGAAAGGACCATTGATTGTTAATTCTTGTTTGTTTTGGATTTGTTGTTGGTGTTGTTAATTGTGAGTAGATTTATCCTGCTTTTTCATTTGACTTCTGGTAAAGTGGGATTATCTATTGCCTTTGTTTTTGTGAGTGTGGTTAACTTCCTTGGGTTGGAGTTCTCCTTCCAGAACTTTCTGTAGGGCTGGATTTGTGGATATGTATTGTGTAAATCTTGTTTCATCATGGAATATCTTGTTTTCTCTATCTATAGTGATTAAGAGTTTTGCTGGGTATAGTAGTCTGAGCTGGCATCCATGGTCTCTTAGTGTTTGTAGAACATCTATCCAGGACCTTCTGGCTTTCAGAGTTTCCATAGAGAAGTCAGGTGTAATTCTGATAGGTCTGCCTTTATATGCTACTTGGCTTTTTCCTTTCACTGCTTTTAACATTTTTTCTTTATTCTGTATATTTGGTATTTTGATTATTATGTGACAAGGGAACCTTTTTTTTTTTTTGGTTCAGTTTGTTTGGTGTTTGGTAAGCTTCTGTACTTTCATAGGCATGTCCTTTTTCAGGTTGGGGGAATTTTCTTCTGATTTTGTTGAATATATTTTCTGCACCTTAAGCTGGGTATTTTTTTGCCGCCTTCTATTTCTATTATTTTTAGGTTTGGTCTTTTCACCATGCTCCACATTTCCTGGATGTTTTGTGTTAAGGATTTGTTGGATTTATGATTTTCTTTGGTCGATGAATGTAGTGAGATAGTCCTTCTGTGGCACTGACCATGTCTAGGTTGTAAGTTATTTCTCCCTGAATAAACATCTATTCGGGGCCTATTTGTTTATCCTGATCCTTATTTAACCGCGATAGATGAATCTATTTCCTCTAATTTATCTTTAATACCTGAGAGTCTCTCTTCCATCTCCTGTATTCTGTTGGTTATGCTTGCATCTGTAGTTCCTGATTGTTTACCTAGCTTTTCTATTTTCAGCATTCCCTCAGTTAGTATTTTCATTATTGTCTCTTATTTCAGTTTTCAGGTCTTGGACTAATTAATTGTTTCCTTCATCTTTGTTTTTTCTTGGCTTTTCTTGCTTTAAGAGATTTGTTGATTTCTTGCATTTTTTGGCCTGTTTTTTTTCTTCTATTTCTTTAAGGGATTTTCTCATATCCTCTTTGAGGGCCTCTGTGGGTGCCCATAAAGATGGCTGCCCTCCATCTTGGCACAATGACAGAGTTCAAAGCTGTCCTCAGCAAGTCATAAGACCTAAAGGTCAAAGGTATGGCTACAGTAGGATGTTTGGCTGTCTTAGTCTAAATAACAAGAGAACTGAAGCTGAGGTGTGGCTACTTCTGACTTCAAATCTAGGGAACAAGAAGTTGGAGTAAAGGTGTGGTTACTAAACTCTTAGAAAAAGTGAGAAAGAAAAGACTGTTCTGTATACATGATATTGTGTTTCTGTTTTTGGTTAAGGTATCTAGAATGGTGAAAAATAAACTCGTGGCATTTCAGTATTAACTGATTTGCCCTCCTGACCTTTATTCTCTCTGTCCTTCCTTTATCACTATAGCTAGCCTTTCCCTCATCCACAGTCCCCCACCCAGGTACAGTCTTGTGGTGTGCTTGGCTGGTTCTGATTGCTATCCCACAGACTGCTCCCGACAGGCCTCTTATCATTTTCATTAAGTTTTTAAGGTCATTGTCTTCTGCTTCATCTGTGTTGAGATGTTCAGGTCTTGCTGGCGTAGAATACCTAGACTCTGGTCATGTCATATAAGTCTTTCTGTTGTTGGATGTTTTTATACTGTTGTCTTCCCATCTCTTTTTCCAGTGGGTACAGGCGAGGTTTCTCACTCTCCTGGTGGGTATGGGTTCAATACTCTATCCTCTCCTCTCTTGAGGAGGGTAAAGGGGGTGCTCTGTTTTGCCTCTAGGGCCATCTCGGGGATTTGGTGGCAGGATGGGTCTGATAATCCTCAGTCTTTGAAACATTTTCCCCCCTATATTTACACACTTACTTATGTGCTTCTGATGGTGTGGATGTGTGTGTGCCACCTCAGTGCTTGAGGAAGTGAGAAGACAACTTCCAGGACTCAGTTCTCTGCTTCACACTCAAGTCCCAGGGTCCAAAAAAAAAAACCCAGCATCTTTGTTATGTCATCTTGTCAACCCAGAGTCCTCATTATTTAATATGCTGTCTTCTCTCTCACACCACTGCCCTCAATATGTCAATTCTTCAAGTACAGAAAAAGCTTCTAAAATATTTCCAGAAACAGACAAGTGTTGAAATTCTTAAGGTGGTGTGATCATTTCTGCTTTTCTTAACTCTTTGATGCTCATTAGTCCTAACTGTATCCTTCTGCTCCTCCAGTCCCTGGAATCTTTGTTTTCTGCTTATTGAAATGTCCACATGCCTCTGCTCAAGTATCCACAAAATATTTTCTGACTATCCTGACTAGGATTGAATTTGCGCCTCTTAATATACTCCTTTCCCATGCCTCCTACCCCTGAGGGATTGACAACTTTTCCCTAACCATTGTAGGACATTCTAAGAATGTTCCAGTTCTTTGTAATAGTCATCAGGGAAAAGAACAGCTTTTGTACCAGTCTCCCAGGGGTTCCTTTTATTTCCAGCCTTTTTGTGAATCTTTTTCATGCCTGCTCAGCAAAAGAAGTTATACTTTTAATTATCAAAGTCACTCTAATCTAACTACAAGAAGTAACCCTCCTCCTGGATTAACGGGGAAGCAAGAACATCAATGTGAAATCTACCTAAATCTTAGAATTTCCCTTCAACTTCTTGTTCCAAAGATCACTGATGATGTGTAAAGAATATTGCACCTTGCTGAATCCCACCAGCTCATGAGAAGAAATACTCTTTTAAATATTAAAGAAATACTTTTTTTGAATATTAAAGACTCCTAAACCTTGGCTTTACTCATGTCTAATTTTTATGAGATTTAGTGTATTACCAAGCAAATATTACAATGAGAAGGACACAAAGTTTTATAAAGGTTTTTTTGTTTTGTTTTAAAAACCTGAATCTCTTTCATAGATACAATAAATTACCAAGCCTTTACGGTGCCAACAAGGCCAGCACTAGGGTGGAAATCTGAGAAGTCAGGAGGCTCTTGTGACCTGCAGGTCACTAACGCACTATTTGCTCCTGGGACAGGAAGACACCAATAAGATATTCAGCCCATAGCACAATTTGATGAAATAAATCTTTCCATAGACATTGTTTTGGTTGACAGTTTATTAAGTACACTACATTTATACCTTATTTTTTAGTTTATTTTAAAATCATTCACACATGGACTTGGTAGAAACATATTTTATAGAAAACTAAGAAGAAAATCAGAACAATATATTGCACACAGATACTGCTGAATCATTAGAATCATTAGGAGTTTTTACACGTACTCTGTACAGGTGATCAAGAAGAGTTAGGTGGCTTGGTTTTTCTTAAGTGCTGCACCAGACTATGACTTCAGAAGCATTAATATTGTGATGCAGATACAAAAAGCATGTGTCAAAGAAATGGGCTGATCATCTGAGAAACACTGTTTTCTTTTACAGTTTCCTAAACTCACTCTTTATGACTGTCATTTCTTTTTAGAGAATTAGCTGTACAGACTGATGAGGCCCAAAGACAAAACAAAAAACAAACAAAACAAAACAAAAAAAAAAAAAAAAAAGATTTTCTTTAAAAATAAACAAACCTAGAGCCTATTTACAAAACATGCAAAAGGCGAGTGTGTAGATTCAACTGCAGAAATGGCTGGATGCAGATCAGTAACAGAACAGGCCCCTGTTTTCTGGGAGAAATACATTTTCAGGGCTTGGACTATAAAACGGCATACAATGCAAAGACAGAAACAATGAAGTTTGCAAATCCTTTATATTTCCAGGTGTTGAGACAATATATGTGAATGCTGAGGTTACCTCTAGCGTCGAAACCAGAGCCAGCTATTAAGCAGCCAGAATGCTACAGTAATTGAATACATGACCATTTCTCTTTTAGCACGTTCTTTATTCTCCTCTTCTAGAAGTTGCAGACGTCTATTTAATTTGATTATCTAAGTGAAAGATAAATAAAAAATGGTACTAATGCATACAGCAATCAGATTTTTAAAAAATCATACATTAGATTGTCAAAGAAATTATTACATAGAAAGTTCCATTTGGGTCAAGATAAATACAACTACAAACAGAAAACAAAATATTACCCACAAAAGATTAAACTGATTTAAATATGCCTCTCCATTCCCATTCTGTAAATGTGAATTAAGGAGAGTGTGTAAGGACATTGCTGCACTGTGCTGTTCTGGTGGCAACAGGGAAGGGGTCTATTCCAGCAGGAGGAGCACAGGATACCTGCTCCTCTCTGCCTCTTCTATGAACTTCAGTTGTGTAGTCTTGGACTTGGATAACTATGTTCTCAGTCCACTCTAATACCCAGAGAGTCCCAACTGACCTATTATGGTGGGCCCTCTGGTATGTATTTGGTATACATAATGAGACCACCAAATATGCCTTCCCTGAATGGGAATGCCTCTGTGTAAAGACGGCAGAAATGCATATTAAAAATAAGCACATGAGAACTACAGTTACAAGATGGGGCTTATGGGTGGGGTCATGAACTATGTGTGTAGAGGCAGTGGGAAAACTCAAAGCAGTGGTTTCTAAAATGAAAAAATTGTACACAGTAACAAAGGTACCCACGGTCTATACAACAAAAGCAAAACACACAATTCAGGACTAGATTTGTTTACTAGAACATCAAAATTCTTTGATACTGTCTAGATTATATCAATCATTTTGGTAGCAACGTTTTATGTTGGTCAAAAGCACTTGAATGATGGTTTAACTAATCTTTAATAAATCTGAAAAAAATCAATTATGGCTTACTAGATAACCTAAATTCATGGGATCCATTGCAGAGAAAATACTAAAATGATGCAAACTTACTCTAAAATATTTCACAGAGATAGGTTTAGGTCTTTTATTGGGGTAGATTACCTGACGTCTTAGTGAAGCTGCATCTACCACAGTCATGTCATCGGACGCTCCTTCAATGGCTGCATCTATGTTTGAAATGCCATACCTAGCAGATAAAATATTGAAACACAAGTTAAAAACTAAGAATAATAGTCAAGTCATGTGTTGTGTTGTATATTACTGAAAGAAGCATTCAAAAAAATCATGCTTAATAATACGACCTATGCTTCTGGGAAAGATGAGGAAAAACTCTTACTACTTTTTTTCAAGGCAGAAAATGAAGCAATGTTAAAGGAAGGGTCCCTGTCTGAAAAGGACTGAGAACTGCCAATGACACAAGAGTTTTATATGAGCCATGTCCACACGTCATTCTATAGACAAAGACTCAATGTCAGGGAATGCAAAGTCAACTACAGACAGAAGACTGATCATATATTACTCTTTTACTTCTGCTTGCCTTTCTTTTGCTATTTTTCCCTTTATTTCTGATTTCCACTTACTCTTTATTGTATTCTCCCACAAAAATAAGTATACAATCTTCTAAATCTCTTGTAACTACAATTAGCTACAGTACTGGCTCAATAATAAGCCAACAAGAGGCTGCGTATAAAATAATAATGCTGAACAACCACCAATACAATGCAGAGAAAGAACATTAAATAGTACTTTTGCTAAAACATTCATGTCTAAAAGGTCACTGACTTGGGGATACAGTGGCATTTTAGTGATGGAGTCTCATTTGACTGGTCTCAAACCTGCTATGTGAGAGTGGATACCCATGATCCTCCTGTCTCATTCTCCCAGTGTTGGGTTACAAGCATGTACCACTAAGCCTGGCATTTTAAAATAAAAATTAAAAAAAAAAAAAAGAATAAGTAGGTAGAAATGCCATTTCTTCCATTTGTCTGGGTTTCTACATTTTTAAGAAAATGTGAAACTTTGCTGTGTGTATGATATGTGTGTGTGTATCTGAGTGTGTTCCATATGGGTACACGAGGAGGCTAGGGGGACAGCACTGGGACCTCCTGGAGCTAGAGTTATTGATGGTGATTATGAGCTGTCCATGTAAGTGTTGGGAATTGAATTCAAGAACTCTGCAAGACCAGTAGGCACTGTTAACTTGCTAAGCCAGCTCTCCAGCACCAGGTTTCCACACTTTAAAATTAACTTTAATGAACACTTTTACTGAGATATATTTTATACACAGAATAATTTATTTGCATGTGCATCTACTTTATATTCTATATGGTTATTTTAATAAAATGACATGGTTGTTTTTTTACAAGAGTAGAATATAACTAAAATTAAAAGTTATTCTTATACAAGCTACACAGAGTTGGCACATGGATCATCTACTTTAATATTCCCAGGAACTCCCCATTATAAAACTACATAACCTTACATAAGGGATATGAAACAGAATTATATATTTTATTCAGGAATGCTAATATGTCTATACACAAAGTTCTACTCCTTCAAATGTTAAAGATACCTTAAATAATCAATGGCATGTACCCATTTTAGATAATCTACAGCAATCTCTGACTTGTACTTTCTCTTATGGCTAGGTCAGGTGGTTTACATTACCCATGTCTTCCCTCTGAGAAACAATGTATCTTGAAATATTTAAAATAAACTTTATCAGTTAGGAGAAATAAACTCAGTTCCTAACTAGACAATAGAACTGTGACTTTATAAACTGAGCAAACTACTCAAATACTAAAGCAGAACTGTGAGGATTCAGGGTGTAGTTCAGTGGCAGAACACTTGCTTACCTGTGCAAGTCCCTGAGTTTGTCTCCTGAACCACAATAATAGAACCTTCCTCCACAATTTGTTAAATATTACTGGAGGAAAATATGAGTCAAAGTTTTTTTTTCTACACTTTATGCTCAAAATAATAAAACTTTTCCATTTCCCCAAGGTCACACATGAGATGAATAACTGGAGGGGGCTACCAAAGAATATGAGCACCCATATTAAAGGTGAATGCAAGGCTGGGTAACACTCAGCCAGCAATGCTTACTATCCAAATGTGAGGAACCACGTTTGATTCCCAGAACCCATGCTAAAAATAAGAAAGCTGGAACAGTGGAACATCATCCTTGTAATCCCAGTGCTGGGGAGGCAGACAGGATTCCTGTGGTTTTCTGGCAAGCCAATTTGGGCCAATCAGCAAGTTCCAAGCAAAGATAGAAACCCTGTCTCAAAAGCCAAGGTGGATCCATCACCCAAGGCTGCCCTGGTCTCTACCTGCATATGCACTTGCACCCTCACAGGTGCCTCCAACCCCCCCAAACATAGGTAAATGAACAGACACGCAGACATCAACACACACACACACACACCACAAAGGGAACTGACCTTAACAATCAACAGACACACACACACCACAAAGGGAACTGACCTTAACAAAACAGACATGCTCATACACATCAACACACACACACACACCACAAAGGGAACTGACCTTAACAATCAATACACACACCCACACCATAAAAAGGGAACTGACCTTAACAAAGAAACAAAGTATACATGAAAAAATTATCATTTTAATTTGAATAAAGCAGTTTTATAATTTTTCAGTTGTAAAAATGTACATAATAAGATGTCATCCTCAATTTAAAACAAAAAAGTATGAAATTATTTTAAATTAAAACTGTATCCTCAGAACTAAAATCTCAAACAATGCTGCCACACCACTCACTGAAAACACCTTCACAAAAAGTTCAAGGGATTAAAAATGAATAGAAAACTATCAGGGGAAACTAGTGTGGCCTAAATTAAGATGCAGAAGAAATGAGTAAGCACAGTGGTCAGGTGGATGAGATTAACAACAAATGGATGGTTCCCTTTTCTCTTGCTTAGGAACATGCCAGCCTCTTCTGAAGAAGAGAAACACACTGCAACAGCACAATTCTACTTAAACCTGGCTTGGAAAATTAGAGTGATAGCATATGATTAGTGACAGCATCTGTCTTCTGTGTCCTTGCATAAGACAGGGGAACAACTTGAAGGTTTTGGCCCAAGGGAATACATGTTCCTGCCATTCCTTGTCCTTTCATGACCAGGGCTAAGCATATTTGATAATATGAAAAGGGTAAATACAAGAGACAAACACTCAAATCAACAGGTGGTAAAAAGATATATATATAAATGCCAAGATTTAAGATTGTATATTTTCTGTTTTAGCATGATCCTTAATAAAGCTACTAAAATACTGCCATAAAATATATAAGACATTCTTACCACACTATGCCATAATTTTTTTGGGAGGGATATCGATATATGGCCTTACTATGTAGCTCTGGCTGACCTGGAACTCACTATATAGATCAGGCTGGCCTCAAAATCATAGAGATCCACCCACCTCTGCCTCTTGAGTGCTGAGATTAAAAGCATATGCCAAAATACCCAATGATAATTTTTATTATTATACAATGTTAGCATACTCTGGTGGACAAATGTCAGAACTAATTACCATCCCCATTTTTAGCAAAACACAGAATTTCTCCTAAGAGAAAGTTGCAGAGGCCTAGGCTATATACATGTATACAATCATGGCTATGGCATGCATTACAATGGTCTGCATAATACAAGCTCCATCAAATATGTGTGTCCTTTGGTAATCACATAGTCTCAAGTTACCTGACGTTGTCATGATGAGGATTAGAAGTGGCGGCAGCTGACCCACCACGCAACACAGGTCTAGGGCAGGTTTTTGCAGAAGACACAAGACAGAATCAGGAAACAGAGAAGTACAAAAATAAAGCAAAAACAAGACAAATAAATGTCAGATAGGATTATATTGTATGCTTCAGTACAATATAATATCCCTCAAATACTTTCAAAATCCTTGTCTCATGTGTCTCCCCCATTTTAAATGACATTCATAATTTAACACTTCATAATTAAGAAAAAACAAAAGAATATAACAAAATAGCACCAACATATAATTCTCTTTGGTGCTGTTTAAAAAATGTAATTCCTCTTTTCCAATGGGAAAAACAAAGCCACTAGCCGCTTTAAAAACATATCAAAACCTGTTAGTAGCACCTGCATGATCATGGTTGCTCATAAATACAAACTAGGAATTTAAAGAAATACCCACTGCCCCAATTCCTTCTCTTGCTTCATTAATTCTGATTAGTCAAATGAGCCTTTTGTCTTAATGCAGCTGTGTCCCTTTCAAACACTAAGCAGGAGTAAACAGAGCTGAGAAAATCTAGGGTGACTCAGAAGTGCAATCAGTAGCGAGTGCACCTGAGCTTGAGACAACCACGAGTGACATACAGGGCTGCTGCATGAGGACCAAGGTGCACTGGAAAACTTTGTGGGGCTTTTCACTTAGTCTCAAGCACATGCTTTGGTGTGAGAGGACAATCTTCTACCTGCTTAAGTTGGAACCTATCCAACTAAATTTGCTAAAATCAAGAAATATATTCTAAACCTCCACCAGTGAACTGTCTTTAATAATCAAAGAGATGAGAAGAGGGCCCATGTAGGGACACTTTTTAAGTAATCAAGTTTGCCTCACTGTATGGCAAGCACCACAGGGTTTAGAAATCCATGTTCTATCCCTTTCTGATGTTGCAATAGTTGTGGGATATAAACCACTATTTTTCTGCTTTTAATTTTTCTTTCTTTTTATTTCTTTGATGTAAGGTCTCACAAAACACATTGGTTCCAAGTTCTGTGGAACTGAGGATGACCTCAAACTTCTGATCCCCCTGCCTACACACCTTCTTCACTTGGCGCTGGGGAGCAAATGTGACCTTTCCATGCTAATTGAGCATTTCAACTTCTTTACAACCCTACCTCTAGAGTGACTTCCAGTACCTAAAGGTACCTTTGGGGCCCAGAATAAAAGGACTCATTACAGAGCATTGATGAATCACACATCCTTTAGATAGGTTTTTAAGTCTTACTAACTTATAGTTTGTGAAATAAGAAAAACTATGCACTGTAGTTACTTAAATTATATAAATATGAGACTGGCTAATGAAATGAAGCCACTCCTGTGTGCTTCCTAAAGGTTTTTAAAGAGTGTGTTTAATATGGAGTGATCTGCCATATTGAACATATTCCACCACAGAGATTTCCCTTTTACAAATGCAGAGCGAGAAACAATACAGTTACCTTTCACAACGTATCTCATTTTGTCTTCTCACACTGGTAATTGATACATATAATATAAAAGTAAATTAGACAGGTATTTGGCAAAATTAGAAACTTCATTCAAGCACCAGTTTCTATCATAAGAATGACTTAATGCTACAAGAAATAGTTGAATGGTGTATTTTGTAATTAGAATGGCAAAAGGGAAGGACATCTAAGACTACCAAATTTTAGTATTAATTTGTATACTGACATTTTTTGAGTAAATAAATGGTCTAAGTTAAGAGAATGCATTTTTTTCTATAAAAATATCAACTATTATAGTAATTAAACAGGTTGATTGGAGGACCAAGAGTTAAGCATTTTTAAGAAGTCATAACAGAATCTCTATGAATACTCTTGCTAAAAATAGAAACCATATATTGGTTTATTCTAGTTATTCAAAAACTAGTAAAACCTGCTAAAGAAAAACTAAAAATAACCAAGCCACATCTCAAAAGTTTATGCACAATTCATACATTAACACTTAAATAATGTTTTATATATAACAGACTAAGTTTCTCTAGAAGATGTTATAGTTTACACTGAGAATGAGGTGCACAGTTCTAGCAAATATAGAAGAGATGGGCAATTTCTGCCCAACAAAAGACAAATCTTAACAGTGCCCTCCCTACTGCTGTCCAACTGGGCAAGGAACATCTGGTATTCGTTCCTGATGTTTTGGTCAGTTTTCTAATGTTCAGCACTAACTTGTGTATATGAACTTTTATTAACAGTTAGGAATTCACTTGGTTTTGGGCTTAACTCTGTTTAGATTACCTGAACCAAGTTCATCAGAGGAAGAAAACAGTACAGCATATAGTGCTACTTAACATACAAACTAAAAATAGTTCTTTTGCCGAGAAACTAGGAATCTGCATAAAAAAAACATCAGGAAGCTCTTGCTTTTTCTGACAAATAGTTCTAGTTTAAACTTGCTGTATTTAATGTGCTGTCCCAAGGGCAAAGATATTGCATTAACACAATAGCCAAGAGCAATTAACACAGAAAAGAAAAAACGGTGAACAGCAAGGAACATAAAAGTGCTGAAAACGGTATAAGCAGTGCTATTTTATAATCATGCAAGTGAACATTATCCAAATTTCACATTCCCATTTCTTTGAAAATCAGAACAACCTCTTCCATAGCAGAAAGAAAAACCAATTTGACATTTAAGATTCTGGTTAAACTTTGATTAAAACAAAAGCAAAGAATCCAAACCCTTTGGTGAGGCTGAGGAGAACCCCACTCTCTGGGATCCAACCTAACAAAGTGATGGAATTTATTTAACAACTATGTAGCCCTGGCTGGCCTGGAACTCACAGACATCCTAGTCTCCTGAGTGCTGCTGGGATTAAAGGCATATGCCACCATGCCCAGCTCTATTTGATTTTTGATTCAAAGTTCTGCTCTGTACCCTAGGGTTGGCTGTGAACCCAGGGCAATCCTCTGCCTCAGACTCCCAAGTTTTGGAATTAAGGTGTATGCCATCACATCTAGATCTTTCTTCAATTTGAAAATGTTTATTTGGGTTAATATGATAATTTAGGCCATTAAGTTATTATAATGTAAAAAATAAAACACAAATTCACTTAATGTTCCAAATAGTTTTTCATGGTAAAAGCATACAAATTTTACACTGATAAGATTCAGATTTTGTATGCTTGAACGTTAAGCAATTTTTCTCACCATAGAGAAAGAAAAATTCAAACTTCTCCAAGTGCCACATCTCTGCATCTGAGCTGTGGATATGCTGGCAGGAGGCATCTAGTAGGTGATTTCACCTACACATGACCTAGACATCACTTTTTTCATCCAGATGTCTTTACTACAATAGCAACAGACACATGAATGCAATCTCTCCTAAGGAGCTACTATAACAAGGTTAACAAAGATAACTGGTGGAGAAAAAAATGGTGTGAAAGAATAAGGTGGAAATAGCCTTTACCAATTTGAGCTCCTAGGGTCAATGCTTTCTGTTCATTATCTTCAAGGATCTCCCACTGCACCAAGAAGGCAATCTGAAGCCATCAGCCCCACATTCTAAGTAATGGTGAAGGGCAGAAGACTTGTCTCAAGAATCTAGGCAGCCAAGTATAATCCCCTCTTCACCTTCTCAACAGATGAGGAAAAGGAGGTCCTGAGAAGAGACACGAGTTATATGCTTAAGGCCAGCATGCAGCTAGCTGTTGAGTGGAGGAATCAAGAAAGAATGAGATTCCCTCTATCTACATTGTTCTTCTTGAACCCTGTTGCTGCTTATTACTTCCAAATAGTCAAGAGTCCACAAAGCTTCAGAGAGCAAAAAAGGGACTCTAAACTCTTGGAGGAAGAGAAACAAACCAACAACTAAAAGTATATATTATCTCTACATACATACATATATATGTATGGTATTTATATAATTTGTCTTTGATGCCATAGGCCTTAAAGCTTTTTTCACTATAGCGTGAAGTTCTATGGCTGAATATATATATATGAATATATATATATATATATATATATATATATATATATATATATATATATCATATCATTATGTTAACTTGGGGAGACAGAGAAGGCCCTGGTTCAACAACACCAGTATCCAGACACTCCTGGTGCAGGTAAAGAGCTGGTTCTGCGAGGACTAAAGGCACAGCAAGAACAAGTTTGTTCTGAGCAAGCCAGACACATGAGGTTAAGCAATTAATGCTTAATTTATTGAGATTCCTTCAAAACCGCAAACGCTAACAGTCTAATAAAATGAACACAAAAAAAAAATGCAAACACCGACTTTTAAAGTGACTAGACCAATGTTCGGAGCTTATCTGACTGTTCCCCACAATACCAACAAAGTTCTGGAACTCATCTTTTTAAAATACCATAAGCTAATAAAACAAAGACTAAAGGTATATTAAATGATTGAAAAAATTACTTGTTTAAACAAGCTGAAGTACAATTCTATTTGGAGATGTTTAAAAGTGAGGTATTGTCTATGACTATATTAAAAAATACCAGCAAAATCTAAAAATGGTGACAGCACATAGAATTTCTAGTATGGGCCTAGAATCCACAGCTCTTAGGAAAGTGTATTGGGATCAACAGCAACATCTACCTGCTTTATTACTTTATTCCCATCACTAGTATAGGTAATTAAATCAAAAGACTGAAGACAACTAGTATGCTCAAGTCCTAGATGTCACACTCAGTCCAACAGACCCTTTAACATATTTCCAAGTGGAATCAAGCATATAGAATAGGCTAGCAAAGCCCTTGACAAAAGTTGTTACACTTCTTATGTGTAGAATTAAATGCCTTCCACAATGGAGGGAAAACTAATATAATCTTGTGAAATGTGAATTTTGGACAATAATTTCAAATGAAAAGAAAACAAGCAAGCCATTTCAAACCATTGCATCTTAGAAAGGGACTAAAAAAGGAGCAAACAAAAAAGACAGCACCACAGTCCACTAAATACAGAGCCAAAACATAAGCAACAAAGCAGCAAAGCCACTCTTGTCCAGTCACCTGCGATTTTCATCCAGCACATCCAAGATCTGCTGGTAAGCCCTACGGGTGGAAGACTGGATAAGCGACAAAATGCCACGGGCAGAGGAAAGACTAGCTCCATCTTCAGGTAGCATATGGGGAGGACAGACCCGAGCCTGTGGTGGCGATGGTGTCACACTGTTCACATAAGCACAGCAAACGAAGAGAAAAACACTCAAGTCAGATTTTCATAAAACTTCAGCAGACAGAGCAGTTTTTAATCTGTATTCTTGCCCACGTTTCCCACCCTCACTCTACCAAGAGAACAAGAAGTTAAAAACCACTTGGAACTGTTTTTACAGAGCAGCCATGAAATAACACCAGTGATCACACTGAGCAGAAGGAACAACTGGGAGGAGAGAATCCATCCCTGAGAGTGTCTTCAGGGATGAGCTTGGTATCAGAGAAACGAGGTACAGTATCATTCATCTGTGTCATTTCAGTAAAGCAAATGCCTAAGAATCAGCACTGCACATGACTTACAGTTGATAGAGTGGGACAGAGTGTATGTAAATACCAACATCTAAACACATGAATCCAGCATGATACTCTAAAGACACCATTTCAAATACTTTACGAAGACAATGAAGCAAGCTGAGTTTATGATGGAAAATGAATTAAAGGATGGGCTAAGACCTCAGAAAACTCTATTTGTATTTTGATTGTTTAATTAGCTAACTGACTAAAACATAAAACTTCCCAGGTCTGGATATACAACGAAGAAAGACAAGGACACTTCTTAAGTTATCACAGTGGCAGAAGATCAACTATATCTTGGCTTCTCAGTGACAATAATCTGATTATTTCTGCATTAAGAGCTAAGATTCAAAATTTTTTTGGTGCACTGATCACATTTAAACAAACTATTTGTATAGTTTCTGGCCTAAATTCTTAATATCTGTTTCCATATCTTCAGAGAACTGTCTGAGATTGAAGCACGAGACATTTAACTGACTCACCATGGCCTTGAAAATTTTCCTTTTACAGAAAGAGGACCATGACTCTAAGCTGAGGGTTCAACAGTTTCAAGGAACAAAGCACATTAGGGTTATCTTGTTTTTAATTTTGGAAAGGATAGTTATAGTTACCTAATATCCTCAGAGTTTCAAAAATTAAACATAACCTCTAACTTTATAACTTTCAATTATCTATATGATCTAAAGAGAAAGGAGCATATACAAAATTTCTAGATCTTGGCCTAATGATGTCAAGAAAAACTCAAGTTTTTAGATGTCAGTAGAGACTGGCAATCTTCTGGGAAAAAAAATATATCAATGTATACTCTTATACACACACACACACACACACACACACACACACACACACACACACAATGTATAATCTGACTCATAGTTCTTGGCAAATCCCATAATAAACACTCTAGCATAGCTGGGGGCAAAATAACAACAAAACAAAAAACAAACAAAAAAAGATGAAAGAAAAGTAAGCAAACAAAACAAAACTCCTAGAGTGGCTGGAGTGCAATCTATGTGTGGGGCTTGCACATAAACATCCTTTGGACAGAACAGTGAAGACCTGAAGCGCCCGTATGCAAGAAGCCAGGCTGAGCTCATGTTTACGATTGTTACCAGGGACAGGACTGTAAACTGAAGTTCTGTGTCACTATTTACTGTACCCTGGAGATACTGGGAGTGGGATGGGGAAGAGGGGATAGGTTGAGGCTCACAGCAGACAGACTCCTAGTGGAGTCACCCTTCTCCTTTGGGGATGAAACACAGGGAGAGGTAAGTTGAGAGATGGAAAGACAGACTGATATTCCAATAGAGGAAGAAGAAAATCCCAATGTACATCACTTCCACTGAGTTACAGGATTGGGAAAAACACAATTTTTGATAAAGCTTGCAGCAAAACTGGATAAATTTTGTTAGACAAGTTTCAAATTAACACTGTTTAACTTTAGGGTTCACAACAAACACTTCTGTACATCTCATTAACAAGTAGACTAGCTGTAGAATGAGGATACTATTCATTTTTAGTATTTTCAATTATAATCTTAAAGCAACAACATCAATTGGTGGATTTCAAATTTATAATAAAATTTAATGGATTTTTCTCCATTGAAATATAAGAAAATAAAGTTATTTACTATTTAAATTAAAAACAGGCTGAGAACATAATTCACTGGTAGAATACTTACTAAGCATGCCTGAGATGAGCAGGTGGAAGGGAAGGAGAGAGGGAAAGAAAAAGCAAGAAATGAAAGGAGGAGGAAAAGAAATCTGAATGTACATGCTGACCATACATGCACAGGAAAGGAGGTGCCATCCTATAAACTAGTCAAGCTCAAACTAACTTCAGATTAATGGCAAACAATTCTCAAGATGGAATGAACAGAAGGCTGGATTCTAAAATAATCTACAGGTCCCCACTATATTCTTAATGATTAATTTTAATGCATATCAGGAAAATCAATAAATAAAAATAAATTTAAAATAAAAAAATCTAAGTATTTCTTCTAATTCTAAGATTCTATGATCATGTGAAATGCAATATGGTTATAAACAGGAAAAACCCATATGATCTTTAACTAATTTAATAGAAATACTCATGTAGAACACTAACAGATGAAATTAAGCCCTGCAAAACAAAACAACGCCCTAAAAATTTTCCCCCAGTGCCAGGAATAAAAACCAGGGACCTATACATGCCAAGCAAGTCTGCCCTCTACTGAGCTAGATCACGACATGAAGTAGTTATCAATACTAATTAAGGATATTTGATTAACAGTAAAAACTGCATTTCCCCACTGGCTGCTTCTCAAAGAAAAATTAAAATTTTGAAGCTTGGTAAGAAATGTAACTTTGCATTCATTTACAAGATACAAGATAGTCATCTAGACATATCAAAAAAAAAGGGCTATTTATATTGTAAGGTGAGAAAATCATCTTAATTAGAAACAATAATTTTTTATTAGGAATCAGGAAAATAACTTAGCAACTGTAGGCACTCTTGTATTTTAACCAATAAATTTCATTGAAACAACGGAGAAAAATAACTTTACCACTCTAATACAAGCTATAACATCCTGTACTAGAATCAACTGTGGAGGGGACAGAGTGATTTGGAGTTAGGTTTTGACCTCTGTCCATTCACTACCTAACCAAAGTTATGTTTCTGTTTTTAGTTTTTATTGTTTAATTTTTGACAAGTCAACAACTGTAAAAAATACAAACTACAAGGCACTGAGGTCATGTGTTTAAACAAATACTGCCTTATACATAATTTAACAAAATGCACTTGATAATAAACTGCTTCTATTAATGTTACACAACAGCAAAATCTCATTTAGTATTTTAAGTTTTAAACTTAAGAAGCCCTCATGCTTACCAAGACACTTCATTAGTAATAACTCTAGCTCATGCTCAGACTTTTAAACATAAGGGTTAAGTAAACAATGGCTAGCCAATGTCAGATGAAAATCAGTGACTTAGCACAACTCATTAAGAGGAATGTTCAAAGTAGGAGAGCTCTCTCCACAGGTTTTCAAAGGAATGTTGTTTCTCAAACTGTGAGGTTCATGTCTTTGTTAAAGAACTAGCCACTTCGAAAAAGTAAAAAGAAAAAACATTTTCATTGAGACCAAACTCTGCTAATTTCTCTGGGCCCTTCCTTCCTTCCTTCCTTCCTTCCTTCCTTCCTTCCTTCCTTCCTTCCTTCCTTCCTTCCGTCCTTCCTGTTTTTTCTATACAATGACTCAGCATATATGCCCTGAAACTAACTAGCTTACATTTATCAGGCTGGCTTTGAATTCACAGAGCTCTACCTTCTTCTGCAGTGATTAAATGTATGTGGCACCACACCTGGCCTCTCCGGGACCCTAAATAGAGAGAATGGTAATTTGCTACTATGACTGAGGCCACTTAGTAACTCCTAGAAGCACTGCAAGGACACAGAAAGATGAGTTGTTGGCCATCAGTTGGTTTCCTCAGCTGTTTGGGAAGAGCAATGACTGTTTATTTGCACATGCATGGATGTGTGCAGGCTGAGTACTGAATCTAGAATTCTAGAGCCTTGCACATGCTGCTAGAATTTTTACACTTCATACCAAAATGTTTCACTGTCAGGAGCGGGAAGTCATTCTTACAAAGTTTTTCATACTTAAAGAAAACAAGAGTTTAGTGCTCCAGACATAATTTTCTTCAGAGAAATAAAAGAAAAAACAAACAAACAACAAAAAAAAAACTAACACTACAATTTCAATGACAAACCACCATTAAGATTTTATTTTTCTCTAGATTAAAATAAAACAAGGAAAGATATTGAAGTGTAAAAACATGAGTGGGATTGCTGAACCTTGCTAAGTGTATGTAATCTGCAGAGAACTTATAGGCCAACCAAAGCAAAATACAGAAAACACAAAAGGATTTTCTCTTTATGTACAGGAATTATTTAATTTTCCTTTCATCTATATCCCAAACCATATAAAACTTCCTTCAAGTTGCCCCCAAGCCTCACTTTAATAAACTATATAGTCACAGTTTGAGAAATCCTGAGGGAGACAGAAAGTTAGGGTATTACATATCAGGTATATGGTTAAACAGATTAGTATTAACATAAGCCTGCAAAATTAAAGCAATCCCTACTTGGGAAAAATAGAGCAGATAAAATCTTACGTGTACTCCGGTGCAGAAATCGATGCCTGGAACCTTGAAATTTTATTTCTTGGGGCAGAATCTGATCTGTGCCACCTTAAATAATAATTATGCTTCTTTTACATATTCAGCTTTTATAACAAAGAAAATGATTCTACTATGATTCTACTGTCACAATCAATTTTGTGCCAACAGGTGACAACAATCAACCTGCTTCTTAAAAGTAATTAAGAAAACAAAGTCCCTGCCCATTTGCACTTCTCTTTATGAGCTGTAGAATAAGCTAGAGTGGAGACAAAGGCCCATCCATGCACAATAGTCCACAATCATTCTAAAAAAAAAAAGAAAAAAGAAAAAAAAAAAAAAACAGACTAAAATAGGAAAGTTCAATAATTACTGTAGCAGCTATAAGCTACATCCATCTGTATGGACTGTTTCTTGCCCATTGAACAATGTCCATTTTATGCACATCACACTTCAAACAGGAATTCAATTATAAACTGTAAAATTAACAATGGTATGAGAAGAGTGGGCAAACTTTTATTAATATCAAGATCTTTGTTTTTAATATATATTCACACACACACACACATATATAGAGAGAGATAAATGCCGTAAAGGCAATTTAAAGAAAATCAAGCTAATAGTTAGCTCTTAACCTTTGTGCTATGAGGAATGTATAGAGAGCTTTTTCCTTTATCTTCATCTAAACTCAGCCATCAATACTATATACGTTGTGAAAAGATGATACAATACTGAAGTAATCACATTTTAATTTTAATGATACAAAAAGTCAACTAAGGGACTAAAAAGCAAGTCACAACTTAAGTAGGAGGAAAGCCTATTAGAAGATTCTGTTGCCCTACAAGCTACACATTACAAGTAGAAAATAACTGAATTAGAGTTGTTTTACCCACATTAGCAATAAGATTACATTGTCTTTTTACTATGTGTATATTTGGAAACAATTTTAGAAAAATGAGTTTCATGGGAAAACATACACTGAATCATATTTTTTAAAATCACATTAGTAATGGTTAAGCCTTTCAGATAGTCTCTCATAAAGGAGACAAATATTCATTTTAATCCAACTTCTTCCTATAGATCCCTCAGGATCACAACTACTGTGAGAGACTCTCCAAGCAATCGAAGAACTCAGTTTTCCCTTGCACTCAACATAAGAGAACAGAGTTTCAACACAGCAAGCAAAAACTTACATTTGAGATACAACTTCACTGACTGGTTAGAGATGCCAGTGAATCTCTTCATGAGACTTCTTTCAAAGCAAAGACAAAAATAGTTTTCTCAACTATGAATATTAGCCTCCTGCCCCTATAAGAGCCCATTCTGCACCACTGTACTCTGCAGTGAGATTTAAACTACAACTTAATATGGTACACCGTAAGAATGGTAATTGTACTGTGTTCCAGTTATTTTGTAAGCTCTCAAAGGAGATGTGTCATTGCCTGATGTTTGCTGAGTTCCCAGAGAAGCTAACAAGATGCTTGACATCACAAAGGGCTCCTGATGAGTTCATGAAGACTGACCAAACGTGAAGGAGAAAGAATAATCACTTTCCATAAAGGTGACAGACACACAGAAGAGGAAACAGGACTGAACAACTGTTGCAACAAAGTTCAAAGTGTCAGACTGTATGACTACAAAAAGTACAATACAAAGTGATATCCACTGATGTAAAACAGATTGTAAAAACTTTGAGATTTAGAGAAATGTATGTACAGACAAAACACAGAAGAAAATCTACAATGATTTCTAAAACAAAACAAAACAAAAAGATACAATGCTGTCTGTGATTGCTGTGATTCTACTCACATGGAATCATTTCTGACCAATTGTCCATTCTGGCGAACAGCATTTTCACTCATGGAACGCTCTCTTTTTAGCCTGCCAACTGCTCGGATCTGTTAAGGCACAAAAAGGGGAAGGAACGAATATTCTTAATAGCTTAGAAGCTATTTAGCATTAAAAAACACAGAAAACTTTGTCTAAGGCTACTCACAAAACTACAAGGCGCAAAGAAAAGCAAACTTGTACATTACAGACAGGTAAGACTTGGTTCTAAAATTTTTTACTCACCCCCGCTTCTCGTGGTCAGTGTGTGTGTGTGTGTGTGCGCGCGCGCGCGCGCGTCAGAGGTTGATGTCAAGTGTTTTCTCAACCACTCTCCACCTTATTTTTAGAGATAGGATCTCTCAATGAACCTGGCACTTACTGATTCAGCTAATCTACCTGGTTATCAAGCCCCCAGGATCCTTCTGTCTCCAACTCCCCTGGGCCAGGACTACTCAGATATGTGTTAGTGTGCCTAGCTTTCCACGTGGCTCCTATGGCTCAAACAAACCCAGGTCCTCATGCACACTCCAGCCACAGGACCCATACAGATTATAATGCTCATAAACTTAGGAATGCCTGTTTACTTCTAAATAAAAGCTACTACAGTTTCTTTTCAAGTAAATATCAATCTTGGTTGGTAAAACTTTTTTCTTTTCTCTCTGAATCTACCAAAACCCTTTTCCAGAACACAGATAATCACGGGATGCTTAAGTACCTTATACAAAATGGTATAATAATATTTTGTACATTTCCCCCTATACTTTAAATCATCTCTATACTTATCATACCTAGTGGTATATAAGGATGTACAAGGTATGTTATTAGGCATGACACCTTATTGCTTAGGGAACAATAACAATGAAAAAGATAGTACCTATTTAGTATGGCTATAATCAATCAAGATCTAAATTACACAGTACCCACACTCAGGACACAAGGCAGGTAATGATGAAGCACCAGGTGCTAAGGAGACTTGAGAGGGACCCTGTCTATAACACAAAAGTCAATTCGGGGCCTCCTGCAAGAACCTTTTAAGGTCAACCCAAAAATATGAAAAATGTCACACCCATGATCAAGTGTATTTTATTCTTGCATAGTAATATTACTGTGTTGGTTTGTAAGAATATTGCCTGCCTGCTTGCCTACTGCAGCAGTCATGGCTGCTTTCTTTGAAGTGGCAGGGATGGAAAGGAAAAGTTGCTCAGCTCTAAGCTACTTCCTGGAAGCTGGGTCACAAACTACTTTGTTTGTAGATATACAGCACATAGCATTAGACAGAAGATGCACACATGCATTAATAGTCCCCATAGTGTATTTAAACTCCAAGTTTTATGTGATTACACACAAAAAAACCCCAACAAAAACCCTTTTATACCTCTGTTCACTGGTTCTCTAGACTTATACTAAACCCATCACTACTTTAAATTCTGTTCAAATTTTTTAAAATGGTAGTTCACTATTTAAAAAAAAAGTAAAGTGATTTATACAAGTTACACAGCAATCATATATTAAGAAAAAAACAGACAATACAATTAACAAATGTAGTGACAAAAAGTTGAGAACAACAACAACAATAACAAAATCTGTCTTAAAAAGAATGTAACATTTGCCCCTCACAATCCCCATACTCCTTTCTAAGGTTTTTTGTTTACTTTAAGACAATACAGCACAAGTTGGCCTGGAATTTGTGATCTTCCCATTTCAGCCTGTGAAGTACTGGGATTACAGGTGTGTACTACCTGCTCCAGGCATAACTCTTGCTTTCTCTGGAACCTTGACTAGAGCAATGGGGTAAAGTAGGAGGCAATATGGTCAGAACAACTAGGCTGGACATCTTCCCCATTCCAAACACAATCACTTTCCAAAACTTAGAGTAACTAACAACAGGGAGAATACTTGAGACAACGATTAAGGTTACGGGACAGAAACATGAACAATGTGTCACTGTGAAAATATCTATGAAAAGGGCATGCTAGTGGCTAGTTTTATGCCAACTTGGCACATTCTAGAGCTATTTTAGAAGAGGGAGCCTCAGTTGAGAAAATGCCCCTCCAGACTGGTCTTGGACAAGCCGGTGGCTCATTTCCTTGACAGATAGTCATGTGGGCAGAGCCAATTCTGGACTTCTATTCTTGGGTGCTACAAGAAGCAAGCCTTGGAGAGCAAGCCTATAATTGGCATGTCTTCATGGCTTTTATATTAGCTCCTGTCAAGTCCTGATTTGATTTCTTCAACGAATGACTGTTATATCAAGTTGTGAATGAAAATAAACACTTTATTCCCCAAGTTGTATTTGGTCATGGTGCTTTATCACAGCAAGAGAAATTCAACAAGACAATGGTGCAATACAGTAACTAGATAAAGAATGTGAGTGTACATCACTGAATCATCCATGGGTGTATGTGCACAACATAAAACCACAAACCACAAAAACCGTTCTTATTCTTAAAATTTGCTGCTTCTGCTCCTGTACTCCCAGCTCCTCCTTCCATAATGGGAAAGAAAAGAAGGTAAAACAAATTACACCTGAATTGTGATGAGACCTGTATCGATGAGTTATCTGATTTTTTTTTTCCCCCTAGTCATTGCAGGACATCCTGGGGCATTCACTGAGTACCCGGGGGTCCTCTCATCAGTGAGTTCAGGGGTATACTAGTGTGGCTTGTTATACTTCAGGTCAGCTACAGTCTTCTGCTTCTCATTCTCACAGAGGTTTTATCAATTACACTGGGCCACCACAGGGTACTGATAACCACCTGCTGCCTTGAATGACGGCTTCCTAGGTTAACCTTCTACATAATCTTCAGGCTCCAGGGCCACTGCTTTCAAAGTGTGACCTATGATAAGGCTGTTTTAGCTGGATATCATTTCTCCTAATCCTTGAGCTCTGGCTGTATATCTGTACAAGACTAACACAGGTTTTGGCATCTATGGAAGCCATTTGATAGCTTGTTTAGGCCTGCTGGTTTGAATAAAAGTTCCTTTTCTGAAAACATGAAAATTCTTTTCCTGTCTTCCAAAACTGGGTCCTAGTTTGCACAGGCCAACTGACTTTGCTCTTTCTAGATCACCTGGGTGCACAGTACTCTTCTGGTTTATTTTACAAATGGATGGTGTACTTTTCTCTGAAGTAGGAACAGCTAATTTGGTCAAAAGCTACTTCAGTCTGCTTTCTCTTTGTACTTGGGTGAACTTTTCAAAAAGCTTTGTAAGTTATTATAGCTAATCTTTCCAAAGTGTACTGTTGCTTGACAGACAAGACATGATGGTGGGTTCCATATATCTAGCTTGAACACACTCTTGGAGGTACAAATTGCACAGGAATAATTTCTAACTCTTCTTCATAGACCTCTTTCCACATCCTCTTAAAATCTCACACTGGCCCTAGCTGCCTAGGAAAGTTCCTTTTTGAGAAGTAGAAGCCTCTGCCTCCCTCATCACATAGCTATATCTACTCTAAGAGCTTTGAGAATGGCCATGGCACACAAGTTTCAGGCCCTGTTCATATGTCTTACTGCACAGCTCTTTATTAATTCTGGTAGGCAGGGTTACCAGGCAATGCTTTTGTTTATAGGTGCCTTCCAAATATTGGTACACATTAGACATACCATCTTAGGGTTACTGTTGCTATGATGAAACACTATGACTAAAATCAAGTTGGGGAGGAAAGGGTTTATTCAGCTTATGCTTCCACATCATAGTCCATCAACAAAGGAAGTAAGGACAGGAACTCAAACAGGGCAGGAACCTGGAGGCAGGAGCCGATGAAGGGTTCATGGAGGGGTGCTGCTTACCAGCTTGCTCCTCACGGTTTATTTGGCCTGCTTTCTTATAGAACTCGGGACCACAGAAGGCACCACCCACAATGAACTGTCCCCCTCCCCCAATCAGTAACTAATTAAGAAAATGCCTTAAAGGACTGTCTACAGTCTAATCTTATGAAGGCATTGTCTCAATTTGGGTTCCCTCCTGTCAGATGACTCTAGCCTGTGTCCAGTTGATACAAAGTAGGCAGCACATATACTGAAAGAGTCCATCGGTTTCCTCTTGTTATTAAAGAAAGCTCCGCGTGCACTGCTGTCACCTCCTCACCCCCCCCCCCCCACTGTGCTGTTGAGACTGTGTAGACGGAAGGCTTACAGAGGGCAGGTATGCATTACCTACTTTTTACTGTAGTGTCATACATAGACTCTCAAAAAATGGTGGTCAAATAAAATTTTAGAAGAAACTTGACAACTTTTGGCCACAATTAATACTCAAATATAGTGCTTTTTACTAAGCAAATATGCAGGAAGTTTATACTGGCCCCAATTACCTAAGTAGAAACTAAACCTAAGAAAACCATCAAGACTAGTACTAGGAATTCCACTAACCTGGTTTAAATGAATGCATAACCCTCTTTGTGAACAGAACTACATAGAAAAATCAAAGTGGACAGGAGTACATTTTTAATAAAAATGTATGTTTGCATGTTGTCCTTAAGAACAGAAGCTTCAATACCTGTCTTAAGTCCATAGCTCTGTCAAGACTTTAATTCTAACATTAATTCCTTTAAGTCCATTTTACCACCAACTTTATGTCAACAGGGATATCAGTGTTACTAACTTGCTGTAGGAATTGGCAGTGTCAGGAGAAAGGGTTTCTTAGGCTTTGTTTGCCAGATGATTGTATGACAAAATGGCACAGTCATTTTTTTCCTAGTGCAAGACTTCCTTTCTCAGGAATAGAGTGGCAAAGCACTTGCCTACCATGTTCAAGTGCTGGTTCAATCTCCAGAACCGCAGAAAACAAAAAAGCATTTTGAGACTCTACATTATTGTGGGTATAGTAGTTACCACTGCTCCTTCTTTAAGTCCACATAAATGGTAGCAATACTTGGTCCTCCAAAATTTCCCCTCCCCACCACATAACTGTTAAACTAGAAACAAAAACAAATCCATAATACTTTATTTAGGGAACTGTGAAGTCAATTGATACCAATATTGCCATATGGAAAGCTTCCATCGTATATGACTAATGCATGCTTCATGTCTTAACTCTTTTTTAACCTTACCCTACATTCTTTCCAACATAAGGAATGATAACTACTTACTTCTTCGTTTTGAGGAGTTGGAGGTGGTCTTTCTAAATCCAGAAAATCTAGTGGTCTTTCACTCAGGGTGAGCACACGTGGTGGTGTTTTCAGTGCCAGAGGTTTAAAGGGAGTGGACTGGATAAGGTCAAGATCCGCTGGTCTTGAAAATGAAATGTCTTCATTATTTCCTAGGAAAATAAAGGGGAGGAAGGATTTTCACAGTGATGTTCATCAATGCTTTTACCTTTGTGTGTAATGAAAACAAACAAAACACTCAAGCAATCTATCTCTAAGTATACAAAGAACTCTTACAACACAGAAAATTTCAAATTGGCAAAACATTTGAATACATGCTTCAAAATATTTTTTGAATACCAAATGTCCCCTGTAACCTTGGTCACATTTGAGCACTGGTTTCCCAGTTGGTGGCACTATTTGGGGAGGGTTAGGAGGTGGGGCCTTGGTGATGGAAGTATGGCAGGGGAGCTTCGACATAAAAGTCATTACTCCATTCCCAGCTCTTTCTGCTCTGGGCTTGCAGTTGAAGATGGGAGCTCTCAGCTTGCTGCTCCAACCACCACACCCATCTACTACCATGCTTCTCCTAATGACAGTGATGGACTTCTATCCCTCTGGAACCACAAACTTAAATAAACCCTTCCTTCTATAAAGTGCCTTGGTCATGGTGTATATCACAGCAATAGAAAAGTAATTAATACAAAAAGTAAGTAAAAAAACACATGTATACATGTTCAAAATTATCAATCACTAGGGAAGTGGATATAAAGCAACTAAAATTCACAAATGTCATTAATAGAAAAGAAACATGGAACATCCTTTGGAAAATAATTTGCCAACATTTTAAAAGCTTACATATCTTATAATATTCCTAAAAGCTTATGCACAAATATTTGTATCCTATCCATCCTATGAATCTCAAAAAGAAACAAAAATGTCCATTAAATGTCAATGGATAAGCCAATGATAATGTACGCACACAAGATATTTATTACTTACCAATTAACTGGAATGAACACGTAATACTTGCAACAATGTGGAAGAATCTCAAAATGCATCCCACTAGCCATGCATGCAAGCATAAGACTGCAATTCTAGCACTAAGGAGTTAAGGCAAGAGGACCCTGAGTGCCTCAGGGGTACACTAAGTCTCTGTCCCCAAATAAAGGCAAAGTGAAAAATAAACTGGGTTTGGTGGGGCAGGCCGGCAACCTGAGCAGTTAGGAAGGCTGAAGCAGAAGAATGACAGGTACAAATTGACTGTGGGCTCTGCAGGGCAAATTCAAGGGCAGAATGGAAAACTTAAACTCTGCCTGGGCAGCAACAAGGAGCCCTCAAAGGTACAGCATTTGTCCTGAATGCATACGATCCTAGCATCAAAGCCTCCACAGGCGAAGGAAAAAAAGGAGGAAAACTTACTCTTAGCAAAAGAAGCCACGCAGAGTGTATTGAGGGCTTCATTTATAGGAAATTGTAAGAAAGACAAACCTACTGACCTACTGTCTGGGTACAGAAAGACCATGGCTGCTAAGAGTTGAAGGACTGGGAATGATGGAGAATGGGAACAGGAAGCCTTTTGAGGTGACAACAATGTTCTGAATGAATCAGGACCGTGGGGGTTACATACATTTATAAAACTTGTGAAAATACCTTTTCTCAATAATATTTAAAGAACCCAAAGACTTACTAACAATCAACAATGAGATACCTGTAACAACGATCCTCTCTGGGACTTGCATTATCACACTGGTATTCGGAACTCCTTCTTGGAACCCTTGGTCCAGGTCAGCATTTGGTGGTGCTACTTTTAATTTTTCTGGGACCCTCATTCGCTGACTAATACCTTCGGTGTATTCCATTTCATACTGAATTCGACTGATTTCTGCCATCTCAGCAGCAGTGGGAGAAGGAAATGCTGCCCCACTCACCCTACAGAAAGAAAATGTTAAGATCAGGTAACTGTGTGAAAACATCAATCTCCTCTATGCAGTGATGTCAGAAGACATTAGCTTACAGTAGAAAGAGCAAAAGGAAACTCCTCACTTGTGAGCAAAAGGAAAACAAGCAACGAATACAGTTTCTTCAACATAAAGCTCTGACTTATCATCTGAAAACGAAACTTGAGGACACTGATTAGGAGCAAGTTTCTACAGTAGCATATAACCACGATACAAATGAGCACACACAAGCATTCTCTGTGTGTAAGCAAATAAGCATGTAAGCAAAAATGCAATTCAAAAACGCCTGAAATAAAATTTAAAAGTTCCCACCCAAAAGGCTAAGAGAGCAGAGTTCAGAGGGAAAATGCTTGCCTAACATGCATGAAGGCCTGGTTCAATCTCTAGAACTGCAAAGGAAAAAAACAATTATGTGGAAGACCGTTGCCTGGACTTTTTAGCAATGAAATAAGAAATTGGCATTGTGCATGAATAAATCCTCTCAACAATGAAAATCAGAATCCAAAGAGAAATAAGGTTAATGTGCAATTTATCAAAAAAGGCATAGCTCCCTCAAAATCATACAGTGCACACCAAAACTTCTTACTGCAAATGAATGTGATGACTGAGATGCAATGAATGCCAGATACATGATTTACATCAGTAAGTCCTTAATGTATGCATTCATTTCAAGGGGTGAAGTGTTGGCATTACTAACCTATATTAAATATCATATTTATACATTGTAGTTTTGAGAAACATTAAGTATTTTTGAGGGGAAAATAGTACAAATGCATTGAGTAACCTTCTAAATTGGAGAGGGATCCATGATTCCAGGGAGATGTTGCCCCCAAATAAAAAATGCTAAGAAAAGCATAAAAGAGCAAGGTTAGCTTATGGTACGCAGCTTTTAAGCTATTGTCTGTCCAACCTATAATACCAGCTCAACCGAAAAAAGTTTCACTGACCTTCCTAGTGATGTGTCACTGCCCGTTCTCTTATTCATTTTAATAGAGCAAATACACGTCTACAATAGCTATTAAATACTGCTACCCTGTAGTTGTTTACTTTATACAACAACTTCCCTACAGATCTGAACTGTTTTTGGAGGTGTACATAACAACACGGACACTGCTTTTCCAGCTGTAAAAAAGAAAGAATAAAAGTCAGTATTTCAACAATTCATTTTATAAGAGAGCTAGAATAAAACTAGCTATTTACTTAAAAGGGCTTGATTTGAGAAAGCAAATTTCAAAAATGTCTCAACTGTCACTCTATATTACCTCACAAGTCAAAGATGGTTTTAAGTCTAGCCACTATATCATGATTTTGCAATTAGAGTAATTGAAAGTTCTATCATTACATAAGGAAATGTGAAGATTGGGGGAAGCATGGCTACCAGAAAACCCCTTTAATCACATTCCAATGGGATATTAAAAAATCATGAAGGAAATGCAAGGGTAAAGTAAATGTATTTGAGCTTGTCTAAAATTTGGTGCATAAGTGGTTTCCTGAAAAGGAAGCCAAATTACAGTAAGTTCCCAGCAAAGTATAAGTCAAGATTAATAAATCATTAAAGACAATATAAATGTCTTAATCACAGGGGTTATTCTGTAAACTATGTTAAGGCAATATAGACAGGTGTCTTCATCATCCCTTTTTTTGCTTTTGTTTTAAACCCAAAACCTTCTCCAGTACACTCCTTGAATGTTACTTAGTGTGGCAGACCTAGTTGGATTGAGAGTGCCAACTAGCTTCTTTTATCTTCTGCCTGAATGTCTGCTTCTTAAGGAACTGACATGCAGATGCCTCAAAGACGAAGAAAACACCGTACTTACAAATGTGAAGCAGCGGCTTGCTATTTGGCACTATCTGCTTCTGTGCTTCATAGTAAACCCTTACACTGCTCCAATGCGCATGTGCTAGATTGAGAGCCACTTCTGTCCCTAAGGGAGAAAAACAGTGACAGAGAAGATAGGTGATGCCAGTGTTTAGAGACTTAGCTGGAAATTCTTCAAGTCACAAAGATACACAACTTTACACTAAGAAACAAAATAATCAGAGAAAGAACTTCAAGCTCACCACACATTTTAGTGTTCTAGACAGAACCCTGTGACTAGTCACCATGTAAAGCAGTGGTTCTTAACCTGTGGGTTGTAACCCTTTGGGGGCCATATATCAGATATTTTGCATATCGAGTATTTATATTACAATTCATAACAGTAGCAAAATTACAGTTATGAAGTAGCAATGAAATTATTTTATGGTTGGGGGTCACCACATGAGGAACTGCATTAAAGGGCTGCAGCATTAGGAAGGTTAGAACCAGTGATGTAAGGTAAGACATTTATCTGGAAAGCTGGCAGGTCAAAGATATGTTCAAGTTAAACCAATGTGTACATACATATCATGGACATAGTAAGGGAAGTCAGTTAAGTTTTCATTTTAAAACACAGAACCAGAAGTAAACAACACTGTATAAAATATATAAGAACACATAGAGAGGGTTGAGCACTCTCTCTCTGAAGCAGAGTCAGAGTTCAAGGCCAGCTTATACCACATAGACTTATCTAATAAAGCACAACAAAGCAGCAGAGCATACAAAGAAATGGAATGCTCCACCTAACCTTACCTTCCACCATCTACGTTCCCACAGGCACTTTTTTTAATTATTTATTTTTTATTTTACATGTCCATCCCAGTTCCCTTTCCCCCCCCTCACTCTCTTCTTCTCTGCCCCCTCACATGCACCCTGACCACCCTCCCTCCCATCCCCCCACCCCAATTCCACATGTAGGGTGATGTAAATCTGTCAAGTCATTTGAAGTAGGGACTAGAACTTCTTTCCTGTCTCTAGGTTAAGGCAGTATCCCTCCATGTGGAATGTGTCCACAAGGTCCTTTTGTGCACCAGGAATACATCCCCACAGGCACTTCTATTCATTTCTGAGCATCATTATAAAACAGATGCTTTCCCAGCACTTATGTATCTAAAGCATGGGAAAGGCTTAGAGACTTAAGATTTAAATTACATTATCTCACAAAATGTGCCAACACCCACCAACACTTTGCTTAATTCCATGATTCAGTCTTATTTACTCACTTTGAAAGGACAACTTCTGCAGTTAAACCACCTAAATTTCAAAGTGAGTAAAACTTCTCTGTTAAGATGCAATATTACTGCCTCAGCATTTTCCATGTTTCAATAAAACAGATCTTTTAAATTTTTAATTTAGTTACTTTTCTTCCTCATTAAACTTGATACTTTGGGCAATATTCGCTGGTGACAATAAACTTCTTTTGGGGCTAAGGCTTTGTCCTTTAGAATCTGCTTGGTAATCACTACATGCTTGATGTATAACTTGAAGAAAACCTCCCTTGGACTCCTAACTTAGGTGCAACAGATCCACTTCCTAGGCCATAGCCACACATCAGCAAAAATTTCCAAATTCATTGGGATCCCATGCATTTAATTTCTTCTTTAACCTGCCTTTAATTTTTTAAAACACAAATCTATTTTTAAAAGAAATATTTAATCAATACCTTAGAACCATAAACTTGATGTATGCATATAAGCACATGTAAAAAAACAATTAAAAAAATGAAGACAAAATGGATCAAAGGTCTTCACATAAGAACTGCTGAAATTCGGAATCTGCTAGAGGAAAACAAGCAAAACCTTAAGGTTACATAGGCATAGCCAAGGACTCCTCCAAAGAGCCCAGGAAACAACACCAAGAACTGGCAAATGGCATTGCCTGAAATGAAAACTTTTCTGACCAAACTGGAGTGGAAATTCCATAGAATCATTGTTGATCAGGACTCAGACCTAAAATTTATAAAGAACTCAAAAATTAATAAGAACCTCAATCTTGTATCTATTAACAACAACAACAACAACAAAAAAATCCACAAGAGTAAGGAGTGACAGAAAAACCTTGTAAGCCTTATCGGACAGGAAGGGAGACAACACACAGTTCCTCCCAGAGCAGCAACTGAGTAAAAAGTGTATACTCTGGAACACCAGACAACACCACTGAAAAGCTATCTCAATTCACAAGTCCCTGAAACCAAAAAAAAAAAAAAACCCACCTCCTCACTCTGTGAGCTCAGAATAAATACTAACGAGGAGTAAATTGTCCTGCGTTCCCTAAAGGTTTTTCTTTGGGGAAATCTCATTAGTAGCCCATGGGACTGACTGAGGGAGACATTCTCATTCCCTGTGTCCCCGCGGAGGCCTGCATAACACTACCGGGCTCAAGCTTTATTCCTCTCAATTAGAAAGCGCCACCAATTCAGAGAGCGCACTGCTCTTGGCAGAGATGCGCTCAGCTCCTAAGCCAAGACTCTGGTTCATTTTCTTGTGTTTTACAATTGCAACAAGGGCTCGTTTTTGCAAACGGAGGTCGGGGGAACCCAGCTCCGGGACGGCACCCCTAAGAGCGAGCCCGCATAGCCACCAGCAAGCAAGGATGTTTTGGCCAGCTCCGGACCTCCCAAAGGCCTTTCTTTAATCACACGGGTTTCACACACACACACACACACAGAACCGCGACAGGCGCAAGGTCATACAGTGAGGTGCGTGGACCCGAGGAAGAGATGCTTTAAAGCCCAGGTCCAGGCTTACATGTAGGCGCGCCTCCCGCTCCCTTACCCCATAGTAGATTATTGTTGTTATTATTATTATTTGTTTGGGCAGTAAAATTCGGTTTTTGTTCCATAGAACAAGATGCCGAGGTTGAAAGAGTGAAGAAGCTGACCTAGATAATTGCAGGGCAGGGACCTCAGTGCAGGCCAAGGCCGGGGCCGCTCCGCCCGGCCCGGGAGACGGGTGTGACGGCCGCAGCGCCAGGCCCTGAGCCCGGCTTGGGGAGACTACAGCACTCACCCTGGGCCCGCTGGAGGGTCCCTGGAGGGGGCCGCCGCCCGCCGGCTCCGGGGCGCTCGGGCGGGCGCTCGCAGAGGCCGTTGGCCGAGCGCACCAAGGCGCCCGGGCAAAGGAGCGGCGGAGAGGCCGCGGCGGGCCGGGACAGACGCGAGAACGTCCAGGACTGGCCCCTTCCAGCAGCCGTAGCGGAAGTAGGTTCTTGGTCATGTGACTGAAAAAGGGCGGATGTTACGCTCAGGCGCGTGAGACGTCAGTAAGAAACCATTTTTGTTGTGGGCAAGACTGTCCCTCAGGTTAAAAGGTTCAAGTTCTTAGATTGCATAACTCTTGGGGTGGATTTCGAGACATCGCTGTCTTTAGGAACTTCGCGTTTGCAAGGTGAACCAGTAGCCTGTTTTAAAGAACTGCCTGAATCAAAATTCGCATGGTGCGAGGGCCGAGAATCTGTGTATACCTCAAAACAACACACCCAAACAAGGAAAACCTCAGATGCTACCCCAGAAATGTTATCATCCTTCAGAATAGTTTGGCAAGCTTTCTGAATTGAATTCTTGCATTCTTTCTAATATTGGAGCAGGATACATGAAATTTCCTTTTTTCCTTCTAAAGGTCAAGTGGAGACACCAGTTAAATTGACATAAAGTAGATGAACAGGATAGTAGTATTGTGTAATGTTTTACTCTCTTGGCTCTTTTGAGTCCTCCCCCCTACACACACACACTTAAACACAGAGTCTTATTATTACTTAAGAATGTCCGGCCTTAGCTTGGCTTTTTACCAGCTTTTCTTATCTTAAATTAACCGATCTACCTTTGCCCTCGGGGTTTTTATCTTTCTCTGTTTATCTTACTTTCCTTCTTGCTGGGAGGCTGGCCCCTGATATCTTCCTCTCTTGCTGCTCTTCCTCGGTTTTCTCCTGTTTCTATTATACTCTTTGCCTGCCAGCCACGCCTATCCTTGCTCCTGCTTCAGCTCTTTATTAGAGCATCAGGTGTTTTAGCTAGGCAAAGAATCAATTACAGAGTTAAACAAATGCAGCATAAACAAAAGTCACACACCTTAAAACAATATTCTACCACAAGAGGGAAGCATATGCCTTTTATTTAGTAAATTTTGCTTGTATATTAGAGTATAGAAAAATGAAGAGCAAAAGAAACACTTGGTACCCCAAATTTATATCAGAAGCTGGGCATTGTAGTAAATTGTAAAACTGTGAGATGACAAAGGGATTTGGGCCAGGACACTGAATAAGTGATTAGGAAGATGAGCATTGGTATAACTAGGTTGTTTTTTGTTGTTTTGTTTTTGTTTCATTTGTTTTGTTTTTCTTTATGACAGTAGCTATAAGAACATCTTTCTGGTACAAGAAAGTTACCTTTCTTATGCAAGTTTTATTTCACGCTTTTTAAGTGCCTTTGTCTCAAAATCATCTTAATTTCAAATTGCCCTTTTATGGGTGTGTCCTATTACTTTACAGTGACAAATAATCCTTTTTTATGTATAGATTAAATATTATACTGTCATTCCAAGTCAGTGCCTTTAGGGAAAGTAGGGATTAAGCTAGGTAGAACATATGTGATCAAGAACTTTAGAAGTGAGGATCCTACTGTTCCTGTTAGCCCTTATACTTCTTAAATGTGGCAGATTGACTTTTTTGTCCTTAGCCCTTTCTTTTCAAAGAAAAAACTTTTGAAATAACTTATTTTTTTTAAAAGAAAATGAAGATCCATAATCTACTTATCAAACCCGAGTCTTCTCCCATAACCCTGATTTATCATTTATCTTCTGGAATCATCTGAGTCTACTAAACAAGACAGTGTTTCATGAAATGTTAGGGTTCTTAACCTCACAGTGTGTACAGTCTTCAAAAAAGGGACGTGTGTGTGTGTGTGTGTGTGTGTGTGTGTGTGTGTGTGTGTGATAGAGGATGTTTTCCTCTGTTCATATGGAAAGTCTATTCTTTACTGTGTTATAGATTCATGCTAGGTCTTTCTTTACTTCTCTCATTGATGTAACCATTGGTTTTTAAAACTTAATCTGTCATTGGCTTTTTCTACAGCTTCATAGTATATAAATCCAAATAATCTGATCCATTTTGTTTCATGACTTCTGGCTATTTTATGTTTCCCAATAGGACTTAAATCCTAGTATAGTTTTACTTCCAAAAATGTTTCCTTTTTCAATTCAGACAGTTTTTCTCCAGTTATAGTTTTCAGTTATGGCAAGGTTTTTTTTTTTTTGGCATTGAGATTCAACATACTGTAGTTATCATTTACTGTGTTAATTTGACAGTTATTTTGGGTGAGACTGAATATAAAACAGTAGCAGCTTCAATATTTTTTGTAACTTGAAAGTTACGAAGAATATTTTTATAAACCAAAATAAACTTATTTCCATTAAAAAACAGATGTGATATAGTTGTTCTTTCAATTTTATTTTGACAAAACAATAGAACTTTAGTTATATTAGTATATTGTAACACATCATAATTTTGTCAGGATATAATAATATAAAATCAATATATCTTAAATAAATTTAACTTGGTTATAGAGAAAATATTAAATTAAGTTTAGTGGTAGTAAATTACATATGAAGTATAGAAAACCTTTGTAAAATTAGCAATACAATTCAAATTTAAACAGTTTTAATATTCTTATAAATAAATTAATAATGTTTATCTTGCAAAAACAATCCATTGACAAGTTGGTTATTTTAGCACACTGTGAAATTCTGAAGTTGAAGCACCAAATTTCAAATAAACATTTTGTTAATCAAGTTAAAAAAATTTAAAGATTTATTTTTATTTATGTGGCCTGCATCTGTGCGAGTGAATGCCACCTTTGCATGGGTGTCCTTGGAAGCCAGTTGGATCCCTTTAAGCTGGAGTTTCAGGCAGTTGTGAGCTTCCTGACTTGGGTGTTGGGAACTGCACTCTGGTCCTCAGACGAGCAGCCAGCATTCTTAACCACTGAACAATTTCTCCAGCCACATATGAACTTAAATTCTAACTTCGTAATTTACTCATAAACACCTGGAAAGTAATATGCATGGCCTATGTTTTAATGCTCGCCCTTAGACATGTGATTGAATAACTGTTGGTATGGCTTCACTGGGATGTAAGTGTTCAGTGTTACCTGTCTTTCCCCAGAAGTCAAGCACTGATGAGAGGACCAGAGCAAATGAAGGGGGCGAATGAAGGGCGGCCACTTAACATCAGCACCAGTCTGGTAGTAAAATAGATTACCCTGAAAGTCACTTGTGGAGTTTTAAAAGGTGAAAGGGCTGTTTGCCTAGTGAGCGGAGTGCACCAGAATCATGGGGGAAATTTTTTGAAACAAAATTCTAGGAGATGGAGACAGAAAAATTCTGGTGATTTTGGGGGCTAGCTTAGGCTATATAATGAAATACTTCTCATCAAAACAAACACACATTTCTGGTTTCAAGATACAGTTTCTAACTTTTTTTTAGGTTTAGAATATTCTTGAATTGGCATTTATAACAAGTTCCTGGGTGCTGCTGCTGCTGTTGCTACTACTCAGGGACCCCGCTGGTCAAGATGAGTTTTCATTTTATTGCTAGATGGTAACTAGGACAGTAGGATGTTTTCTGAATAGGAAAGCTAGGTGAAATACATAATTGAAATGAGATGTTGCACATGTTAGTTCAGGTGGAAAAAAAAGGTCTCGGCAGCAGTCACATTGAGTGGTGAAGAATGCCAACCCTTGTCTATGGTCTTGGGTCACATTTTCCAATACAAAGGGGATACAGCACCAGCGTGAATGTAAATATCAGCACCATCACTTCCACCTCAGTGGATCAAGAAATGTAAGCTTTGCCTCCTACTGCCTGGCCCCTGAGAGCCATCAAATAGTGCTACAACTATTTGATTTGTAAAATGTTTGTTTTCTTAGCATTTTTCAAGACTTAGCTTCTGGGGTGGTTAAGGGATGTTAAAGGTCATGAACTTTTCCTGGGCATAGATCTTATTTTTTAAATTTAAAATTTGTGCATACACTATTATGTGACTGTGTGTGTGTTGGGGGAGGTTGTATGAGTCTTTACACAAGGAATATGTTGCTTTCTCTGAAATTAGACCAGAAGCAAGTCTCTCTCACTACCCCTGCTCCCACTTCCAGCACGGTGTATGGGACCTAGTTCAGTACTGAAGAAAATACTTGTTATACTGATTTAAGTACACTTGGGAATGTATCAATATACTTAAAGCAAGTTTTAAGACATATAGAAGCGGTTTGAAGTAAGGTTTCTCTGCAGATGATTGGTGAGAATAGATAATGTGTGTGTGTGTGTGTGTGTGTGTGTGTGTGTGTGTGTGTGTGTGTGATGTCTTCCAAAAGAAAAATTATAAAAGTAACAAAGAAACAGATTGTAAAACCATGTTATGTACTATTTTGATCAAAGAAAAATGTTCGGTGTCTGATAAACCAGCGGGCGAGTGCCTCTATTCCTCCCTGGTGATACTCTTTAAGGTCAGTGTTTACCAGAATGGAGAGAAAGTGCACATCTAGTAAGTGGTGTCCTTGTTGCTTTGAGTATATTGAAAACTGAAGAGAAATGTTTCAATGTATGTGTATAGCATCCTAGTAAAATTAATCCCCTGAGGGTAAACATTTTACCCCCTTTGAATCTATTGACATTAAAGTGAGCTCCATGAACAAGCCAATAGACATCATCAACCAAACAGAAAACAAACCCACACTTTATATCCAAGCCTGTTACAATCCCCTTCAGGAAGTTTCCTTTGGTCCTAGCTTTGGGCATGTGTAAATGAGTCCTGAAACATCATGACTCTAATTCATCCTGTGTTCTTGGGCTTTATCCCCCCTCAATAGGTCTGACTATCCAGTTCTTGCCGTGATGTGCTGGTGTTCTGGATGCACCCATCTCCTTCTCTAGCTGAAGTCTAAGGTCTCAGGAAGGAGATGGAAAGAAACCAAACTCCTTAGGTCAAGAGTGGGAGACAAGGAACACATTGTACATCTATTGAACCAAATTCCACTTAGTTTGTGGGACAAGCCCCACACAGGCATTGTTTAGTGAGTGGAATGTGATTTCAGTGACATTTTGTGGAAAGCTGTTGCCTTCCCACAGGGAAATTTAAACCACGGAGATGTAAAGACCCACATTACAGATTAACTGGAATGACATGCTGTCTGGTGTGGTGAAACTTGGCACTACTGAATCTTCACCAAACAACACTGTTAGAGAAAATGAGATCTAGATAAATTGCAGGCACCAAGCCATGACTTCGTTATTTAAGAAGGAAAAAAAGTGCTTCAGTTTTCTTCAGGGTCTTTTCTTCATGCACACCTGACAGCGGCTTATGATTTTGTCTAAATTTCCAGCTTTCACAGTTGATGGAATAGGTTTTCTGAAATAAACACAAATAAAAGAACTCATTGATTTGTGGATAAAAGGGAACACTTAATTTGCTTTGAGTTTTGTTAATAAACATTGTAGCTTATTTTAGTTTTATTACAGAAACATCTCTCTTTATAACAGAGAATTTCTGAAAAGATAAATTATGTTTGCATATATAAACATATATCAATAGTTTATATTTTCATTGTGTTTCATCAGAATTCATAGAAACTTTCCTGCAAACCTACAGATTCATTTTTTAAATGAATCCCTTTTAAATTATTATGAGCTTTCTAATACATTACTTTAAGATCAGTTAGTGTTTTATTCAGTAATTTACTATAAATCCATTTATGTGTTAAATATGTTTAGTGATGACAAGATCATGTGTACATTTGGTCTTTACTGACACGGTGAGAAATAGAATCTACTTGTTGACTTGAAAATACCTCTAACCTTGTAGTATGAAGGTAGCATTGTATTGGCAGGAGTGAGTTAATGTAAGTACATCCATACACAGGTAAAAAATTAAAAAGCAGATACAGGCAGCCTTTGGACAGCTCTACAGCCAAGTCAAAACTGACATTGCATAGTTACCTGAACATTCTTTCTGGGCTTAATGAAGCCAGCCAGAAACTATAGGAGTTTGAGTAGTAGTTACATGTCCCCCGTCCGTGGCATTCTATAAACGGACTGGCTCGGAATTCCTCCAGGCAGGAGCCAGGTGATGCAAGTGCTTGGCCAGCGCCCTCAGAGCCTGCACTTGTGAACTATCACAACGAAAGGGTCTCAATGAAAAACTTTACTCACTGGAGTTCAAATACAAGTCTCCCACATTTTGGGGGTGGAAGAGGAGCAGTAATTTAAACAATAACAACAACAAACCCGGAAAACAGAACTATCTCTCCTGTTTTATCTAGATTTGCTAATGCTCTTGGCATCTTCTAGGAAGACACACAGTCATCCAAAGGAAAGTGAGAGCTGGGAGTTCTCATGCCTCATCTTTGAACACGTGTGAGCACCTAGACCCGTTACTACTATTGTTTTCTCATCCTGCCTATTGTCTCTCTTAACTACTGGGATATAAGCTTCATGAGAAGAATGTGGTACCTGCCAGCCTTACTGCCCAGACCAGCTGGGGCTCTTGATGGGTGTTCAATGTAGTTACTTACTGATTGAGTGGACAGCTGTGAGTTTAGAAGGGGACCGATGTATGCAGAATGCGCCAACAGCTGTTGGCACGATGGATGGACAGGCTGTACCCTGACGTTAGCAGTAGAGTCAGGGCTTTCCTCCTGCCTCTACCTTGCGAATGCTGGGATTACTCGGTTCTATGGACTGCTGATGAATGAAACGTTAAACTTTCATCCCCAGCCCCAGAGTTGCTACTTAAGTGTATATTTGGATTGTCAAGCATCTGTGACATATTACACATATTAGCAGTACAAGAGTCTATAGATAACAAACACTACTTCAAATGTGCTAAGGCTCCCCCCTTACCATAACGAAGGAAAAACCTTTCCAGAGAGAGACCCAGCCATGGGGACATGGAGGGATAGCAGTAGTTTGGCTGTGAACAGCTATGGCCATCGCAGGACCTTCACAAACAGTACATCTGTAATGTGAAACCAACAGTATGTGTGACAGCCACTTTCTACCTTTACATTCCTTACAAGTTAAGCAATCCACTGGGCCCTCTTACAAAATGAAGGGATTGGGTTTTTACCTGCTAATATAGGGTTCAAGAGCTCTGCCAGTAATTGGAGCCATGTCCATTGGCACCAAAGCTGGTGTTGACAGCCAGTATGAATAATCATTCCGTGATGCAAAATTACATACATTATTGATGTTACAGAATAAGAATGGCATTGTGGTGAATCGCTGGAGGCAACTGCCCAGGGTGCCTAAGAAAACATGAAGCTGAGTATCACTTCCAGTAAATTAAACTAATTTTGAGTATCATTATTTAGACACAGGTTAATTATCACATAACCAGTGACAAAGCTGGACAAAAGAAAAACAATACAAGAGAATATTTGCAAAATGTGTTGAAAAGCTTTAGCAATGATGAAAGTCAAAGCTCCAAATGGGTAAACAAATCCTCCCCTATCAAGAATGTTTCCTACAGCTCTAACCACCTGGATAGAACTTGGGGCCTGATGTTGTTCAGGGACAATGACTTTGCTTCAGCTATTTCCAGGTATTCATAATATAGGGAGCTTTAGAAAAGATTAATAAGAGGATTAACAAAAGACAAACGTTGAGGAGAAATTTGTTAGCATTGAGCAACTTAGCTAGGTTCCATCTAGCAGTTCACACATCAGGATGAAAATTAAACCTTGGGCCACAATTGTTCTCTCAAATGCACCAGAAGATGCTAATATGGTTTGCAGTGACCTTCAGAGGAAGCTCCCACCCTATAAATATTTTACAATCTGCATCATAAAGTGACTGGAAGCTAGACCCTTACCAAGGTCTTGTCCATGTGCACGTTCGTTCCCTTGTACAAAAAGAAGAGAAAACCCACTGTAGAGTGGTCGTGTTCCTTCAGGACATGAAGGAGTGGCTGTGGTTTGACTGTGCCGGGTGAAGACAAACCCTCGAATTCTTGTCCCAGAGGCAGGTGTTCCTCTGTCTCCAGGTTTCCCTTTTAAGCCTGGCAATCCATCCAATCCAGGTGGTCCTTTGGAAAACAAATTATACATGTCGCAACATGACCATGCTCTCAAACTTGTTTTCCAAAGTAGTACTTTGAATGAGTTAAAGGAATCTTAGGGAAGAATGGGCTATAAAATGGTTAGGATTGTTTATTTTAATTATCAAAAGGGTTAAGAACCACTAAGGAGATTAGTCAGACATTCCTGGGTGTGTCTGTGAGGGAGTTTTTAGAGTTGATTAGATCATCAGCCTTCTGTCCTAATGCATGGATCATAGATGGTGGCTTTCTTGGGAGGTAGGAAGTGGGGGTTTATTTTGGAATAATGCATCTTGCCCTGGACCCTTCTGTATGCCTTTCCCTGCTTTCTGTCTTCCGTGCATTGAGCAATGTTCTTGCACCACGTTGCACCCAAGCATAGAGCCAAACAGCCATAGACTGACCCCTCCAAATCCAAGTGCCAAAATAAATCTTTCCTCCTCTCCATTATTTATATCAGATATTTTGTCCAGTGACACAAACATAGCTGATGTGATGGAGAAATAACATTAACTATAGGTCAGTCTATCACAGGATGTATCCTGTCACTCAAACATGAATGTGTCTTCAGTTTTTTGAGATCAGGTCACTTTTTGATCTTTGAATTCTTTTGGGATGCCTGGCATTGCATTTTACATTTGATTTGGTAGTCCTCATGTACATTTGCTTTTATGAATGAACAAATGGCTTGACTTAAAATGTGTGTGTGTATATAGGAGGGGATGTAGAATCAAATAAACTACCTACAACTTGTAAAGTTGCTCAAGTAGATAATAAAAATTACTAAGTTTCAGGTAAATCCAGAAAGCAATTATGTAAAATTTTGAATGTTCTTTCCAGAGGTACAAACTTTAAGAAAGCTTTTGATCCATTAGCAAGGCAGACAGACTTCTTCCTACTTTAACAAGGGTTCTTTCTTATCTGCAAGAGTTGTAAACAGAGTGGTATTTACACTTTGGCTTTTCTCTGCAATTGGAGCAGGCTGATTCACTTCTGTCACTTTCCAAATAGGAACTCAGTGAGTTTCTTCCTTCTTCCTGTCCCTCCCTCTCCTCCTCGGAGTCTCACAAGTCTACAGTGGCCTTGGCTTTTTAATACATGGGAGGAAGATACATTCTTTATTTTCCCTAACCTCTGAGGGTGATAATTCCCCGGTCATAGTAACGCTCAACCTTCCTTGGCTTGTGGCACTGTTTTTTAAAGGCTATGGATCCTTAGGAGGTGGGGCCTAAAGATTTTACCTGCCTGTAATTCTCCTTTTCTCTGCTTGCTGCCCCAGCAAGAGGTGAGAGCTTCTTCTGTGGTCACAAGATGTTTTCACTGCTGTGTCTTTCCTACTGGTGACAAATCTGCCCTCCCTTAAGTTGCCTCTTTTGTGGATGTTTATCACAGTGATGCAAAACTAACCAATATGATTTTAAGCAGAAGATGTTTTCTAGTGTCTCCATGGCAACTGTGAAATGATTAGCTGAGAATGGCAAAAACTGCAGGTAAAGTTTCATACTCATACAGCCAGGCATGGCGGCTCACGTCTTTAATCCCAGCACTCAGAGGCAGAGGCAGGGGAATCTCTGTGAGTTTGAGGCCAGCCTGGTCTGCAAAGTGAGCTTCAGGACAGCCAGAGCTACACATAGAGAAACCTGTCTTGAAACTGCCACTCCCTTCCCCTCCCCACACACAAAGATTTCATGCTTGTGCACTATGCATGACTATGCTACATCTTTATAGATATGAGCTTGAATCCTTGTATCACTCCTTTGGGGCCTCTATAGCATTTAACTACTCACTCATCAGTTACCAGTACAATCTGATTTGTAGTATCCTATGCTTGGTGTTACCTCATTATAAAATCCAGCTCTGGTAATTAGAGTGTATAAATTAATAGAACCATTTGCAAAAGTACATTATCAATGAAATCAAATGGGTGGATGTCCTCTAATGTATATTCCCAGCAACACTAGATCAAAATTAACCCTGTAGTTAATATTACAGTATCATATTTGAATTTAAGTGCCTAATCTAGTTGGGAAATCATACGAGGAAGTTATGCTCTCATTATAAATCTGGGAATTTTAGGCAGTTAAACATTTCAGTATTTTCCAGAGGGATGCTTTGAAACTTTTGCAGAAGATAGACTTAGAAACATAACTTATATTCCAAGCAGAACATTATATTTGAGAAGCACTTTTTTCACCCAAAATATACACATAAATAGTTGACTTGTGTTCAAAAATAGTATGTTAAAAGGTGGCTTTCCTAAATAAGGAAGCAAAGTTGTTCTATTCATGCCAAGATAGCATTTTAAAAAGAAAGAAAGAAACAACAACAGCAAAACCCCTGACTCAGCATGATGCACTTGTTGAGAGCTAGACCAAGCAAGACTTTCCCTGAAATCCTGCCATATAGAGTAGGAACATAACTCCTTCCCTTCTCTAAACCAGACACAAGCTTGGTGGAGTCAGTAATAGCCTGGGACCAGGGCCTTAAGTGTTTTTCCCTGAGACTCTGACATATGGGGAAGGAACACAGTTCTTTTTCTAAAACCCAGGGTAAACTGGGCAGAGCTGTAATGACCTGGGGCTGGTGCCTTGTGGGAGGAGTTGTGGCTTAGAATCCTAAGAACCCAACTTATCCTGCCCTGAGGAGTTATGGCTATCATTCCCCAGGCTACTGCAAGCTCTCCAGGCCCCTGCGTTCTCCTTGAGCAACATTGGTTGATTAGTTTCCACTCACACTATCCCCTTATTCCCTAGAAACACTACATCAGATGCTGTACTTCTTAACCAGCTTGCCTGGCCATAAGATACAGCTTGCACAAGACTTCCCCATTCCAAACTTTCCTATCTTCTTCTGATCTTCTGGCCCTCCCACTTAGGACCCTGTCACTGAAGAGCCACCTGCTGGCCCAGGTCATACACCTTCTATAAGAAATTATTAGCCAACATAACACCCGTAGGAAATTAAGGAACAATTGGCCTTTCTGAAAATAGGATACTAACTAGTGCCTCATCAGCTCTATTTGTTCGTAGCCAAAGATTTATACCTTGACTGAAAATGAAGAGTATATCTGCCAAGGGCAGAATAGACAGTGTATTCCAGTCATTTGTGACTCTTTCTTCTTCCAAATGAACATATGGCACCTGCTTTTGTTCTAATCTGAAAAAAAGTACTAACCAGGAGACCCAGAATACTCTTTCTGGCAGTCATCTGATCACTCACAGGTATAAATGAGTCTCCTCTGAACGCTGAAACAATACTGCTTCAGCAAGCGAGACAAGCTGGGTGTTTACCTTGTTGGCCCTTAGAGCCTTTGTTGCCCTTTTCACCAACTGGTCCTGGAGATCCTGGTTTTCCATCCTTGCCTGGTTTGCCTCTTGGTCCACAGGGCCCTAGGCAAAAGGCAGCATTGGTTTACATGCCATCACAATGAAAGGTCAGGCTGCCACCCATCTGAGGAAGCTCAGGACTTCTGCAGTAATGCCAGCCAAGTTTGACATCCAAGGAAGGCCTTTAGTCCTGAGCAAACTGGCATGTTTGCTCACTTACTTCCACAGAAGGCCTTAAGAAACCATGAATATATGAACGTGTATGGTGCTTTGTTTTATTTTATTCTAGAATTCATAATGCCTATGAAGTGATCAAACCAATAAGTAATACCCTTCTCATTTCTCATATGATTCAAGCAAACAGAGAACAAGAGTCCTAGTCATAAGTCTATTCCTATATGCTAAGACTAGGTGAGGTGTTAGGTTCGATTTCCAAATATCAGCATTCTGGGAAGACTTTGGAGTCATTTTCCCCTTCACACTCGGCTGTACAAACTGTTAGACTAGTCCATATATGCAGAACTTGGGTGTAGTTAGGCATTCATTTAAAAACTGAACTCCAAAGCTGGCGTTTCCATAGACGATGGATATAATACTTTTATCTTAGTAAAAACAAAACATGGCATTTTAAGGTGTGCTTTTTCTTTGTACTATGCCCAGATGTTTTTATAAGCGCCTAAGTAAGTTCTTTTTTTTTTTTCCTTCTGCTTTTTTCTTCCACTTTTCTCATTAAGGATAAACGAGTCCAGTTCTAAATTGCCTATACAAGACCTTGCGGTGTTTAGTTTTTCTGTGATGTTCTCTTGCCTCCTTGCAAAATACTTTACAGCTTTTCGTGGTTCACCCTTTGCTAAGGATCTGGGTCAAGGGTGCTAGCTCACACCTGGGATTCCAGGTGGTCCCAGTGGCCCAGGATCTCCTTTCATTCCTGGTTGTCCAGGTGGACCAGGTGGGCCTGGGCTTCCCGGAAGGGAGATGATCTTAAGTGTGCCTGGTTTTCCACGTGCACCTATTGACATAAACACAATGAGAACGTGGCTTCACAATACCACCCTTTCCTTATAGACCACAATTACAGAGAAATAGATCTATTTACCAGGTGGTCCTTTTGGCCCTGGTGGTCCTGGATGTCCAATTGATCCAAGAAATCCTGGATTACCCTTCTCTCCTAAGAAGAAGGGAGAGAAAGAAAGAATCGAAGAAAAAAGCCTTGTGTTTTAACATTCACAGGGAAGTGTTCCTGAGAGTTCACATTTTGAGTCTGGGAACCAATGAAAAACGGATAAGTTATGAGGCCCTACCGAACCCATGTTAATACTACTTACTGAGCTTCTTACATTTGGTTGTCTCAGTTCCCTACTTTCTTATTCTGTTTCTCCAGCTGTATGGCTAGCCCAGAGTTCATTACGTCAGGAATCCTCATGGAAATTTATTTATGTAGCAAAATGGTTAACACTTCACTTCTACTCATAATCTTTTGTATAGATGATAAAAGGTTATCAAAATTGGATTTGGAGAAATACTCCTTCAAAGAGTATTAAAAGTACATAGAAATGGACTGGGCATGTTGCCTTTAATCCCAGCACTCAGGAGGCTGAGAGGGTGGATCTCTGCGAGTTTGAGGCTAGCCTGGTCTATAGAGGGAGTTCTAGGACAGTCACTACTACATAGAGAAACCCTGTCTCAAAACGACAACACGGATTACATATAATTATTTAAGATAAAGCAACAACACAAATTACATGTAATTACTTAAGGTACTTTAATATTGCCGGGCATTGGTGGTGCATGCCTTTAATCCCAGCACTTGGGAGCCAGAGGCAGAGGCAGGCAGATCTCTGTGAGTTCGAGGCCAGCCTGGTCTAGAGAGCGAGTTCCAGGAAAGGCTCCAAAGGCAATACGGAGAAACTGTGTCTCGAAAAACCAAAATTAAAAAAAAAGGTACTTTAATATTAAATATGATATCAATAGGTGAAATATAGTAAGATTGGGCTTAGTGATGCAGGCTTTAATCCCAGCACTTGGGAGATAGAAGCAGGAGGATTGCAAGTTTGAGGCTGTCTCAAAAAAGCAAAACAGAGAAAAGGAAAAAAATAGAAACAGAACAAAATAATTAATTACTGCACCAAAAATTAACTGACAACTACTTTAGAAATTACCTGTTTTCTATGAGAACCAGAAGAAAGTATGACTGTTTACTTGTGCCTATGAAAAGCTACCTGGAACTTTTTCCAAATGAATAAGCAAAGTCTCATAGAAGATCCAAACAAGGGTTTGATTCTGAAATCTAACCGATCCCAGGCATTGGTTGTAAGACTCTCTTCCCTGCTGACCTCTAAATATTTAAAATCACTAAAGGATGTTTTTCCTTGGTGGAACTTTTACGTGCTTACCACACTGTCGATGTTTTTATCCTGAGACATCGGAAGATGTTGTCATTACCTGTGCCCAGGAAGGCCTGCCTGTATTCATCCAACCCAAGTCCAGTGAGACACCTCCCAATCACTCACCATGATTTATCCTCAACTAACTGCTCCTTAAAAGTCTGGAGTCTGTAGAAACTGTAAAAAGATGTTCTAAAGCCCATCTGGACCTCCTTTGAAAGGACTAACAGTTTTCAGGCATGGAAACCCAGCCTTGCTCACATGAGATACAATTGTTATTTAGTATCCCAACAAGGCTGTGATATAGAGTCCTGCACCATGAAATTCATACTAGAGGAATGAACAGTTAAACAATGATGCTAATAAAAAAAAAACTTATTTGCATTACATTCCCAGACAGAGTCTCACTGCATAGCTCTGAGGCCTGGGATAACAATATAGAACAGGCTGGTCTTGAACTTTTAGTCATCCTCTTGCCACTGCCTCCCAAGGGCTAGAATTATAAGCATGCTCTACTACACCTGGCATATCACAGAACGTTTAATATTAAGAATATCATGGCTTGAATTTCAGTTTTTGAGCTCTTGCCCAGCATGGATGAAGCTTTCGGTTCAGTCCCTATCGCTGTAAATAAGTCCCTTAAAACACTGTGCATAAAAATTCACGTTAACCACACTCATGGTCAATTTTGATAGTTTGAGCTTTCCAAATTATGAGATTAAATGTACAAGGCCAAAACGTCAAGACAGTACCATCAGTATCGATGCAGTATGCCATCCCCCATCCCAGTGCATTCTAAAACTTCCAAAGGTAACACTTTCAATTATGCCTAATTTTCCTGTCGTTTTCTTTATTATGTTGTAGCTTTGCTCTCAATCCTGTGGGTTCAGATGCTAGTGGAGTGTTCACACCAATTTCCTGTTGGTAGGTCTTCACCCTGAGGTTCTGTTTGTACTGCTCATCAGACATGATGTGCAGTTTTACAAATGGGATTTGAGTAACAGTTACTGCATTTGTATGGAAGAATAATGATATCAAAATAGTACCTTTTATGCCTGGAAATCCAGGGAATCCGGGATCACCTCTGAGACCTGGAAGGCCTGGGGTGCCTGGTGCTCCCTATATTTCAAGTACGTGGGGGAAGGAGCAGAACCACAAAGTTTTAGAAACACAGTACTCGTGACAGATTGTTGGTTTTTTTTTTTAAGCAAAAGATATAACTTTATATTGGTATAAGGTGAAATTGATAGACATCATTTTTACCTGTAAGTTCAGTATTCTGCCTCTTTAGAGCTCTTCTTAGGATTATTTAAAACAGCACACACACACACACACACACACAAAGTGCAAAGAGCAAACTTGCTATCTAATGTTCGTGTATAGGGTTTTAGCTTTGAATGCATTTAAATGGAACTGCCCTGTATTTCAGGGAGAATGAACCTTTAATTTTTCTCAGAGACCTCTACAGAGCCATTGTTGAACCCAATTGTCATTGTGCTAAGCTGGCAGAGTTCTAAATCACTCTTGATGAGGGTGACAAGAGAACTAAACTGTCTAGAGGTGGGACTGGAAAGGGTGATGGGGAAGGGGTGGAGCCTACTGAGTAGGAGGTGCTCACATCAATTGTTCTTGGAGCCATAAGACACTCAAGGGCAGCCCTAAGAGAAGAGAGGGGTTTCTGGAAAGAGAAATACCTTAGATCTGCTCTCATGCTGTTCTCAGGAACTGAGACAGAATGCTACTGAAAACAATGAACCAAAAGTTAAGAAAAAGGTGCCAAGAATCACAAAGGTTACCTCAGAGTCAGCTGCCTCCAGGCAGTAGTCTGATTGCTGGCATGAGACTGTATGAGGTTAAAAGAAGAGAGAGAGGAAAGGGAGCCCCTGTCTGATCAGGGACTCTGGCTTCTGGCAATTGCCTGTTCTCTTTAGCAAAAGATGGCTAAGGAGAGTCAGAGACCAGGTTCAGCCCTCTGGTGGAAAGGGAGGCATTTTGGTCCAAGAGAGAATTGTTAAAGAGGGCCAGTTAGGACATCCCTCAAGCAGAATCATCTTTCCATTGGAAATGACCATGAAAGCACCCAAAAGAATGAAGACAAGTCCTCTTCACAGAGTGGACTTTCTGTCTGCCAGTGTCCCTGGGAAAGCTTTAGATGTGGTCATCAGATCAATACCAAGAACTTTTGAAGCATCCGAGGGTGTATGAGTGATATCTATGGATTGCATGGGGTGAACAGTATATCAAAATAGAGTCTAGAAGCCAAATAACAAAAGAGATTAAGAGTTTAACATGGTTCCTAATAATAGTCATGCTACAGAACCCCATATTCACTCCTAGTTAGGGTAGAGGTGGGGTGATGGGTTGGGTCATAGAGATTGGTATTTTCATGTGATCTTCCCACCATGCTTTGTGGTCATAGGGCAGTCAGGATAGGTTTTAAGCTTAGTGAGAGACCAAACAAAGGGCAAATTATTTAAAGGATTCATTCCAATTTGTAGAGGAAACTTGATACGCACTCTTGAATGAAGGAGTGATGGATTTATTCTTTGAAGTTTAATTTTAAAGTGTGTGTGTGTGTGTGTGTGTGTGTGTGTGTGTGTGTGTGTGAACTCAGGTGTTGTCAGACACCAGAAGTGCTGGATAACTTGGAGCTGCAGTTATAGGTGTGTGGTGATTTAAATAGGAATGGTCCCCATAGACTCATGTGTTTGAAAGCTTGGCCCATAGGGAGTGGCACTATTAGGATGTGGCTTTGTTGGGGTAGGTATGGCCTCGGTGGAGGAAGTGTGTCACTGTGGTGGTGGGCTCTGGGGTCTCATATATGCTCAAGCTGGGCCTAGTGGGGCAGTCTCCTGCTGCCTGCGTATCCAGATGTAGAACTCTCAGCTCCTTCCCCAGCTCCATGTCTGCCTGCATGCTTCTCGCCGCGATGATAATGAGCTAAACCTCTGAAACTGTAAGTGAGCCATTTCAACTATAAGAGTTGCCATGGTCACAGTGTCTTTTCACAGCAATAGAAACCCTATCTAAGTCAAGGTGGTTATGAGCTGTCTGATGTGGGTACTGGGAACTGAACCCAGGTCCCCTGGAGGAACGGCAGGTGCTCTTAACAACGGAGCCATCTCTCCAGCTGTAACATATTGCTTCTTAGTCTAGTAAATGAGACGGTCACGACCTGGCCTCTTTTTAGCCCTCTGGTCTCCTTCCACCTCAGCCTCCAGATGTGCCCCTCAAACACATACAGTGTCTTTCAGCTCTGAAAAACCCCTTTTCTCTCAGCCTCCACTCCCGCTTTTCTTGTTTTCCTGGATAAATGGTGTGTATCTTTTCAGACTCATGCCCTGAGCACATTCCACGCATGAAATTAGATGTCCTTCCTGTATTCCTTCAGCTGTCCATCTTTCCTCATAGCACACAGCATGAAAATGACATGTCTCAGTGTCTGTCTCCTTTACCTTAGGCTGCATTGACTGGTACAGGGCGTACACTCCATAATAAGGATTGAGCCACACTTATCTACTCAACACCTCTTTCCAAGAAACCAAAACACAAAACAAAACAAACCAGAAATGTGCTTACTGAATGTGTCACTAATAGAATTCAGGAGAGGTGGTAGAGGTTGAGGTCTCAGAGACTCAGAAATAAGAGGCCTTGTAGGCTTAGGAGTTGGCCTACAAGAACAGGATGGCATCCTTGGAGGTAAGTGTAAGAGTTCTGCAGGTACCTCTCAAATACTAACAGCACAAAGCTAGACGAGAATATGGAAGAAACACTAATGTAGGAGAAACTTGGAGCAATAGAATTGGTGTTGTAAAGGATTTACTAGTATATTTGCTTAGGAAATGTTAATCACATAGAGTAGAATTTGGCTAAGGGAGTACTGCCTCCAAACTACACCAAAGACAAGCAGCTAACTAGGTCTGTTAGAGATAAGCAAGATTTATGATGCCAGGATGTAATGTTCACCAAAGAACAGGATGTTTAAGTCTAACAGGATGTGCAAGGGGACAGCATGGGGTCACAAGCAGTGTTAAGTCCTTGCCTGCCATAATGTCCCTGGTTCTCTTCTTGAGAAAAGCCTAATTCTGCCAGGTGGCCAAGATGAACGTGTGTAGCAACTATTTTGGAAAAAAGTACAACACTGGTGTGCTTAAAAATAATCCTAGTGATATTTGTTGTGGAAATCTTTCATTTGCCTAAATGGCCAGATTCATAGTCTCTGGTCTCTGTTTAAATTGTTCAAAGTGTAACCTGGAGCCATGACCTAAGAGATTTTTGTTTGATTGTTTGTTTTTTGGAGTGGGGTGGATGATTGTGTATGTGAAATGCACAATCCTAAGTGTATATCGGAGCTTCTCATGGGTATTCACAAGGACAGAACATATGCTATTAAAAGCCTTTTCCCTTATTAATCTCTAAGTGTGTGTGAGTGATTTCTTACTGGGAAGGCAGATTTTTCCTACAGCAACTTTGTAGGAGTTTATGAAGAAAAGTCTTGTGAACCCCGCTGACTCTTAAGCTCAGGATTTCATTACCAGTGTGGCCCACAGGGATCTGAAGTTGAAGTCCTAAAATGGCAATCAATGTTCAGGCCAGTGAGATACTTCCTTCCCTTAGCCACTCACTGGGGGATTTAGCTCTTATTTATGAAAGATTTTCTACTTCTGGCTTCATTTAAAAAGGACATACTGTCTAACTGGGGTATATTCAGGGCAGAGGTGAGGCTTACGAACAAAGAAACTGCATCTTTCAGAACCAAGTAGAAAATCTGAGGGATAAGTGGAAATTACATTTAAGCATTGGTGACATGTGGTGAGGAGAAAATTGAAATATTTACAGAATAGCAAAGGTCATTCTGAAAACATTAATAGAGGGCAAAAATGACTATCATTTGGGGGCAATTGTCAACTAATAGGTGTTTAGACTTTTCCCCCACTGGAATGGCTCACAGTTTAAATAAGCAAGGATCAGAGGTGTATACCCCATAGATCTCTGTGTTAAAGGCCTTGTACAGGTGAAATCTTTGCAGTCCTTAAGAGCTGTCCTGGGCTCTGTAGGACCTTGGATGATGCATCTCATCACTGCACAGATGTGTCATCAAATAGTGCAGTCAGTCATGCATGGCAGTTGGTTCACCAGAGTTAACAGGACAGTTCATGAATAGTGAGCAGGTGTGCCCAGAACTGACACACACAATATGATGCAGTGTAACAACAGTAAGTTGGAAGTGTACTAATAACATCACACACTCACCGGGTGACCTGGTGGGCCTATGCCGCCTACATCTCCAGGTAGACCTTTGGGGCCAGGTTGGCCCATATATCCTTTATCACCTTTTACGCCTTTTACGATATGTCCTGGAGGTCCCCGGGGGCCTGGTTTACCTGGATTCACAAAGAGTCCATTAGAGTTGACAGTAAGGGTTCTGGAGAGCTCTGCCATGGATTCTTTTAAATGAATTACAAGCCCTACCCCTTTTTATTGCCTCAAACACTCTTTCCTTTGCTGCTGGGAGGTGGCACTGTGGTGAAGATGGAGTAAGAACCTGCCAGGGAAGTCTGTGGGGAAGCAGGGAGGAACCATAGCCCCCTGAGGATGGTCTGTGGGGAAGCATCCAGCCCGATGCATGGTATAGGCTCCACAATAGAGGTCTCTGTTTTTAGGATTTTAATTAAATCTGTGTCCCTCAACTCCACCACCAGCCTACTGATGTGAGAGTCTGGGGTATGTGTAGAATGAAGAAAACAGGGAGCAAAACAAGTAGCTGTGAGCTAATGTGAGAAGAACACCTCTGATGTCAAATGAGACTTTCATTCCAACTTGTGAAAGGAAACCCTCTACCTGGATTTCCTCTTGGGCCAGGCAGACCTCTGTTTCCTTTTGGGCCAGGGACAAGTGCCCCAGGTAGACCTGGTGGTCCTGGGAGTCCCCTGATGCCTGGGGGTCCTCGAGGTCCAACATCTCCCATGGAGCCCTTCCTGCCAGAGAGGCCAGGCAAGCCTGGAGCTCCCTTGTCTCCTTTGACACCTGAAAAGAAGAAGGTTCATTGAAAGGTCCAAACAATATGCTGTTTCTCTTGGCTTTTCTCTACAAAATAGAAAAGGGTTCAAAGAATATGTTTATCCTATGACACTAACTTGAGAAAGGCATGTCTAGTCTGTTAAAAAAAAATACAGACTTTGAGGAACATGTTAGGTAAGTTATCATGTCTCAGAAGGGAACATAGTAGCTCTTTCCAAACAGTAACATGAACCCCAAGCTCAGTGCAGGGGCTGGAAACAAAGTGGGGAAGGGTGGCACTACCACTGTATCTCAGCGACTGGGAAGGATGCGCCCAGGGAAGCCAGGTCTGCCTGCATCCTTTCAGGAGCCAAGTCATCGAAACAACCAAACACCAAAACCAGCAAAACATGGGCATGTGAACTCTTTTTGTCTTTAAAAACTTTCACAGAAGGAAATTCCCCAAAGCCAGGTCACAGCTTTGGATTCAGTCCTTTGTTGTGATTAACTATTAAGACCACACATATTTAGTACCACCACTGAAGCATCTTTCACTTGCCAAGTTACATTGTTCGATAAGTCAAAAACAGGGAATTAGGTTCTCATCTAGGAAACACGGAGTTTAAGGTCAGGAAGAACTGCCTACCTGGAACACCAGGGCTCCCTTCTGGGCCTGGAAAGGCACCCAGCAAGCCTGTAAGAGGTAATTATGACATATTAATATTCAGTTAATCTCAGTACATCTTATATATGAAGTACAATTGGTACACACTGAGACTGTTTTAGGGACCATCAGTTCTATCAGTAGGGAACAGTTAGAGCCACATGGAATTAAAATGCTATTAATAAACTAGTGGATCAAATATTAAAAGTAAGAGCCAGTGAGGTAGCTCTGTGGGAAAGGGCTCATGCTGCTCAGACCTGACTCTAATTCCCCAGGACCCATGTAGGGCAAGGGAGAATCTACTCCTGCAGTTCATCTTCTTGATGACTACACAAGAATTATAGCACAAATGAACCCATACACATACAAATACACATACACACACATACACACACACATACATACATACACTCATACACACACACACACAATACACATGCTCACACACACACACACACAATACACATGCTCACACATACAATACACACACACACACATACATACATATACACATACATACACATACAATACACATATGCTCACCAAGTAATTTTATTTTTTTAGGAAGCTGTACCTGTTTCTCCCTTTTCCCCAGGTGGACCAGGAATTCCATCATGCCCTTGGTTACCTCTCACACCCATTGGCCCAGGAGGTCCTGGGAGTCCTGGAGGGCCTGAAATAAACAGAATCCCAAAGCATGCCATTCAAAGACAGTCCCTCTTTCCTCCTGTGGCCCACTGTGAACGGGGGAGGTAGGTGGAAAGTGCCAAAGGTACTGAGTTTTCAGAACCATAGTTATGTGGAACTGCATAAAGACAAAAAATGCCTAGATTAATACGCTCATGAGATGACCATGTGGTATTTTATACCAACAGATACTTCAGTTACATAGACAGGGTTAGGGACCCCACTGTTCTGCATTCTGTGGGTACAGTGAGCTTAGACACTCCAGCCTTGAGAAGGAAGTGTGTTTTCTTCAGACTAAGGGGAAGAATAAGTTTTAAAATGAAACCTGGAAGGCCAGTGCTTCCTGGAGAGCCGGGGAAGCCTTTCTTTCCTTTCAGACCCAAATCACCACCAGGACCCGGATTCCCTAAAGATCCAGAGAGAGGGGAGAGAGACAAAGACATAAGTGGCAGTTAAATCAGGGAAATTCCTGACAGGTCACCTCAGACCAAAAAGGCATTTCTCACAGAAATCACACTGGTGTAATTCCCTTCATAAGTTGAAGTCCCAACGCCCAACACATCAGAATGCCATTGTATTTACTAATGTGGTTGCTTGCAAGATAACTCAGTGGGCAAAGGCGCTTTCAGCTAAGCCTGACAACATGGAATTTGATTCCAACACAAAGTGTTCAATATCTGATGTATTGCTAAGGTCAAGAGGTAACTACAAATTTATTGAATCCCTCAGCGTTTGAAACTTCAGTTAAACTCCTTCTTTATGTAGGTCTGAAGCTGTAACCAAACAGTTCAGCAAATGTTGTGTTTGTTTTTCAGATTCATTTAATAAATGTCTTTTTCTTCCCATATTTCCCTCCTCTTCCCAGGGCTGGAACCTGAACCTAAGACCTTACATGTATGAGAAAAACAGTGCACTACCAAGCTTCATTTCCAGCTGAGCAATTTGTTTTTAATAAAACAAAACAAGAACTTGTTATAAGGTAACATGGACATCAATGTCCAGACCAGAAATGTGCCAGGAAAAAATAAAGATTTAAAATAGCACTACAGGTGGAATTATGTTTCTCCCACATTTATACATTGAAGTCCTAACCCCCAGTACTTCAGAATGCCATTGTGTTTAGCAACGTGGCTTTTAAACATTGGGGCTGACAAGATAGCTAAGTGGGTAGTGATGCTTGCAGCCAAGCCCAACAACCTGAGTTCAATCTCCAGGATCCATGTGGTGGAAGGAGTGCACTGATTCCCACAAGTTCTTCTTGCAAGTTGTCCTCTGACTTCTACAAGCATCCTACAGTATACATACACCACACTCACATGTAATACATAAATACACAATGTGATCTTTAAAAAGTTAAACGCAAGTGAGGATTCTTGCCCAACACTCGTGGCATCTTTGTAAGAGATCAGGATGAAAAAGCAAGGGGAGACTGGAAGAGGTGGCTCTGGCCAAGCCCAGAGGTCTCACAAGAACCAGCCTTACCAGAACTTTGGTCTCAGAGTCCTGGCTTCCAGACGCTTAAGTCACCCAGTCTATGCATGCATTATGAACCCTAGCTTTCTTATTCTAACCTAAGTACCATTTCATCTTCACTGAACTTGTTGAGGCAGAACTTCAGCTGTTTTGATTACAAGAGCAGGTGTTTGGATTTCTGTCCCCGAAACAGTAAAATGAGGCTGCTTCTGATTAACTATTTTTTTTTAGTGCCATAGAATTTGAAATTCAAAGCTCAATCAAAACAATCCAAACAATTGTAGCATGTACACCCCAAGTTTTAGCTTTCTGTTTACAAAGACGCTTCTAAAAGGTAAGGGCCATCGTCTACACACTGCTCCCACCGTTCCGAACTGTGAAGCCGGGGCTCACCTGGGTAGCCAGGACTCCCAGGGTTCCCAAGGGTTCCATCAGGTCCAGCAGGCCCCGACTGTCCAGGTGGCCCAGGTAGGCCTCTCTCTCCTTTCTTTCCTTTGTCACCTGGCAGTCCTGGATCACCCTTCAATTGAACCAAACACCTTTAAATTTCTCACATAAGCAGGGTATGTGGTTAGGAATAAGTAAAACCTGTTTATTCACTTATTCATCCCTATTGAGTTCCTGCTACAGGCCAGTACCCTGAAATATATGGGGATATGTTAGCTGCACATTTTGTGAGGCCAAATGCAAAATGAAAATTCACCTCCCTGTTTTTAAGGACTCTGGAAGGGTCTCAAGAGAACAATAGTAGAACATTTAGCCAAGATAGGGTCAGGGCAGCACTGGGTCTATGTAAAAAATCCTGTCACTGATGTAATATTCATTATATCTGTGTCTCAGATTAATGATAATTCAGAACGTGTATGGTTAATGGTAACTTACAAAATTTCCATCATGGCTGACTAGAATATATTATCTTCTTACCATGACTCCACAACCTGATAAAAAGCAGCCTGTAGCCAACTGAGAGCCCTGAAGATTTCGTGTGGTTATTGCCTCCCAAAACCTGAATCTAGACAGGGTTGGTAGGGAGCCGAGCAAGAATTCAATTAAATAGGATTGCTTTCTGAGAAAACACCCCAATGGAAGGTGTTTCCATGGTTTTTATGAAAACCAGTCAAAACAAGGGGTAAATTGTGTTTCAAATGCCGAAAGCTTGTTTTCTTAGTCTTTTCAGTTTCTAGCTTTTCTCCTTTTCATTTTGACGATGACTACCGCAGAGGATGGAAATGATGATAGCAAAGGTTTTTGTTGCTGTCTTGAGATAGGGTCTCATGCAGCTGGGACTGACCTCCGACTTGTGTAGTCACTGGCAAAGTTCACTACTGTGTATCCTGTCTTCATCCCCCAGGTATTGGGATTACAGCTATGAGAGGAAGTGTTAGTCTGCTGTCTCAAAAGAGATGATTTCTGAGGCAACAACTTTATGCTCTGGGTCCATAAACCCTTGTATAGCCAACAAAAAAGAAATATCTGTTCCCTTTACAAGAACATGCGCCTGAGGACTTCACATCCAATTTAGGAGATTAGTGGATCCCTTGGGATGCTGCAGAGTTCTCCAGGGGAGGTCCACGAATCCCATGTTTAAAAGCTCTGCTTCCTGGAATGTCTGCTAAAGACTCTATACTAGTGCAGCTCTGACTCTCACTGTTAAGAGCAGAAAGCAAGGTTGGATGGAAATAAAACCTAAAGAGCAACCAAACCCCACTCAGACATCCAGTTGCTGCCACACGTGTGAAGTGTTTTGGATAGCCAACCTCAGTCTAATGGAACACAAGTTCTGAGGAGGACCGCAGCAACAAGGCAAAAGCACTCTGTGTAATGAAGTGAAAACATTTAAAAATCTTGTAACACAGGGATACATACAGGCCTCTCAAGACTTGTTTTTTTTTTTTCATGGTGCTGTAAAGTTATTTTATCCTATGGCTTTTATCATATCTTAATGAGACAAAGATTTTGCACGTAGAATGGAAAAGTTCTGCATGAACAACAGCAAGAACAAAAACTTTCTATGAGATAAATCCATGGTTTGTACCCAGAGGAAAGAAACCCTACCCTGTCCTGAATGAGGTAACCCAGTCACAAAAAGAGAAACACAGTATGTACTCACTCATATATGGATTTTAGAACTAGAGCAAATGATCACCAGCCTATAATTCACATCACCAGAGGAACTAGGATACAAGTTGTATTCTAAGAGATTCATATAAAGTCCCTCACAGAACTGGGAAGGGACAAGTCCCCCAGACCTCAGTTGAAGAACAAGTTACTGGGGAAAAGTATTTCTATTTTTGTTTCCACAAAAAATGAAAAGATGTGGATTCCTTCCAGACTAATGTGGTTTGATCACGCCAGACCGCCTGAAACAGAGTACAAGCTGATCCTACATTCCAAACAGCTGGACAAAACAGCCCTACAGACTACAGCTAGGATATCTGAATCTTCTTCGAATCCCCCAAGACAGCGCTCCTTACCAGCAGGAAGTAGTTTGGAAAGAACGACGCCCAAATTCCCAAATATTGTGTATAAATGTTTGTTTTCATTTAATTGGACTTTGTTATATAAAATTAAATAAAAAAAAAAAAAAAAAAAAAAAGAAACCCTACCCTGTCAATTTGTGTGGGACTGTCACCACTGCCCCCTGCTGGAGGCACACTTAAACTGCAGGGACAGAGAAATTTCCCAAGAGCATTGCAACAGGCTCAGTTGCAAACAAAAACTTAGCTGCCCAACTGTATAGAAATTGCTTAGGCTTTTTTTCCCTGCTTATAGTTAATCTGGTCTTTGTTGATATTTTAAGGCTCTCCATCCTTGTTAAAATGTAACTATTTCAGTGGTCTACATACCTTAGGTCCCGGGAGTCCCGGCCTTGCACCTTCTGCATGACCTTGTTCCCCCTTATCCCCTTGGGGACCATGACTCCCTGGATGTCCTGGTCTTCCAGCAAGACCTGGCAGTCCCAAAGTTCCTTTATTCCCCTTAGGGCCTGAAAGGAGGACAGATACCGAGTAAGACAAGTGAAGGAAGGATCTTGAAGCATCTTGAAGGATGCTTGTATGAAGCAATTCTCCAAGAAGATGTTTTTTCACAATAATGAGCTACACAATGTATGATTTTTATGCAACATATGTAGCTGGTTACCACTCATATTCTAGTTGCACACAGAACCTTTGTCTAAAAGCAGTGCTTAGTGACATAAACTTTCTTTTAAATGAACAAAGCAAAACAATCTGAAAGGCAGAAAGTCTGACTTGTCATGAGCTCAGTGGCTCATAATAGCAGGATCATAGCATTACCTGGCACACCCATGTTCCCCATGCTTCCTGGCATGCCGCCTGGTCCTGGTCCTCCGGGATTCCCACTGCGTCCCATATCTCCTCTAGGGCCTTGAGAATAAATAGTCACATGACCCAGTTCCTGGGCCATGTTCAACACATATCTTCTGCTTGCATGAGTAGATAACTACAGAACTTTCTATTAAACAAAAAAACCCACAATAATCCGAGACACAGAAAAACCTACAGTTCTGATTTGTTAGCTTGAGGGCATGTAATAACAGGATGATAACATTAGCTGGGAAGCCACTGTTCCCATGGGTAGATAAGTATGGAAATCCTAGGCTAGCTGGTTAGGGGTTAACTGTCCCTTTACCTTCAGCTAGGGCTCACCCTAGGTCTGGGGACTTAGAATGTGGAAAACTGGATTAAAGTGAGAGTCCTATTATTAGGCCTGCTCAAAGCCTTCCTAGTACTGATGTCAGCAAAAAAAAAAAAAAAAAAAAAAAAAAAAAAAAAAAAAATAGCGAACTGAGGGTTAATTGCCATCTCAGCCATTTTGCTATTGGGGTTGCTGAAGGTATGAGCCTAATAGCTTAAAATTACTTTGCAAACCCCATAAGTTGTTTACCAAAGGAAGATGCAAAAGGGAAAATGACTAGAGCATTAAATTTTATCTCTGGCATGTTAAAAATAAAACTTGGAGAATAAAATTGCAACCACGTGTAGGCTATATCTTAGTCAATAGATGCCAACTACTAAACACCTTTCCTTTGGTTTGATTTAGAACAACTTTCTTCTCGAACACTTTTGGGACAGCGTTTATGTTTGACCTAATAAATCTAGAAGTACATTTCATTACATTTAGGTTCAAGTCCGCTTAAGTATAATGTTTCTATTGACGAGTTCGCCATACCTGGAGGTCCTGGTAGCCCAGGCAATCCCTCGAGGCCTTTCAGACCTGGTAACCCTGGAATTCCTCTGTTTCCTTTTTCACCCGGATTTCCTACAAATCCTAAAGTTAAAGACCAGATTTTAAAGAAACAAGTCAGTTATAAAGCATATGTGTAAAATTCTTGAGGCTCTGGGTTCCACCGGCACTGAAACAAACTGAAATACATCAGACTCATTCACACCCTGATCTGAATTGATAGGCTATTGTCAAAATACAACATGACACATTTATCAAGAGCATGGGGAGATGTTGGTTTCTGTCCCCTCCCCTCCCTAGAGGAATGGAATAAACTAAGATGTAGAAATCATTAGCATAGTGTCTGGTATGAATCAGTTCTCAACCAACAATGGCAACTGCCATCATGAGATGCATTCAAGTAACAACTAAAAGGTTGGAGTGTAGTTCAGTGGTAGAGCCCTTCCATGGCAACTGTGAGGCCCTATGTTCAATCCCATAACAACCATAAGATACTGTAAAATATCTCTATATTTTGTATAGCCAAATAGTATACTACACAATTCTTATATAAACAATTCTACTCTCAATCCATTTGTTAAGAAGTTTTAGGCATTGGGTAGGTCAAAGACCCTGTCTTGACTCATACTGTCAATCAGCAATTGGGATTTGAATGTCATTATGCATGAGTAGGAAGATCACTAACATTCCAAGACACTCTTCCACCCCTAAAACTTTGATCAATTTATTCTCCTGCTAATTTATATTCACCCATACTCTTTTATCAGCAGTCAATTATCAACTTGCATGGAACATTCTACAGTCTATTTTTGGCCTGGCTTTATGCCTTTTCCTGTTTATACATTATTTACATATGGATTAAGAGTCCAATTAACAGACAGGACAGGTCTGGTGTTGTTTTCTGGAAATAAAAATAACGCATGTTCTTCTTCCCAAGTTTTCAGAGCTAAATCGAGGAGACAGCCAAGCAAGAAACAATTGCCACCCAGTGAGGTAAGTTCTGTAATACAGCTGGGTTTCATAGGTGACACAAGGGATGGTTTCTGGAAGAGGATCTGCTTTGTGGTTCAGCCTTGAAGATATGTAGCTAATTGGATGAAGAGGGCATGGAATGAGACAGGATTTCCAGGCTAGACAATAGCTTAGGCAAAGAGAGGAATTATAAAAGGGTTAGATTGTCTGCGCCTCTGGTTTCCCATTTATCATCATCTAAGAATGTATATTGTTCAGTGGATCCTTTTATTCTTGGCTGCATGCCCTGTGTAGCTTGATTTTATTTTTTTCATTCATGACATTTTATTTATTACCATTGTGTGTCTCTCTGTGTGTGCACGTGTGTTTATGATAAACGTATGTGGGCGTGACTGTGTTATTGCCTGTGTCTGGAGGTCAGAGGAAAGTTTTCTAGAGTTGGGGCTTTTTCCACCTTTCTGTGGGTTCGGGAGGTCTTCAGGTTGACATGACAAGCACTTTTACCCATGGAGTCATCTTGCAGGCCCTGGCAAGATTTTGATTTTGTATGGCTGGAAAGCAAAGGATGGTTTGTCAAACTGTAATAATGTAAATAGTTATAGGGTCATAAAAGCAAACAAAGCCCAAAGAAAAGTGTACAAGAGAGACCTCATATGGCCCACAAAGCCTAACATTTACTACTTGGATTGAAACAGTGTTTAGGTTCCACTAATGTTTCTTTCCCCCAACTAAACAGTAAGTTTCATTGTGACCCATAAGTTATACCTATGTATTCAGGACATTATAAAATGACTAACACAGAAGCATTAAAAAGTAATACATACATGGCTTGTGACTGGAGATAAGATGTGTATACATTATAAGGAGGTTGAATTCTTTCTAAAACTCATTATCCATCCCCTTTCTCTTACTTCAACACCTCTTGATAACACCCTTCACTCCATATCCCTCTTCCAACTTCCTGTTCTCCCCCCCTTCTTCCTCCTTTTAAAATACTCCCTTTGTTCTAATTAGTCCTGTCTGTATATGCATGAGTGTATGGTTCCATCCCCTGGAACATGGGCAAACTATCATGAGCCATACTACTGAAAACAAAATCCAAACAAAAAGCATAACTTGCCTTCTGTCCTGGTATTGTTAATTTGATACAACCTAGAGTCACCTGGGAAGGGAGAACCTCAACTAAAGAATTGCCTTGACCAGGTTGGTCTGTGGCCATGGCTGTCAGAGATTGTGGTTGAGGTGGGAGTGCCCAGCCTATTGTGAGTAACCATTCCTAGACATGCCAGCCTGGGTTGTGTAAGAAAAATAACTGAGCAAGCCAGAGAGGAGCCAGTAACCATCATTTCTTTATGGTTTCTGATTCAGTTTCTTGAGTTCCTGCTCTAACTTCCCTTGATGTTGGATTGTGACCTGGAAGTGTAAGCAAAATAAGTCCTTTCCTTCCCAAGTTGTCTTTGGTCATAGCAAACTAGAACACTCTCCCTCCTCCAATGACCACCAACTGCCAGGAGGTTTTCCGCTGGAACTGGGAGCCTCAGAAAGCCTTGGAGCCAACTGTCACTTGCTTGTCTCAATCCTACTCACAACGCCTTATTCATGGAGGCTTGATGGGAGATGTCATTCTGTAAATATGTTTCTCCTATTGGTTAATGAATAAAACACTGTTGGCCAATAGAAAAGCAAGGTAGGTAGGACTAGGAGACAAGGAGGAGAGAGAGGAAGAAGTAGGAAGGAGTATCAACATGTAGGACCAATAGGGTAGAACTCTGGATCCTCTCTCTGGTAAGATAAGACCAGACCATGTGGAGATACTTAGATTGATAGAAATGGGTTAATATTTAAGTCAGAGCTATCTAATAAGTAATGCTAATAATTGGCCAACAGCATTAAATCTAATACAGAATCTCTGTGTGTTATTTGGGGCTGGTGTGGCTGAGGGACCAGGCTGGCAGGAGAACCTACTCATAACAGAGGCTCTTTTGACTATTGCATTTGCTGAGTTTTCTGCATCCCTTATCTTTCCAGCATTCATGGACTAGACACACGGCAACATATCAAAAGAACAGGTATGACCTTTGGAACCAGCTGCTTTTTCTCACAGTGACATTGGATAAGCACACTGGGTAAAGGACTTGACCTCTCATGTCCTATGAGTGAAATGAGATTAGCAAGGACTAGCTGATTTCTCAGCCATGAGATCTTATCCACTGGATTCTCCTCCTTGGCTTAACCATGAGGCTGAGTTGACATTTATTAGGCATACAGTAGTGCCTGAACATAATAACATAATGATACATAGGCCTTGGTTAAGTAGTATAATATTTCTCATTTATGCCTTACATTGGCCATGGTTTTTTTTTTTTTTTTTTTTTTTTTTTTTTTTTGAGATATGTCTATTTCCCATGGAGACTCATCAAAGTAATGACAGTCACTACTGATTTGTGCCCTTTATGTCTCTTCCATATTTTGAGTTAATATCTCTGTGTTTTAAAAAAGGATGTGTGTCATGCCCCCCCCCAGCACTGAAGAGGTTTAAGTCAGGGGAATCTTGCATTGAGAACAGCCTGGCTACATAATGAATTCAAGTCCACTATGTGCTACATAATGAGATCCTGTCTCAAAAACCATACTTTTAAAAAACAGAAAAAAACCGGATCATGCAGATAATAGAGAGGCTTAGATCATGTTCCCTTTTGTTGTTATTGAATCTGTGATCCTCAGCTATGTGTCAAAAATGCTGTGACAACATACAACTTACCACTTTGCTTAAATAAATGATAATGACCACTTTCTAGATTTCCTTATCAAAATTAAGTACCTCCTATAAATTTATTTTATACCAAATAACATTCACTTTTCTCTGTTAGTGAAGTGCTTGGCTTTGGTCTTTCTTCAGAGTATGTCATATGTAAATTCCAGAAAGCTCTTTGGCATGCCTGGAGAGAATCTCTATTCAGTCTCTCTAGCATGGGCTATGCAGAATTTGTGTTTGTTTTGAGACAGGGTCTCACTATGCAGCCTTGGCTGGCCAGGAACTTGCTGTGTAGATCAGGCTAGCCTTGAACTCAGAGGTGTAGCAGCTTGTACTCTTGAGTATTTGGATTAAAGGTGTGGCACTACTACCAAAATCCTGGCTCCATGCAGACTTTTCAAAGCAGAGATTCTCTTAGCCTATAAATGCTCATGTGCCAAGTATACCAATATTCCTGATGGCCATCTCATTTCTCAAACACATCACAATTCTCTCCACTATAATTAGGCTCTGCAAGACATGGTGGTTTTGTTTGTTTATGTTTTTGTATTTTTTGTTTGTTTTTTTTTCTTCTGAGAATTTAGCTGCAAAGGAAATGTTTGCTCTAGAAATTCTGTCTACAGTTGCTTGAGATCCAATCTGATCAAGAAGACTAGATTTGAGCCTGCTTTGGATTTGCCTTTATACCAGTTATATAATAGTATGACATAAAACTGCTGTAAAAGCTACCCAGGTAATTTGAAAGAATTTGAGTGGATTTGACTTTTAGCCCAATAGCTACACCTGACAAGTAACAGTATGCTAAAAGATTAAAGTTTAGGATAACATATTTTTTCTTACTTTTATTTTCCAAAGATTTTAAAGGCGAGATGTTATTTGATGTAGACAGAAAAAATATATCCTGATAGTTAGAAAATAAAGTAGAATTTGCAGCAGATGTATCCCTTTCCACCAGAAACACTGCTTTTGTTGCTGTTACTTAGTTTTTATTTATTTATTTTTTTGAGACAAGATCTTACTTTTGTAGCCTAGGTTACCTTTAAGCTCATAATCCTGCTTAAATCTGGTCATCTGGGTGCCTCAGAGAGAATTTTTAAAAAGAAAATGGTATTATTTATTTTGTTATGACTTACATAAGGCCATTTTCATGCAAGAATATAAATTACTTTGGACAGATTCCCCTCCTGACTCCACTACACCTTCCCCTTTAGTTCTCTGTTTCCTTAGATTGTTTTGCATGTACTTTCTCATTTCATATGCACTACATGATAGTGTTTATAAGTTTAAACTCTAGGACCCACACATGAGAGAAAATGTATGGTATTTGTCTGAGACTGAATTAACTCACTGTAGCTATCACTGTTCCCATCCATTTTCCTGCAAATGTCCTAACTTTGTTCTTCCTCCTTTTTCTGAAAATAACTGCACTGTGTGCATACATCACTTTTTCTATGTCCATTCCTCTGTTGAAGGGCTCCTAGGTTGGTCCTGTAATTGTGGTATCATGAATAGGGATGCAGTGAACATTGCTGTGTTGGTCAGAGATATAGATGTCTTATTTTCATATACTTCTCAAAAAAAAAAAAACTGGACTTTGAGGCATATGATTAAAAAAAAATCAACTAGTATGCATTTAGATACAGCAGACCAGAGTGTAAAACTAATTTAGTAATAACTATGAATTCATTCAGTGAGCAACATAGTATTGTTCATGTCAGCTTCCAAATGGCTGTACGACCGAGCAGGTGACTCAACACAGTCCTCACTTGTTAACTAAGGGGCTTGCTCGGGTGGTTTCTTAGTCTCAGAACCAGCCAACTCTAAACACAGAAATTCCTTACCTTTGAGCCCGGGTTCTCCTTTTTCCCCCTTTAAGTGTTGGATTTGGGAAAGTCCGGGAATTCCCTTTTCTCCTCGTTCACCTTTGGCTCCCGGGCGTCCTCTTTCCCCCTTTACTCCTGGGATTCCAAGGCTGCCTGTCAGAAAGAATAACCCCATCTCATAAGGAGTGCATTAGAAACCGATGTTTAGCAGAGTACATAGTAAAACAGAAAAACGTATGAACAGTGCCGAGAACTTACTGGTGTTTCCAAACACACAGCTGCTTAACAAAGACGGTGCACATTTGCGGGGCAAAAGTAAGATCCATTCAAACGGGAGAAGGCAGTACAGAGCACAGAAAAATCAAACATATTCTTCACTCACAACTAATTTTTCTTAAAGAACAAATGCCATTTATTTTGCGACTAAGTAAGTGAACACTATCCATACCTCATGTCATTGAGGAAGACGCCATCACTCACCTCTCTGCCCCTGTGAACCTAGTTCCCCAGGAGGTCCTGGTGGACCAATGGTTCCAGGATAGCCCATCATCCCAACCTCTCCTTTCTTGCCTGGGGGAAAAAATTAACACAAAGCACTCCATGAATATGAAAAGCAAAATATTACAGAAAATAATATAATTTAGATAGAGAAGTTGGGACTGGATGGTTTTTGTAAATAGGAAGATACCCAAGTTTGTGTAAGAGATGGGTCAGTGTATTTTAAACAGTCGTCTGTCTGTGTCATTGCAGCAAATGACACCATGGTTGACAGCAGAGTGCCCTGAACCCCTGGTTCATTTGTCATCTTATCTTCTTCCCAGTATATCTTTCATTTTATTCTCTCATAGTACTGAGAGAAATTAGTTTTTTTTCTTCACTTGTTTAAAGTAGCACACTAAGTGATAAGGTTTTATTCTGACATTTTCCTTTACGTATGCCATTAATTTTTGCTTTTATTCATCCTGAAGTTGGTTTTTAAATGTAGTTCTTATTGCTCTCCTATTATTGGAGATGTGAATCTACTGCCAAGAACAGAGCTGGGACAAGAGAGGAGCTCAGTAATGGGAACCAAAGCATAATGTGTCAGTTTATTTTGGTCTCCTCCTTGGAGGGGAGATCAGTGATGTCCTCATGTCATGAGGACACAGAATGTTCTTTACAAATGAAGGAATAGTAAAACAACAACAAATTAAAAACTAGTTAGGAAGATATAATATTATGAACAGTTCTGTGACCACACTGTAGATGACTTAGATAAAATGGGCAAATTTCTAGAGCAACACAGAACCCAAATGGACTTACAAAGTTAATAGAAAACCAACTAGAACTGTTTCTAATCATTGTGAATATACATTGAACTGAAAATAATATGTATGGGTGCATGAAGAGGCTAAAAGAGGATGGCAGATCCCCCTGGGGCTACCTGACGTGAGTCACATGGTAAAACATTAACTGCGGAGTGTTCTCTCTAGATCCCAAACTGGTAATTGCACATCTTTCCACAAAAAAAAAAAAAAAAAGAGTCCAGACCCAGATGACTTTGCAGGCGAACTCTACCAAGTGGTCAAGGGATAGCAATTCTTCATAAACCCTTCTAGGAAACACTATAGGAGCACTCATTCTAGCCTGTTCTCTACAGGGCCAGCATTGGCTCAAACAGGATTGAGTCATCACAAGAGAACTGACCAAATTCTAGTTGCTATCTTATAATATGCAAAATTACTCCACAGCAAAAATAACCATATCTTGGGTAATTATAAAATGCAGTGTTTCTATCCTCCTATCCCTTGAGTCTTCCCTCTTAAAAGGATTTAGGAGAAAGAAATATACTAGTGGAAAGAAAAAGCTTACAGTGTACAGAATCACATGAAGGGAAACACATGAAGGAGACTTAGAAGACAATGGCACAAAGAATACCTGGTGGGCCTGGGGGTCCTGAAGTTCCTGGATATCCTTTCTGGCCAGGTGGTCCCATCTCACCTGGGTGACCCGGCATTCCCGGCGGTCCAGGTTCTCCAGGAACTCCTGACCTGTCCAAGCCTGGGATGCCAGGGTCTCCCTTTGGCCCCGCATCACCTCTTCTACCTACAGATGAATAGATGACTGAGTGACTCAACAAACACTTTCCCTACCAACTCAGAAATTATTTCAGTGTTGCTTGTGCAGCTACGTGATGTTGGGTAGACGGCACACTTATCAATGTGTTTGTTTATTGCCTTCCCCTGAAAGTTCTCAGTCCCCATTGCGCTAATGTTATCCATTTTGGGGACCATGCAGCGATGAAGGGAGAGTGTGCACATGTCTATTCCTGAGTGCTACAGGTGCATTCTGGGACTGTGCTTTATGTTGTTTCCCAGTCTTTCACCTTAGACCTACATAGCAGCTCCCTAGAAGTGAACTCCCATATGCTTCGGCAAACAATCGTGCCACCATAATGATTAAGGTGTTGGCCAAGAATTTATCTGCAATAGATAAGCAGAATGCTAGTCTACAGACACTAATGGAATTCTAAAGAACTTTTTCTAGGAACCATTACCAGATCTGTTTGAAAAGGTCCAAGTAGGTAGAGCATGTTTCACAGTAACTGGGTCATGCAGCTTTACTCACTTGGGTTTATTTTCATAAATATTGGCTTCATGTTGCTCATGACATAATCAACTACACATTTCAGTTTATAGCTAAGTAGGTAGCTCTGTGTACATATTCTGTGATTTAATCATCATAAAGTTACTATTTGCTTTATGTAAGTTTTAAAAGTAAAAATATTGATTGAAAGTTTATGTATATGAATATATATTAATGACTCCTCTACTTGCCAATCTATCTTTATTTATCTAACCTGTTCATACTTCCTTACATAAAAGGAACAAATCAACTCACTATGTCAAGTTTGAGTTTCTTCATATAACCAGTACACACTGCTATTCGAAATATCCATAAAAGCCAGGATTACATTTCTAAAAGAACATGCCTTGCTGAGCAGCAGTCAGGACTTGTTGCTGGACAGTTTCCATATTAAACAGCAAAGGACAGAGCCAGAAGCCATATCACCTGCTTCTCAGTTTCTCCTACCTGGTTGCCCTTTCAATCCATTTAATCCCGGAAGTCCTTGGACACCCTTGGGTCCCTGTGTGCACCTCCCTGGAGGCCCTTTTACTCCAGGTGGTCCAGGCTGTCCTGAGTCTCCTGTGAAATAGAGAATCCAGGTGTTTGATCAGGTGCTGAAGCTCAAGTTTTCAGCATTGCTGTCTACTCATCTTTGTGTAACTTCACCTTCCCAAACCACACCTAAATTAATACCATCAACATGCTCCTATAGAAGACACTCAGGTAAGAAGAAGGAAGGAAAGAAGGAATATAGAACAGCCACACAGAATTTAAAGAGCTAGGCCCTTTTACTGATTTATTCGCCAAAATGGAAGTGCTTAGACCCTAGGGCACCTACAGTGGTTCTCACTGAAGAGAAAGGTAATCCCATTTGGTATTGTACCTGGAGGCCCATCAAGCCCTTCTTTTCCTGGAGATCCAGGGAGGCCTGGAAGCCCAGGGAGTCCAATTTCTCCATTTTCCCCAGAATCGCCTCTTTCTCCTGGGAAGCCGCGTTTTCCTGGTTCCCCAGGCATGCCTAGTCCTGCTTCTCCCTGTAGCAGAGACATTAGGTCAGTGTTCCCAATGCAGTACCTCTCAGTTCCGCTTGCCAGGGGTGCTCAGAACTGGTTTGCATAGATAGATTTCCCTTTCAACTTTAGACAATGACCTTGCCACAAAATGCTGCTTCAGGATTTGCAGTCCACACCCACTGAAGAGAACGTGAGTGCCCCCTATACACACTGAGTGTTCATGATGTCATTAATAATGGAATAGAAATCCAAGTATCCACAGCAACTTAAAAAATTAATATCTACAAATATTCTGAAAAATCCGTATCTTTATCTATAAATATACTGACAATTTCTAAACTCCAAGTGTCTTCTCTGATAAGGACATTGCAACTTCTGGTTATGATTGCCCCTCCCTGAAATCAGTCTATGTTTTTGTCATTGCACACCTTGGCTCCTGGGTGGCCTGGCTCTCCAGGACGGCCTGGCTTTCCAATTTCCCCAGGACAACCAGGTGATCCTTTTGTTCCTGGGAAACCTTGATCACCTAAAGAAAGCACAAAACAAAATCAATAATCATTAGAGATTAGTCTCATAGAAAGCTTATGAGCAATATTTCCTTTATCAAATACATTTATGAGGCATCCAGGTAGTGAGATGTAGGTATCAACTTTTGGATGATGATAAAACAACTGATAAACTAGAAGTTCAAAAAAAATATAAACAAAAAACTGAGTTCCAAGTCGAATTGCATTGGCCCTGAAAATTGTTACAATAAAAGTTAAAAAAAAAAAAAAGACTTTAAAGCTCAACTAATCAAAATACAGATTATGGAGCCTGGCCTTACAGATATATATCTACAAGACAACCCTGTGGTCCTCTAGCTCTTCCCATAGTTTGCTCCATTTATTCAGAGAGTGAATCTAGAGTTTCAAAATTAGCATTGGAATTATTAGTGGAAGAGTCCAGGAAGGACTAGGCAAAATACGGCCAGGCTCCGCGGCTTCATAAAGGAAGAAACCCATGACCTTAGATTTGGGATTGCATTTTCATTTACTAACTATTCCCTTACTTGGGTAGCACTGATGTGCAATAGTCAACAATGACTTATTAACAAGAGGTAAAATATCAAAAACGATTGTATTTTTAATAATCAATTTAGGCAATTGTGAAACAAACACGAAGACATCATAGAGCCTACACTTCAGTCGAGAGCCTGACAGATTTTTGTTTTGTTTGTTTACTTGTTTGTTTTGTTTTATGGATCCTGGCCATGATTTTACTTGATGTCCTTATCAGAGCAGCAGCTCAAATTATTATTCAATATAAACATCTGGAATTTTAGGGGTGTTTCTGTTTTGATGAAAACAGAATCTGTCTTTTTTTTCTTGTCAAAAGACATATTTTACCATCTTAAGATTATGTATATGTATGTGTGCTTGTGTGAATATGAGTGCTAACACACACAGACACCAGAGACACCAGGTTCCTCCTGGAGCTAGAGTTACAGGCAAGTGTGAGGTGCCTGACACAGCTTCTGGGTATCAAACTCCAGTTCTCTGTAAGAGCAATTTATACTCTTACCTGTCCAGCTGTCTCTCCAACCCCTGTCATCTTTTCCTAAAGCAAATTAGCTACTGTAATTATATTGATGCTCACGGGGAAGCCTAGTGTTTTGTTTTGTTTTGTTTGATTCGATGGAATAAACCCAGCACCTCATCCATGCTAATCACACACTCACTGCTGTATGATAGCCCCAGATCAATTTATGATTTAATAGTTCAATTCTTATTTTAAAAAATGTATGAACTCAAGAAGTTGTATAAATCTAAGAAGGACAGGATTAAATAAAATTTCTTACAGACATAAAGAATTGCTGTTAGCATTTTGGTGAATTACCTTTCAGAGTTTTTATTGTCTGTGCTTTTAAAGAATTATGATTGGTGGGCCTGTGCAATGGTTCAGCATATAACTGATGACCTGAGTTCGACCCCTGGAACCCACATAGTAGAAAGAGAGAATGGAGTCTGGCAATTGTCCTCTAACTTCCACATGCACTCTCTGTTCTTGATGATGCACAAAATAAGTTAAAATGGACAAAGAAATAGTATGGTTGAGATGGCATTGCATGAATCCTTGTGAATTCTCTTTTCACCTAATATTGTCCTAAGGCTTCTGATGAGTTTTGCAAAGCTTTGTTTGGGCAGTACATCATAGGTATTTCCTGTTTCATTTACTACCCATGGTTATAGCTTCAATATATCCACAGTGAAACTTATATTCTACAGTTTTTATTTACCCTTAGGTCCTGGAGGCCCAGGAAATCCAGCTCCTGGGATCCCTGGTTCTCCATCAGGTCCGGGAAGACCAGGATCACATTTTCCCATAGGTCCAGGCAACCCTGAAAAACACACACATGAGCAGTAGTAACTTCCCCTCATTTGTTTCCCAAAAGGAATGCCTGTGTTCTCTGTGTCCTCCCAGTGCTTTCTGGAAATTGTGAAATATTTTTAACATAATCTCAGCTGTTATTCCCACTCTTATCCAGTGGACTAGAGGTTAGGAGCTGCTACAAACTTTTTAAATGTGACTTAGCCAGGCAGTGGTGGCGCAGGGCTTTAAATCACAGCACTCAGAAGTTAGAGGCAGGATATCTGTGAGTTCATGCCAGCCTGGTCTACAATGTGAGTTCCAGGACAACTAGGCCTTTACACAGAGAAATCTGTCTCAAAACAACAACAACAGCAACAGCAACAGCAGCAGCAGCAGCAGCAACAACAACAACAATAACACACACACACCACTTCATTCTTTAAGAAGATCCTAAATATCTTGACCTATATGTCCTCCTCTGAAAGATCAAAATTCAATTTCAAACCACTTTAGCAAAGATACTTAGTTTCAAAATGAGATTGCTGCAGGAAACACCATGATCCCTGGGGGAAGGTGTTGCTTGCTCTCCCACCAGAAGCCATCTGGATCATTCTGCTCTATAACCTCTGCAGGCAACTGTATCTGTTCTCTTTTGGAACTGTTGCATCAGGAGCCCCAAGGGAGCAGAAAGCCCCCTGCCAGTGGCCTTTTCAGAATGATTCCCACTGGTGTTCTCTTTCAGACCCAACAAGTGTAATTTTTCCTTCTAACAGGAGTAGTATTTTCTCAGGAAAGTGAGGGTGCCACCTGATGTCATGGACTATATTTGGCAAGAGGGGTACACACCAGGTAGACCTCGTCGGCCAGCCTGACCAGGATGCCCTGGAGGTCCTGGGGGACCTGGAACCGGTGTTGATGTGCCAGGTTCTCCTTTAAGACCTTAAGAAAAAAAACATGATTGTAATATTAGGTTGTGTATTAAAGTACGTTTTTACAACAGTGGTAACTATTATGAGGGAATCATAAATACATCCCAAGGAAAATAAAGCCAATCCCTGTTTCTATGGATTTCAGAAGTAGTTTAGGGGTAACCAGTCTGCAAAAACTTTTCTAATTGATCTGCAAATATTTATTGGCATTTGTCTAAGTTTTGCTTTACTTAATAACCCAGCAATTGTGTGTGTGTGTGGGGGGGTGCTGGAGAGATTAGTTAAGAGCATTGACTGTTCTTCCAGGGGCCTCTGATTCAATTCCCAGCACCCACATGGTAGCTAACAACTGTCTGTCACTCCAAGATCTGACACCCTCTCATAGAGATGCATGCAGGCAAAATACCAATGCAAACAAAATAAAAATAAATTATTATTATTTTAAATAGCTCAGCAGGCTGGTCTATTGAATGAAAGCTTGCTTAACCTAGAAATTGATACTGGGAATGAAGAAGAGTGGTGGTAGGGTACCAGCTTATTGGATGGCTGGTATTCATGGGAAGCTATGTGGTGTATTGAGCAAAACATAGAGTGTGACTCAGCATATGGGTTCCAGTTTGAAGCTTGGCACGTTGTTTGCAAGCTCCATGTGCTTGGACACATTTATTAACCTCTTTGAGAGAAATTCCTTATTTGTCAATGTGGAAATGTGATTACCTAGCCGATAAATTCAAGGCAATGTTCTGAACATAGTGGCCAATGTTAAACCATGTTTGCGATGAACCTTCTCACAGTTGTACATTAATAATACTGAAGAACCTTGGGCTTGGTCCTGCCTTAACTTGATATGTCAGACTTTGTTGACTCTCCATGGGAGGCCTTACCTTTATGAGAAGTGTATGGGGGATTGGGTGGGGGGAAGGTGAGGAGGGGCAGGAGGAGGGAAGGGAGGGGGAACTGTGGTTGGTATGTAAAATTTTAAAAAAGCTTTTAAATAAATTAATTTTTTAAAATAATGAAGAGTTAAGCAATTTAAAATGTCCTAAAACAAAACAACAAAAAACACAGCTCTGTTTATAATACTTTTCAAGTGGGAATAAAAAGTTCTTCCTCTTAAAAAAATAATGAAAAACATATGACCCCAGTACATGATTTGATAATATACTTTATGATAACATACTTTATAATAATGAGCTCCTTAATTTATGATACTCATATTTAGAAAGAACATAAGAGGGTTGGATGAAAGATTAAGCAAGAGCCAATAAACTACATAAAGGTTCAGACAGATAATAATTTAGGTCTTGTAGTTTGGATTTGTTACAACTACATAACTCTGTCATTGTGCAGTAACCATAGAGAACACAGAAGTGTGGCTAAATTCCAATAATCTCATGCATGGACACTGTCATTTGGATTTGAAAATATTTTATGTGTAACAGAATGTTGTTAAAATTTTTACAATTATTAAAAAAATGTACTAACCATTCTTAACTTTTGGGCCACGTAAAAATCCACTGATAGGCTATGTTTGGACTTCCACACAGTGTGTGTGCTAATTCCCTGGATGAGAACAACAGCCTCCAAAGTAAAAAAGCAAAAAACAAAAAGCAAAACAAGACAAAAAACCCCATACAATAAATTTTACACACATGTGGATAAAAATATGTATTCACTTGATGAAATATATGAACACTGGCGTGGTACTAAAATCTTTGTATAGAGAATATACTATGATGATTTGGACAGCATGGGTGTCCTAGCAACCACTTTTAAAGTGATTGTAGAAGTGATAAGTGACTGCACAGGCATTTCTTGTTGAAACGCCCCACAATAAAGACCCATTTCTCCTGGACAGAGAATTATTTCCAGCGTCCGTAGGTCCTAAGAGTCACTTGGGCTTTAAAACTATTATCAGTGATTTTTCATCTAACTTAGCTATTTTGAAGTTCTGTTTGTAACCTGGAGTCACAGATCCAAGGGAAGACACTTCTTCGGGTCAATTTAACTTAATCTATTTAGCTATTTATCTTTTGCTTTTGGCATCCCCCAAGTGACTGATGATTACAGGAAGTTCCGGATGAGCTGACATGGATTTTCTCTGTCATGTCTTTATTTGTCTTTTCCCAATCTCTAAGGAGACATATTTGTCAGGCACAAATCCCCTACTTCACAGAAAAGCAAGACTTGAAAAAAAACTAACCAACCGGCTTCTCCAGGTGGTCCCGGGGCTCCAGGAACTCCTTGTGTCCCTTTTGGACCTGTTTCTCCTTGAGGTCCATAGTCTGGTGGTCCAGCTGGTCCTGCAGGTCCTGGAGGCCCAGGTGATCCAGGAGCCCCTGGAGGTCCCTGGTCCCCTTTGCTTCCACTCAGGGCCTGTGACAACACAAACATGTTTGGTAGTGCCCGAGTTCAGTATCTCCTTACCACAGATTTAGTATTAGCCCACATGTTAGCCCAGTGAGGTTGTCTGAGACTTCCTGGTCTCATAGATGCACCAGGAAACGTTGCCTACCACATCTACTTCCGGGAGGAGTCAAATTCACCTTGTTAGAGAATCTTTTAATAAATGAGTGTGTGTGTGTGTGTGTGTGTGTGTGTGTGTGTGTGTGTGTGAGAGAGAGAGAGAGAGAGAGAGAGAATCTTCAAACGTCCCCAAACTGTCCCACATGAGATCCTTTTTATTGGGTCAATCTGATTAACCCTTTGGAAAAGTGGGAAAGTTGGCATTTTGTAGATTAATTTGGGCAAATTTTTCACAGGTATATTGTGAACCCATGATGTGTCACTCTGATTCAGTTGAATGCGTGAGAAATTCTAACTCATGAAAAGAATAACATTTACATGAACAGAAATGTTTTAAACATTTTATCTCTTCATTTGACTAATATATCCTTAAATTGTGTATCCTATTTTTGATTGTTTTGCTTTTTGTTTTTTGGAGACAGGCCCTAGCTGTTGTGAAACTTGTTTTGTAGACCATGCTGGCCTCAGACTCACAGAGATCTGTCTTCATCTGCCTTCTGCGTGCTGGGATTAAAGACATGTGCCATCACCACTCAGATAATATTGTATCTTTTATGCATTTACTTAGAATAGTAAGAACAAACCCAGAATGTTTACTAAAAATTTCCCTTGCTAGTTATTTTCTCTTCTTTTCTTTTCCCTTTTTCTTTATAGCCCTGCCCCCTCTTTTAAGGATATATCTCACATAGCCCATATTGGCCTAGAACTTTCTACATAGCTAAGAATGACCTTGAACTTCTGCTCTGACTTCTAGCTTGGATTACAGATATGTGCAATCACGCCCCATTTATTCTGTGTTGAGGATTAGATCTAGAGCTTCCTCTGTGCTTGGAAGGACTCTGCCAATGGAGCCATGTCTTATTCCCAGGTTTTGGTGCTTTTCTACAGGTGAATTAGATCTATGTTGAGATATAGGGTGTGAACCAGAGTCATTATCAGTGTAGAGTTTCAGTTGGGCTGAGCCATTGAAAGGAGAGTATTTATTGTGTCAAAATGCTATGAATATTTGCTTGGGTTATTATTGCTATTTTGATGCTTGTTTTGTGGCTAAATTGAAGAACTATGTACTTTTTGGTGATCACATTATCTCCTAGTTTGTGAGCGTTTTACTACAGAGTGAACATGTAAGAAAAAAATTCTGAATACGAACCGGTTCACCTCTAGGTCCTGGCAGTCCTTTAGCTCCTGGTCTTCCAGGGATTCCATCGAAGCCCTTTCTCCCTGGCAGGCCTCTGAGCCCAGGATCGCCTGGGTCACCCACTTGCCCCCAGGGTAGGGGTGTTTCACCTTTGCTTCCTTTCAGTCCTGGGTGTCCTTGGTCCCCTGGGAATCCCTATGGTGACACAAAGTGAGTCGTCCTTCTGTTTTGGGAGAACTGTCCTTGGTCCGTCTTAAAAACATTAGCAATAAGAACTTTCCAATTCTAATAAATATAGGTTTTCCCCCAAAACACATTTAATATTTACATGTTGGCTGTGTGTTTATATAAAACACCCAATATACACATACTATTATGGTAACACAAAGACTCATGACAGCGCTCTCTGAAGAGTAGACAGACCAGTGCCCGTATCACAGGGACTCCCCAGGTCCTCTCCTTTGTCTGAGTCTCTCTTCTGCTCTTGGGGCAAATACTAGAACATGGATGTCTTTCAGCATACGTTACTGTTACTGTTGTTGGAGGTGGGGGAAGGGGTGCTTTTCAACACAGAGTCTCAAACTGTGGACCAGGCTGATGAGGAAGTCCCAGCAACCCTGTCTCAGTATCCAGTGTTAGGGTTACAGGTATAAGCTGCCATCTTAACTGTTAACGTGAACTTTTTTTGTTTTGTGCCACAAGTATCATGTCATTTTATTTATTTAGTTTTAGTTTTTAACTTCCCCAACTGAAAAAGCCACCTAGACAGTATAAGTCAATATAATACAAATAACAATTACTTCATTGATGTAGTAGTAGAAACTATATGCCATACCATCATCATAATTCGGACTGTTTTAGTGTTGATAAATTCTAACATGAGCCTCTTAGTTATCAAATATAACTTTCTAATTCATTATATTGAATAGAATTAATTACAGGATTATATATGACTTAGTATAATGACAGATGATCAGTAATTTTAACAGCTATATTGAGATATTAAGGTATATAAAGATATATTGAGGTATAAACTACATGCATAAAGTGTATCCTTTATATATATATACATATATATGTAGATAGATGTGTATACATATAATTATCTATCAGTAAATTTCAATATTAACCATAAGCAGCATTAAAACACCTCCATTGCTCCCCTAGACACCCTCAAATCCATCTACCATCAATGCCTGTTTCCACACTCAGCTCCAGGCAATGACCTAATTTCTGGCTCTGCTACCACTAAAATGACATGTGGATAAATAAATTCACTGATTTGTTCATAAACTTCACAAATAGCCACCAAGCACCTTCCGTTCTCTGAGTTAAAAACCTACGCTCTGCCATTGCCTGCTGACCCATGTGAGGTGCAATCATATTTCCAGAGGACTCGGCTTTCCAAGTTGAAGCTAGAGTTTATAACCATGAAATCTTACTGCAAATCCTGGGAGACCCGCACTTCCAGGGGACCCCGAGTTTCCTCTCATACCAGGTGTGCCTCGTCCTCCTGCAAAGCAATGTATTACGATCTGTTGAGCAGAGCAGAGCAGAGCAGAGCAGAGCAGAGCAGAGCAGAGCAGAGCAGAGCAGAGCAGAGCAGAGCAGAGCAGTGCATGGAGAAAGCACATTTCTTTGTGAGGACCGAAAGAGTATTTTCATCCTGAACCAGCCAGGCAGTCAAAAATTATCAACCACCACACTTAGATCCCAGCTTCCTGGCCCTCGCAACCTTGTTATTTTAAGAACATTTATATTTGTTTTTCTTGTAATAAAAATAACGTGTGCTCATTGAAAGAAAATTATACAGGAGAAAGTAAAAACTGTAAATCTACCATCAGATAGTTAACATTTGCCCAATTATAGTATATATTTAGCATATATTTAGTATATATTTACATCCATAAATTCATAAGCCTCAGGTATGTGCCATTTTAGAATCATATACTGTACATGTCAATAAGTATAGATGTGTAGATTCACTTCAAAACTTTTGACTACTATCTGTCTAGGCTCTCAGCCCTTTTTTTTTTTTTTTTTTTTTTTTTTTTTTTTAAAGCTAACCGATGCTGAAGGACTTATAAAAAGGACCGAAAATGCTGGGGTATAATGGACTAGAGCTGAGTGACTGACAGGCCTCTTAAATGTGCGCTTCAGGCTTTCTCACCACTATTATTCCCAGAGCTGTGGGCTTGGCTCACATCCTTACAAGAAAAGTAAATACTGAATGTATCTTCAGCTCTCTCAAAAGGGGGCCTGAATCGTGGTGGGTTCCTTGCAGGACACTCTTTACAATTCCTTGCAGGACACTCTTTACAATTCCCAGGACGGAAGCGCCTTCACTAGAAAACTGGAAAAAGATGCCAGGCTTATGAGATTTTGGCTGACTTCATGGTAACCTGGTGTCTTTGGAACTCTTTCTTAAGTTCATTATGTCATCCAGGCAATCTAACACCCTTTCCAGTGTCCCAGTCCGTTTACTTTTCTGTCCTTACAAAGCTCCAAATTTTCATGCAAATTGTCCATACCTGGGATTCCTTTGACACCATCTAATCCTGGAAATCCGGGGAGACCAGGGGGCCCTGGCATGCAAAGGCACTGTGTACACGGAAGGCCTGGTTCTCCTGCAACGGGGCAATGCATGCATGGGTCTCCAAGCCACACAGACTGGTCAGAAAGGACAGATAGGCCCTACCCACCAGCATTTATTTCAATATCTTTTTAATGTTGTGAAACTAATCACCATATTAATTTACGTTTCCTTATATACTCTCTTGTGAGCTGTGACTCTTTGAGAGAGGGAAGCCAAAGGATACACAAAGCATCTTCTGTTTCAGTTTCTCCCCATACAGGTAGGATAGATTCTTATTTAGGGTTAGCCAGCAATTCATTGCATGCTAAATGGGTTATCGATTTACAGATAAGTGAATACTTCTAGGTAATTTGTTTGAAAAGAAGTCATTCTCTGACAGTTGAGATCACTGCTGCTTGGAGAGGGAAAAAAATCAGTGAAGTGGTAGTGGAAGTGGGCTGTTTTAAAAGAGTAACACTGGATTGAACAAACCTTTGGACCCATCAATTCCTGGGTCTCCTGGAGGTCCTATACTGCCTGGCACGCCATGGTCACCAGGTGGACCAGGGTGAAAAAGAACGTCACCTAGGAAAAGACACCATCAGAGATCAGTTTTTTGGCCCTGAGCTCAATTATCAACACTGACACAACCCAAAACAACAACACTGCCACTAAACACACACACACACACACACACACACACACACACTCAGTTAATTTTTTATTTGCATTCTTCCAAAAAGCCAATTTTAAACACACATATGATTTTACATGCATTTCTTCTGTCCTTCTGGTGGAAGCTGACCCTTTAGAAGTTTACCTACAACTGAGAAGATGCAAGCCGACCAGCTCTTACAAAGATGTATTGTTTTACTTGTACTTTCTAGGATTATGCACAGGCACATGTGACTTTCAGACTGGTTTAAGTTGTTCTTAGGAAGTTCTGGGTCACCTATCTGCCATAGGACAACGGACTCCTGAATACTCCATTTTATATCTTTACCTGGATGTCCTGGAGGGCCTGGTGGGCCTGGCAGACCTGGCGAACCAGGGCAGCCCAGGGGTCCTGGAGGGCCCATAGTGTCCTTTCCAGGGGGGCCTCTCTCCCCCTTATTTCCTTTCAAGCCTGGCCATCCTGGGGGTCCTCTGAGGCCAGGCTTTGATGGTCCTTGGAAGAAAGAGCCATTTGTGCTGTTATAATTTTTCTTATGATGCATATGTTTATATTTCAATTGAAAACAATGATATGTTCCTATTTGCAAGAGTTACAATGTTGGTAGCTACATAAAGCATGTAAAATAAAAAGTGACTATCCTTCCTTCCTTGGTGGCCTTGTTAGATTACATCGTAATAAGGCAATGTGCAAAATAGCCCACTTCAACAAGATGACTCATGCAATTCATTATAAGGGTCTGGGCTGTGCGGTAGACTTCATGTACAAGGACTTGTGAGGAGCTCTTGCATGTGTGTTATTTTATAGTTTATTTTTAATTAGAGAGTCGAGGATGCTTAATTTTGACATCACCAAATGAGAAAGAACAAATTGTAATTAAAATGCATTTCATAAAAAGGTGGGGGCAGGGCAGGCATAGCTTCATAGAGATGCTAGGCTAGATGGTATAGACCCAACTCTACTAAGTCATCTTGAACTTTTGCCTCATAAACAATTGAACTATTAGAAGTTATATGACCACCAAAGAGCTAAGAAACCATCTGTGTTGTTATTAAGCCTAAAACCAAATCCTTCTGACCATTATCTGCTTCAGAATCTTGTAATTTTCTGCTCACTGCCTTCTTAAAGGAGACAGTACTTTCCTTAGGGGCTTGAGAGGGAGAAGGACGTCTTCTTGAGTCTTTGTCCAGATGCTGCTCATTTTAGCTTCAGGAACTACCCACCACTAACATGTATACATTCTAGCTTCAGGAGGTGCCTACTGCTAATATACATACAAAAATCTACACACATTTTAGCTTCAGCAGATGCCCAGTGCTAATATACATACATAAGTGTATATACGTTCTGGCTTCAGGAGATACCCACCACTAACACGCATATGTAAGTGTATATTCATTTTATCTTCAGGAGATACACACTACTAACATGCATGTATAAGTGTATATACATGTGTGTATGTAGCAAGTATATACAGGCACACACAATATTTGTCAGTTCCTGTATCTGTTCAATTTGCTTCCTTTAAAAAGAACATGGCAAAGTAATCATTGATGGTTTGTGAACACATCTCTAATGGTAGTCTTTATCTCCTGGAGGATAAATGTTTAAATGACAGAAAGATGAAAATATAAAACTTGACAGAAAAAGTGCCCAACATGATGGCATATGCCTTTAATCCCAGCACTCAGGAGGCAGAGGCAGGCAGATCTCTGAGTCTGAGGCCAGCCTGCTTTACAAAGAGAGTTCCTGGATAGCTAAGGCTATCCAGGGAAAGTGTCTTGAAAAACAAAAACCAAACCAAAGACCCAAAACAATAACATCAAAAAGCAACCAAGCAAAAAAAAAAAAAAAAAAAAAAAAAAAAAAAAAGCCAAACAAGAATATAAAAACAACCATACAAAAAAACAAACAAAAAAAGCAAAAGCAAAAACAATTTTATAGAAAAGTTTCATTATAATGTAGGTACCTGTGTAGACCTTGTATTATTTAACAAAAATGGTTATTTTCAACCCACCTACTTGCTGTGACATCAGTGTTTTTTTTTCTACCTTTGTGCCACTTCTGGGGATCAGGGCTCCTGCTCATACCCCAAAGTTATATGCTTACCCTTAAAATCCTTGAGAGTTACTTTATCAGTTTGTTTCAATGCCTGCAACTTTTCCAACACAGGCCACAAATATAACTGTTCAGAAGCTAGAAAATCATTTAGATAGATAGATGGAAATTTGTCTTTTATGAATAATATGAACTTACAAAAACAGTGGTTTTTCCCATTTTAATAACATTTTTTTATGTATACTCAAAGAAACACAAACATACCAGGGCTTCCAGGAACTCCAGGGGGACCACTAGGACCTGGGGATGCATTTACATCAATTAATTGCTTGCAAAGTTATAGGTACTCCATATCCACTGTTTAGATCTTCTAGGAGGATATCATTCTAGTAACCATTCAACTTTAAAGGTATACCACTTACATGATTTTCATGTAAAATATGAAAATTGGAAACACAAAAAAATACCTCCACTGACGTAAAGTAGGAATTCCCCTTCCTCCCTCACCTGGAAACTATCATAGTTCTATAACTAAATATTGCTCATCACTTGGAAAGAAAGACAGAACAATGATGGTAAAGGCTTTGGGAAGAAGTGTATCCTCACCCTGTGGGCCACGAGCACCTTTGGGCCCAGGTGGGCCTGGCATTCCTTTCTCTCCCTTTTCCAGGTATGACGAGTCATAGTATACTGTCTTAAAGGAGAAGGCAAAGAATAAATGGGAAAGTTATGGAGGACTTCTTGACAACCCATTTACTTCAGTGTCTTCATTTTGGCCTGGAAAGAAATTTCCTTGTTTTCCTGAGTTCAGAGGGTTTTATATTAGCAGAAATAGAGTTACCATGCCTGTACAATGTTAAAAGGTAAAGACAACGATGATATCATTATTCATATCATGGGCTTTCAGCTAGAACTACATTTAATTTAATTACATTTTTAAAAGTGGTTTTTTATTTTTACTTTTCCTGTGGTGGGAATCAAACTCAGGGCCTTGTGAACACAAGCACTGGGCCATAGTGCTATGCCCTTAGCCCTAGAAATACATTTGATGATGTGCATCAACTAACACATTTATTTACTTGTTGACTTAAAAAATAAAGTGACAAGAACCTTTATTTAAGCTTCATATAATACATTACAAAAATTACCAGTAATAATGACATAATAGTGATCATAAGTTCCACAATGCTGTGTGCACAGCTGCCAGATATTGGTCTCTGCAAAAGCTTATGATTTCCCTAGCCATTACATAAAAGTTTTTTGGGGGGTGGGGTGGGGATGACTTGCAACAGAAATAAAAATATACACACTTTTTGGGACCCACATTCATTCAGTGAGTTAAATCATGTAGCTTGGAGCTCTGAGAACTACATTTTGTTTTGTTTTATTTCTTGTTTTTCGAGACAGGGTTTCTCTGTATTGCTTTGGAGCCTGTCCTAGAACTAACTCTGCAAACCAGGCTGGCTTTGAACTCACAGAAATCCACCTGCCTTTGCCTCCCAAGTGCTGGGATTAAAGATGTGTGCTACCAATGCCAAGCTGAGAACTACATTTTAAAAAACAATTTATTTTATGTATGTGAGGGTTTGCCTGCATATATGTGCATGTTCCACTTAAGTGACTTGCACCCAGAGATCAGAAGAGGGCTTTGGATCCCCTAGAACTGAAGTTACAGATAGTTATGAACCATTATGTTTGTGCTGGGAGCCAAGCCACATCCTTTGCAAAGATAAGTTAACTGATTTTTCTTAATTTCTAACCATCTCTTCAGTACCTCACTTTTAAGTGTGTGTGTGCGCGCGTGCGCTCATGTGTGCGCATGCATAGGTGCAGATTCCCAAAGTGGCTGAGGCTCAGATCCCCTGAAACTGGAGTCACAGTGATTATGTAGTGCCCAGTGTGGGTACTAGGAACACAACTCAGGTCCCCTGAAAGATCAGAGGCACTCTCAACCTCTCTCCAGCCTTGAGAATTACATTTTTAATGTAATTCTGGGTCATGTGTACAGCTTGTATGGTCAGACACACAAACACTGCTCGGGAAGAATGAGAACTGAGAGCCAGCAGTCCCTGTAATTCATCTTACGAGCCCTGCAGTGTCTGTGCTAGGCAGGGTGATGCTCCCATGCAGTGGAGCTTAGGTTGTAGGGACTGGTTCTTGCTGACCTGCCTGAAGTCCATGGCTGGCTGCTGCCTGCTGCTAAAAGTGGGCTGTGCTAAAGGAAGGACCAGTTGCTCTTGTCTCTAGGTACCCAGTGGCCTTCTTTCTGCACTTTGAGAACACAGAATCACCTTTCTTTTTGTTGTTGTTGTTTTTTGTTTTTTTGTCTTGTTCTGAGTTCAAGATGGGGTTTATTAGCACATTCTAGGGCCCAAACATAATCAAATTGAAATGTTTATCCGTTGCCAAATGGGTAAATGATGACACCAACTGGTTTTTACCTTGGCTTTATAGAAATGTAAATGCTCTCATATTAGTCATAATAGTAAATGAGAAATGCTGATTCAAAACTTGCTCAGTACTTGAAAGAACTTAATTCTGATGTTGTTATCTCTAGTTACACTTACAGGACCAGGAAATCCTGGAGGGCCAATGTCTCCTTTCCATCCCTGTATAGAAAGACAGTTACAGGTGAATATGTAAGCCCAAAGCAGCATAGTTAAAAAAAAAATATAAGGTTTGACAATGAGTTAATAGTCAAGACTGTATCATTTAGGTTTAATGTGCAAACCAAATTACAGGGGCATTGCCTTTAAGCCATCTTCCTGGCCAGCCCTTGCCTAGGTGGAGTTTGTCTACAAGGCTGGGGAGAAGGGAATGTTAGCCTGTCTGTTGTCCTTCTTCCTTCCATGTCCCCTTTACCGAATGGTCACATGCCTCACAGAGTGTACTTGGAGGATAGTTAGGTCAAAGTTGTAGTAAATGGTCAGTGTTCCAACTTCCCTTGTTTCAAGAGGGTAATCCAGAATTCTGCCAGAACTGATTATTAAAGGCAAACAGAATCTGAACATACATCTTTGTATGTGTGAATTATTTGTGAACGGCAGCATATCAGAAGCAGGTGGTATGGAATACACTACACAATTAGCTGATTGTGACCTCTCAGGCACTCATGACCCAGGCTTAGGTCTCAGGGTCCAGACTATGTGACCTCAGATGACTGGATGGATTCCTGCTACTGTAAGCCTTTTCTGATTGCCTTCTCAAAGGGACCCCATACTTCACTAGAGGGTGCCGAGTCAGCTAGCGTCAACTTCAACTACACAGAACAGTGTTTTTATCTCTTCCTTGAGAATCTTCTTGAAATGTTTATCTGTCCTTTCATCTCAGCAAATATGCTTAACAGACAAGATGTTTTATTTTCTTTTTTGCCTGACTCCTATTATAATTTACTCTCCATCATTCAAAGAAATATGATTAAAAAAAGAAGAGACTACAAAGGTCTTTCATTTCTTTTCAAACTACTATCAATGATCAACAAAATAAATTTATATTATTCCACGGGGATTTCTCCCTGTCTAACACAAGAGTGAATCAGCTTGCTCTGCAAAGGCAGACAGCACTGTTGTAACCAGCACTGTTAGAGGGAGAGGCAGGGAAAAGAGGAGTTGTCTTTTCCCACAGCACTGACAGAATGTGCGGTTAGCATCCCTAGTTCTCACTGCATGCGTTTATCAAGTCATCACTGAAGACTGGGAACATTTCACTCAATGATCCTCTTACACTCCTGGCCAAAGGTCAAGTCACAGCTTTTAATATTAATACTTTGTTGCTTGCCATCAAGTCTGACTATCCAAGTTTGATTCCCCAAAACTCCCATGGTAGAAGACAGAAGCAACTCCCAGCAAGTCCTCTCTGGCCTCCACAAGTGTGCGCTGGCTCATGGGCCCTCCCCCAGTAATTAAATAAAAGTGAAACGAAAAGCAGTAAAACAACAACAATCTAAAGAGACTGAAATTTAGAAAGACAGACCGGAAGGAATCTGTGAACCACGATGAGTGAGATCTTGGATTACACTCACGAGAAAAGTAACCACTGTTAAAGGTGGTGAGAAAGGGGAGGGAGTCTGCAAACGCCTGCCATGTATTTCACAATGACAACCTTCTCATCTGTGAAATGGGACTTACACCCATTTATGGGGAGCAACTCTTGAATCAAGTAGTAATATCTGAGAAGTATTCAGCTGGGCAGATGAAATGCTCAGTAATACCAATGTGGAAATCTCAAAAGACAGATTCAAAAAATGTACTGCAGTTCAGCATCAGCTAATGTATTTTTACAAAGTCTCTGATTGCCCTACCAGTTGAGAAAGACTGAAAAGGGTGTGTTACCTTAATGCCAGATTCACCCATTAACCCAGGAAAGCCCCTGCTGCCCTTGGCTCCCTAGAGAAAAGATAAAAGGGCAGCAGATTAGGCAACATGAGTCAACTGCATCTCTATAAAACATGCATAGTCTGAACGTCCTTAATTTTTAAATATTTAAAATTTATTTTCAAAATCAATATGTAATAGTTGTACAAACATTTGGCATACAATGTGATGTTTTGAGATCACATTGGTTGTGATCTATATAATCACATTGTATCTATTAGACTGTGTACTTTACATATTGATCAGGTCAGAGAACTAGTGCATCTACCCCCTCAATTGTCCATCATTTCGTTATGGTGTTAAAATCCTCTTAACTATTTTCAAGAAGACAATGCACTGTTGTTGATTCTAGTTACCTTACTGTGAGACTGTGCCTGGCAGTAAATGTAACTTCTGTACCCACTGACTAACCACGGCCTGTCCCTCTAACTCTCCACACCTCCTAGCCCCTGGTATTTACTCTCCTACTCTGATAAGCTGCTGTAGATACTGTCTGAGAATACGGAGCAGTATCAGTCCTGCTGTGTCTGGCATAGTGTGTTCAGTTGACCTTTCGAAGTGGGTCTATAGAACCAGTGATAGTCTGTAAAAGCTGAGATCACCTGATGACTATCAATATCCTTCATCTACTTCCATGAAATCAACAAGCATATTTTACCTCAGTGCCAGGGAAGCCAGGAGCACCATCTTTTCCAGGTTTCCCCTAAAACAAAACCATTGAAGTTTTACTGTAAGTTTGATGTTAGTAAACATAGAAAACATCCTTTTGACAACAGGCAAGTAAGCCCGCAGGGAGGTTCCTCACTGGCTGATCTCTTAAGGTAAGTCCCTTAACCTTACAGGCAACAGGAAGGGAAGGTGGCAGCCAGGTAGGTAGGAGTAGTTATTAGAGTCAAAAGGAGGGGGAGAAGAGGATGGCTAAGCTTTGAGTGGAGTTCATGTCCCATCCTGAGACTGAAGCAGATGCAGGGAAGCACCAAGCAGAGAGGTAAACAAGGGTTTTAGAAAGGAGGGAATGGTTACAGCTTATTGTTTTGAAATGTAATTTCTTAAACCCTAGATCAATATTTAAATATTGTGGTGTCCGAGCACACGTGGCTTTCAGATGAAATGTTATGGTCTGGACCCTTTCTGATAGAATTAAAAATCAGGCAAGCCTGACTCAGTTTCCCTTGAACATCTCCACTACCTCCTCAACCCATGCTTTTTAGAGTTTTTGCATGCTGTATCTGTTTAAATCTTCCAAAATGTCGGGGAGTGGCGAGGTGGGCCCCAACCCCTTCTGTGTTCTCAGCATTCTACTTCCAGACACACACACGTGCTGTGTTCTGTCTCCTCTATGGCTGCTTCTGATGTGTTATCATTCATGCTATCATTCCCAGGAACCCACTGCCTAGCCAATCAGGGACATTTTCCCTGTGGCCACAGCCATTGTTGCAGAGTGAGACAGATGAGCAAGCTAGGCCAATCCAATTGAACCTCTGGACTTTCGATAGGTGCGTGCGTGTGTGCGTGTGTGCGTGTGTGCGTGCGTGCGTGCGTGCGTGTGTGTGTGTGTGTGTGTGTGTGTGTGTGTGTGTTTGCACGGCTTCTTCTTAGATGTCATCCTGAAGTTGTCTGAGGCTGTACCTCATTCCTTTCCTCTTTCATAAGAGATCATCATTTGTTGTGCAGAATAGGCCTGGTGCCCAGCAAAGAGCAGTGAAGAAGGGAGAGACCTGCCCCAGCTCCCAGGCTCTGAAGTCCCTGGAGCTTGTTTTAGGGTTGAAATTTTCAGATATTTGGAAAACTAAATCCCGCCTACTAAAACCTAAAACTTAAAAAGAACAAAACAAAAACAAAACACTGCTAGTTAGAGCATCTCACTCTGCAACCCAAACAGTCCCAAGTCCTGCTTTCCTTAGATTGCACATGGTGCTGAATCGCCAACTTACCCTTGGGCCAGGTTCTCCAGGAATACCCTTTTCTGATCCATAGGAGTCTCCAGGTGGTCCCTGTATGATCGGAGTTATGAAATGCTTTAGTATGTTCTTCCTGGTTTTTGTATTTTCATTGATTAAAAAAAATTTGTCTTTTCTACTGCCCATATTTAAAATTAAATAATCTAAAAGAGAAATCTTATTATAACAATTACTTTTATATTAAAAATTGTGGCAGGAATGCTGAGGTGTAGCAGCTATTCATGACTGATGGCAGTGGTGGGGGTAGGTGTGGGGAAAGACTCAGTTTTCTTTAAGGAGTTGGCTGCTGGGAGTTTGACCATGCTCCAGTGAGTATGTGGGTAATACAAATTGGATTTGGGGTTTTCTTCTTCTTCTTCTTCTTCTTCTTCTTCTTCTTCTTCTTCTTCTTCTTCTTCTTCTTCTTCTTCTTCTTCTTCTCCTTCTTCTTCTGTTTTGGGGGCGGTTATAAGGGTAAGGGGTGGACCTGGGAGGACTGGGAAGTTGATGTGATTAGGGTACTTTATGTGAAATTTCCAAATAATAAAAATATTATGTTAAAGAAAGGATTAGTTTTAAATAGGTATTCAAAAGTAGGTGTTATAGGCAAGTCAGACAAAATAGCACAGAGATTTCACCTAGAAAAGGCCTCAAGACAATCATAGAATACTCCTGGGCTCTGTGTGTTAGTGAATGACATTTACAGGTTGAGCGTTCATCAAGATAAGGATAAAGACTGTAGTAACTGGACTCAGTGGGTTACTGGGGAAGAATAAGGCATGAAGGTGGTAGGGGCGTTTTCAGAGGAATAGCAGGAGTGGATGAGGGGAGTCATGGGTGGATATAATCAAGATACATTGTGTACCTCTATAAAATTGTCAAGGAATAAAAATAGTCTGAACAGTATACACTAAGATTCTGTTTTATGTGTCACAGGAACAAAATGACTTAAAACTACCTACCGGGGATCCAGGACGTCCAGGTTCACCCATCTCTCCCTTATCTCCTTTCTCCCCCTCAAAGTCCTGTCATAAATACAGTTCAAGGTCATTATCACAAACCAATCAAATAAGATCAGATCAGTTGCATTTGGAAATACCCTCTGTGTGGTCAAACTAGGTGTGAAAAACAGTACTGGCCCTCATGACAACAGCACAGTGTCTCTTCTTGTTTCTCATCTTTCAAATTTTATGCGTGACCTCACATTAATACTATTGTAGCCTTTAAAAGAAAAAGTAGCCTTTGGGTATCCCAAGTAGAAATATTCTTTACCAGTTACAGTTTCATCTGCTAGTCAATAAAGGTATAAGATCAGAGTTCTTCCAAACCTCTGTTTCTGATCATCCACTATGATAATTTAAAATAGATGACACAGGAAAGCCAAATAGCACATGGTATTTGGTAGAAGGCAAAATTCCTTTAAGGTCAGAATGCAGTTATGATTGATGATGGTTTTCAAAACGTTCTGTCACCTTTGGTGAAGATGTGCTAGGTCCTTAATTAAAATGTGCTTTCGTGCTGGGGGGGGGTTTAGATCAGGAGAGCACCTGGGCCCTGGATCTAAGCCCTGGCATTGGCACCAGCACCCCAAGGATGGGACAAGCATTACCATAGCATGTTATCATCCCTTAAACAACAGTACTGGTCTGGGCACACCTTAAATCCACTCATCTGTATAATGAAGACCAGGAATAGCAAAACGATCTATTTGATAGTCTGTTGCCTGTCTGTCAAGCACAGATGTTACTGTTCACATGTTCTTTCCTTCACTTTTCCTTGTGCCATTGATGTAGGAGATGATGTTAAAAAGAACTCTGTTGACTGCTTGAAGCACCCCAAAAGGCAGCCTCTTAATCTATCTATGCACTTTTGGGAATTTTGAAGAAATTTGAGCCTTGTAAAAGGAACTGTTGTGAGACGTGGAAGCTGCACCTGTGTGTGTATGTTTTAGCAATAAAACTTAGGCTAAGAATGAAATAAATAAGGTATTCTTTGGATCATATTACATTATATTTAGTTAATTGCCAAACCAGCTTTAGTTCAATACCATCTGAATCTTTTATTTACCCTCCCAGACTGTCCAAGGCCAGGCTTGTGGCTGGATCACTTTATGCCACTGTGGATCCATTTCCTAAGCATTCCTTCCGTTCAGCTCCACATCCTGGCCCTCTTAGTCAACTCGCTACAGCAACAAAACTCAACCACTGTCCAAATGACATGGAGCAGCATACTTGGGGGAAGACTGATGTGTCTTTGGGGTTGCAATGGCCATGCATAGGGTCCTGTTAGATTGTAGTATGTCTTTACCCTCACAATAGGTCATTGCCATCCTACTGTATCAAAGTCACACATACTGTGTTAGGGACAATGAGAAGGAAGAGGGAAGAAGGGTGAATAGAAAGAACCAGGCTGCTGCCTTGGAGTCACATGTCTTTATTTCTCCGTTTCAATTTTCCATCCCACACCGTGAAAGATATTGGGAGGAATTAAACCTAGATGACCAGGAGTGGGGGAACTGGGATGAGCAAGGCTCATGATGGAGCTTCTAAAAGAGAAGAGGGATCATCAAGATGTCTTTCTAGAAGCAAAGGCACAACAGTAGTCACAAAGCTCTAGCCTTACCGATTTGTTGTATGGGCGGAGGAGTGTAACAATCACGGTTCCTTCAGGCCCAGGAGGTCCTGTTAATCCTTTCTCACCCTAAAGACAGGCACAGAAGAGAATGAAAACCACCCAACACCATCAACACAACAGGTCTACTCTCTCAAAGGTCAGTTTCCTCTTCTGCCTCATACACAAAACAGCCAATGGAAACACTCATTTCCACATGTCCAGTGAGTAGATGCAAAGGCATCTGGGAACTTACATCTTCCAACCCACTAACACATACTGCGGTATGTCAATTACCTTTTCTCCTTTTTCTCCTATGGCATAGTCACCCATATGACCCTGTAAGAGAACATGAAATGTCATTGCTAGGTCTCAGGAAGTCCATATGGTTAGAAATGAGTTCAGGCGGGACTATAGAAAGTTTTTTGGACATTAGATAAAAGCCAGTATTCCTCAGGAACTTGTGAAATGTCCCCCCAAGAAGTCATTTCTCTTGCATCTGGCAGAAGGGGACATATGGCTCCATTGACAATGCCCTGTGGTTACATATCCGAACCCAGATAGGATCCTCAGTCCCTACTCACAAGTACTTGTTTGACATTTCAAAGGCTTTTTCCACTTCCTCAGGATTCTCTCCTTCCAGGCACACCTGTTTGAACAAACCCTCTACAAAGACAGAGCACCCCCCCCCCCAGCAATCTCTTGCTGTCTTACTATCTCCACCACTACTGTCTCCTGCCCTCTCCCTCTCTTGATTCTATGGTTATGTCCAGTCTGCTGTCTTTTTTCTCTTCTTTGGACTATTCCAGGTACCTCTGGATAATTTTTTTTCTCTCTTATTTATTCTGAACAAAAGCCTTCATCCTAATAATGGAACAGTTTTTTTTAACTGCACTCCCTCGTATACAATCATTATGTTTAAAAATAAATTTGAGTAATTGGAACTCATTAAAATTCCAGTCTTTGTAAGTGAAGACTTATATATCCATCTTAGTTTTGAAATTATAAAGCTATATTACTATTTTCATAGAAGAACAGCAATGTGGGTTTTTAAAGGTAGAGGTTTGGGAGCCCAGGAAACTGGAGACTCACTGAATAAAATGGATGGCACAAGTTGGGGCGGGGAGTGGAAACTAGTATAGAGGGAATTTCTCTTGCTAAGCCACCATCTGGATTTGATCCCATTGGCAGGCTACTTCCTGATGAGTCTTTCACTTCCTGGCTACCTGACTTCCTTTGCTGGCGGCTTCGTTTCCTGATGCCCTACTTTTGTCATGCTAAAAATAAGAGGACCGGTAACTGAACTTCAAGATTCTGCAATTCAAGCCAGAAAAGCCAAGAGTGGAAAGCAAGCCTTTAGTAATTTAGTGACTCATGATCACTTGAGGCGAATAGTTTCCATTCATCAACAATGGCTGTTGTGTTATGAACACCCATCACAGCTAATGAAGACATTTAAAACTAACTGTAAAGTATTAAGAGGTAGGGCTGGGTAGGACTGTTAAAAATGAGCCGATTCGTTCATCCATGGACTCAGGAAATAGTGAGTTATGGCGGTGGAAAATGAGCCTTCTGTATATGTATGTCATCCTGTTTCCTCATATGGTAACTATACTCTGCACTCTGCAGGGAATCATTTACACAGGGACTATCAAAGTGGCTCAGTGGGTAAAGGTATCCTTTGGCAACCTGACCATCTGAGTTCAATTCCTCACACCTACATAGTGGAATGAGAGTCCTTCAGATGTCCTATGTCCTTCACACATGTGCCATGTTGTGTATGTTCTACAAATAAAGAAATAAATATAAAAGTAAAATTAAAAGGAAAGGAAAAGCCCTGATACCCCTTGACAATGGACTCTTTATCTGGACCTGTAAGGGATAAATTTCTATCCAGTCTGTAGCAATTCGTCCATCCAGCTAGAAACAGATTATAACAATGGCTAACCTATCATTTGAAGCAGTGTCTTTTATAGAACTTTTCCAAGGGCAGTTTATTTTTGTTTTAATGATTTCATAGTAAAGAGTATATGAAACAGTCTTATGAATGTGGTCCAGTGTCTTAATCTTACTAATTAACTCTCTTAAGAAACATGGGGGAAAACTTTACAAAATGTCTACAATGTAAAATCATATCGCAGCTTTTTATAAGGAAACAGCCTAAGGTTGCCATGTAGAAGTGTGCATGTAATAGCAATATACATAAGATAACAGATTTTACGAGGATATTTCTTAGTTTACAATGTGCCATTTCTGCTTCAAATAATCTTCCAGCAGTCTAGTCTCACTAACAGTGAATCTTTGCTTTGGGAATATTTGTTATCATTGTTTATCTGGCATTTGGTTCCTAGAAAAAGTTTCTGCTGAACTGTGGCTTTTCTTTTTAAATTTATTTTTAAGGTAGCATACAAAGTAACATACTTGGGGTTGGTTCTGCTCTTCCCTCACCCATGCTCTTCTCCCTGAGTATCATTTCCCTTTTTGCTCCCGAGTGTGTGGCTGTTGAGTATGGTGGTTAACCTTGATTGTCGTCTTGATGGGATTTAGGATCCCCATGGCGGTGACCCTTGGGCAGGCCTCTGAATTAGCTTGACTGGGGTTAGGAGACCCAGCCTGACTGTGGGTGGCAGGATTCCGAGTGCTGGGGTCCCAGACTGAAGAGAAAGGCAGGTCTGAGCAGTCGTATTCATTGCCCTCTCCTTCTGACTATGGATGCAGCACGGCTGGCTTCATGTCCCTGCTGCCATGACCTCCTGCTTGGTGGACTATACCCCCAAACTTTGAGCCCAAATGAACCTTTCCTTCCTCAAATTGCTTTTGTCAGGGACTTGGCCAGAATAATGAGAAAAGCAGCTCCCAGAGTCAAGAGATTTCAAACCGCAGCTGCCATCACATAATCTGAACCCAGGAGAGATGGAGGATGGAGGAAGAGGAAGGGGAGGGAGAGGGGCAGACAGATTGCATGTGTGCATCTATCAATGACGTAATAAATGTGAGAGCACATTTGTTCTGTGCGCCAGGCCATTAATATCAATAAGAAACAGTACTTAGTAATACTCCCTTGGTGAGGCTCACCTTCATTCGCCATTTAAAAATTTAATTTTTATTTGAATTTTTTATTCGTTCAACATTTCTATCCTTAAACTATTTAATTTTTTTTAAAAATAGAAACACCTAAAGTACCCAGATTGAAGACTGTCACCCTTCATTTAGTCACATGAGATTGTGTGGATTTTGCAAAGCAGCCTGCTACAAGAACTGATGAGCTAAAGTAGGGTTACAGAAAATGGAAACCTACCTATTAGAAACCCTGGCTTTCCCCCAGTGTTCTGTCAGTGATTAAATTACTGCTGGTCCTGTCCCCTTTTCTGTTGGGACTGCTGTGATCCTAGGGAGGTACCAACAGTACTCTGCTAGACTTATGGGCTGGCTAGGGTGCCCCGAGTGTTAAAACTTAGGAACATAGACTTACTTTTGGTCCTCTGGGTCCCACAGCACCTGGAAAACCCTACAACAGATGTGAGCAAATGTTAAAGCAGGAATCATGCCCAGTCAGATCGTGCTCTAAAACATTTGTTATTACTAATGTGTGCATGAGCTGCAGAGACTTCATACTCACAAAATCTCCCTGAGGACCTGGTGGACCAGCAGGCCCTGGAAAACCTGGGGGGCCTGGAAAACCCTTGAAGTTAAGAGAAGAGTGAATTTAATGTACTCATCAAATAACACCAAAGCCCATTAGTTAGATGTTGTGATGCTTTCATGAAACCCCAAGAGCATATTGCCTCCCCTCTAACTGACTGCAACCAATTATAGTAAGTTCCAAACTCCTTGCTGTAGGCAACAGATACCCGGGACATCTTGATACAGGGACATGGCCAGCAACACTTATTGATTTGGGCAGTTTTCAGGCTTTATTCCCCCCTCTCTTTCCCCCCCTCCCTCCCTGAATGTGGACAGTGTTTTTCCTCCTCCTTTAGGGCTGGCCCCACCCACAGCTCTCATGCCTAGTTTTCCGTATACCTTTATGACCACTTTCCCCCTTATTGCTACAGCTGACCTTCTCAGAAGGCTGTCCTGTCGGCTGGATCGGTACCCCAAATTAATTGACTGTACCACTGGAGCTCTGGGTTCCCTCTCTGTCTGTCCAGAGTTGGAGTTCTTCCCTGATGATATGTCCTATCCCCACTCCCGACATTATTTTTCTCATTAGCATTCATTATGGTGTAACAAATGGTACTGTTATCAATTAATATTTTTTCCCTGTCTGCTCACTGGAACGAAGTCTCTATGGGGACAAGAGTTTTAGAACTGGTTTTTGGCTGATCTGGGCCCTAGAGCCTAGAAATAGTCCTGCCACATAACTGGCACCTAAGAAACCTTAAATGCATTGCACTGAAATGGTGCGCAGAAGCGCACTGACAGGAGATGACCATGTTCCCGGCCATTACTCTCCTTTCTGCACCTTTGATTCCTATGCAAAGGATCGAGAGCCACCCTGTCCCATGCCAATCTCAGAAGCCCATCAATGCTGCTAGTCGCATTCCTGTGGCTGTTGGGCTCCTAGCCCAGTTTCACAGGTTAGTTCTGTTGGCCTGGTTCACCAGCATCCACAGCTTCAACTCAAACCCTGACTTGATGAGGCAAATATCCAGTCTCTTCCCAGAAATTTCCACACTGCATTCAGAACTAAGGTGAGTTACTTCTGGTTAATTAGCCTGAAATTTAGCAATTGTAGTAGATATCTACCTAGGGGCCCTTCTGAATCACAAAGTATACACAAGCCCTAAATGGCTGTGTCTCATTGGATCTGTTATAGAACACCCCCAGGCTAGCTACAGATGAACTAGTGAAGCAAACGCTTCAGGGTTCAAGGGACAAGAGTCACGCTTCAATAAAACTCTTAAAGATGCTGTGTAAATATTGGAGCTAGGATGTTCTTTAACACTCCAATTTTAATTAGCCAATGCACAGTGTGAACCTGTCCTTGATTTCAGCCAATACACAGAGAGAAAAGCTCTTCCCTGAAGAGGCTCAAACAACAGAAGCTTAAGAGATTAAAAGATGTTCACAATGTCACTTTTGCATACCAGCATGTTGCTTCTCCTAACGGGGTCAATGTTAGAATGACAGGTGAGGTGGACATTGTAGAGAGGGAGAGAAGAGAGGATGGGAGGAAGGAGGGAGGAAGATAGATAATATGAATATGATACAATATGAATATGAGTGGAGATCCTTCTGGAAGTGTTATACCTGGAAGCCTGGAGGCCCTGGAGGCCCAGGGTCACCTTTTCCATCGAATCTCCTGTCTCCTTCTTGAGCAGGCTCACCCTTGAAAACAGAGACAGTCATCAGCCCCAATCAGCTTTTTATTTTCAAAAGGCCCCACATTGAGTGCTCATTCAAGGTCATATCTCCTCAAAGATCAGTGTCTGGGAGTATGTATACACTTACAGAAGTGTTTTCAAATTTGCAATTATTCCATTTTGAAGAATTCAAAGAACTCTTAAAACTTTTTTGTTAGCCTATATAAATCATACATAATAATGAGTTTCATTGTGACATTTTGTATTTGCATATATAATGCATTTGATCATAGTCTCTCCTCAATACCCCTTCCCATTCTTCTCACACTCCTGCTGATTATAGACCACCCCATACCTTCCTGCCTTTCTCCCACCCACATTTTTTTTGTGTGTGTGTGTGTGTGTGTGTAAGCCAATGAGTTTAATTAAGGTTTCTTATAGGACCATGGTCAAGAGGCTATTTGTAAGTGCATGGACAATTAACCAGTGGCTACACCACTGAGGAAAATCTCTCTCCTTCCCAGAAACCAATAGCTGCCTACAGACCCTCAGGTGGGTGGGACTTTACAAGGTACTCCTCCTACTTTTGTACTATTTTTTTTTAAACTGACAACTTACTGTGATAAGGAGGAAAAGGAATAATAAATCATTTCCCAAGATACCCAAATTGGTAGTAATTCCTAACCTAGAACGTGGAGTCTCAAATACAAGAACAGTTCCCTTTCCCTAGATCCTCCTTCCTTAAAGGATGACATAACCATCCCAAGGATCTGTCTATGTCAAGAGCCAGAGGAATTTGCTCAGTAGGAGAAAGTGCCATCTTTTAATGTTTATGGTGTCTGAATTATTAACACCAAGACCTGGTTTATGAGGCCAGTTTGCAATAATTTACACTTCATCAATTAATTGAGGTCCTTTTCATACACATGGTTCCAGATCTTCAGTAATAGCAGTTGACAAACAAATAACTTACCTTTTGTCCTTTCACACCAATAGGACCCTGGGAAAGAAGCAATGCATTAGCCACCAGAGGCCAAACAAATCCATACACTTTACCTTGTCTCCACTCCCTTTGTCTGCCCGCTGGCCCATAACATTCCTGGCTTTCAATCTCCACATTTCAACAGATCTATAGTTTCTTCTACATCTTCTGCCTCCCTCCAATACGGACAGTCTCTCTTTTCATCCTGCCTGCAAATTTACACACTGTGCTTCTCCCACCTATCCCCAGTTCCACACATGCCTCTCAGCTCCTTCTGTCATGGGAACACTGCTTTCCAAGGTCAGCAATGACTTCATGTCATCGGTTAAGACCAAGCCATCAATCCTTGTATTACTAGACTTGTCTGCATCATGGGGCTGCCCCATACACCACTGAAGGACATCTTCACCATGGCTTCCATTCTATACAATTCCTGGCTTTCTCTCTGTTGTTAGGGCCTTTTCTCCTTCCCCTGCTCATTCCCCTTGACTTAGAAGTTACGTGACCTTCGAATCAAATGCTATGCTTGCTCTCTCTTTCTGAATTGGTAGAAATTTGACCTCACATCCTCTCCTCCTCCCGTCAGTCTGCTTATTACACATCTTTATGTGGATGTGTCAAAAGTAAAACAAAGCCCTAATAGCTAAACTTGATCTTGTAAATCTTCCTTCCCTCCCTCCCTCCCTCTCTCCCTCCTTCCCTCCCTCCCTCTTTTCTTCCCTCCCTCCATCCATCCCTCCTTCCTTCTTCACTTCCTTCTTGTCTTTTTCTTTCTGTCCCTGCGTCTGATAAACTCTCAGCCTTCCCAATATCAGGAGAGGTTTGTGTGCATGGCACATGGAATGGACTACTTTCATCAGTTAATTTATGTCTGTGATGTAGGAGTTAGGGATACAAACTTACTGGGAGCCCCAAATAGCCTGGTGTCCCAGGAATACCTGGGAATCCTTGTTCACCCTAGAAGACAAGAAAGTTTTTCAGAGTTCCTAGTTGTTCTAGAACATCTTATGCAGATAGTTATCCCCCAGTAGCCCATCCAACTAGGTAAATAAATTCAAATTCCTGATGGCTATTGCTCAGAGGGCTGAGAGCCAGAAACCCATTATCTTAGTTGAAAATAAGATCAGGGTCTACTGCCTCTCAAATTGGGCATAAATGGTACCCTAATTTTGCCAAGAACTTTTTAATTGCTGCTTCTGGAACTTTAGTAATTAGTTTGCTCGTGGCCACCCTTCTAAGGGGAGGGGAGGGCTTAGTTAGGACACATAGGAGGCAACGCTCAGGCTTTTCTTTCCAGGCACTAACTTATTCTCTGATTGGTAGATTGGTATCTACAACCTCTGATGCGAGCAAGGCATTGAGTTTCTGTGGCAACCGACTGGAAAACTCCCTTCAAAACCATGCATAAGGAGAAAGGAAGCAATTCCTGCTCAAAATCATGCTGTTGTTTTTGACTAAAAGAATGTTCCAGAAAGTCCACTTCATCTCACTACAGCTTCTTCCTGACTTATTCATCCAGCAATGTTCTCATTAATCACCTGTTCAAGCAGGACGTACCTTAGAACCATTGCATCCTGGTAGACCATCCAGCCCAGGAGGCCCAGGGTGGCCTGGGATGCCCTAGAAAGAGAGCAAGACTCACTGACAAAGGCAGAGGCTGCTTTACAAGGCCCAAGACTACAAAAAAGTCAGGACTCAAAGGAAATGATGATGGTTTTAGAAGGTTATTAGCTAGAAATGGTTGCTTAAATGCTAATATAGCAAATTTAAATTGTAATTTTGATATAATTTAGTATCATAGTAAACAAAACATGTTATCTAAGATAAAGATTGTTGGATGAGATATGGATATTTTAGATGAAACAAAAGTCTAGAAAACACAAAGTGGGATCACATGATGTTCTGTTCTAAGTGAGAAAGGGAGGAAAGAGAAGAGGGCTAGACATTGAGGGGATTATGTCATTGTTCTGTGCTACAGGGCCATCCTATTGTATTCTATACACATATATGTGTCATACAAATCCACACTCTGCCATAGTCAGTTCTTGTAAAGAGTGTGCCGGACATGTTTGTACGGTAACTATTTTAATGTCTTCAGTAAGATGAACATGTGAGTGGGAACACACAAGCATATATATATATATGTATATATAAAACACATACATATATACACAAGAACATGAACACATGCATACATATACACACATATATAATTGTACACACATACATATACACACATATATATATACATATACACACGTACATATATACATACACATATATACATTACAATACATACATACAAATGTACACACATACACACACACACACATATATATATATACATACACACATGCATACATACATAGTACATATATATAATGAGTAGTTTCCCCTAGTCTAGTCTGACTGCTGTGTCAGCCCCAAAAAACACACAGAGACACTATATTAGATATAAAGCTGTTGGCCTGTTATTAGCCTTTCTTATTGGCTAGCTCTGCCTTAAACATTAACCCATTTCTATTAATCTAAGTGTTTCTGTGTGGTCTTATCTTACCGGAGAAAGGGTCCAGACCTCTCCTCTCAAGCCCCTACATCTTGACTCTCCCTACCACCTCTCCCAGAATCCTCCTTATCTCCTAGTCCTGCCTATCTTGCTTTCCTGTTGGCCAACAGGGCTTTATTCATTAACCAATAAGAGAAACATATTTACAGAATGACATCTGCCATCATATATACACACATAATAAATATACAAACACACACATGCACTCATGCACACACACACACACACACACACACACACACACACACACACACACACATTTCTCATTACTTACTGGAAGTCCAGGAGGACCTGAAAATCCTGGTAATCCAGTTATTCCCTAAACATAAGTAAAAGAGGAGGGGGTAGAGAGAAAAGAGCAAAAAAAAAAAAAAGTTAAAAATGTTCATTCTATAAACATAAAATTATTTGCCATTTCAATGATCATTTTTTTTTTTTTGCAGCTATGTATTGAGTATATCAAAAAGTGGTTAGAAACAAAAAGGCTCTACAAACCTTTCTACATCTGGCCATTATACAACTTTTTACATTTTTGTTTTGTTTGGTGAGTCAGTCTTATTGTGTACATAGCCTAGACTGGTCTCACACACACTGTGTACATATTCTGGGCTGGCTTTGAGTTTGTGACTTTCTGCCTCCCATTTATAGAAATGGTGTGTGTGTGTGTGTGTGTCTGTCTGTCTGTCTGTGTCTCTGTGTGTGATGTTTGTGACACATGTGCCACAGTATATTTGTGGATGTCAGAGGACAACTTTTGGGGAGTTTTTTCTATTTCTTCACTTTGAGGAAGGGCTTCTTAAGATCTCTGCCATGCAGCATGCTCCTGCCTGGCCTGCTCATTCTCCTATATCCACCTCCTATTCGGATATGTGAGTGCTGGGCTTGTGCACTATTCAATCTGTCTTTTTTTTTTTTAAGTGATGTAGGTTCCCCATATTGAATTCAGATCCTCAGGCTGGCACTACAATCCCTTTCTCCTGTGGAAAGTTTTAACTGGGGGTTGTTATGGTTGCTTTGGTTGAGGGGGATTCTTTTTGTTTGTTCTTTGAGACAAAGACTCACTCTATAACCCGGGCTATCCTAGGAATGTCATAAGGCAGCCCAATCTTGAACTTAAAGCAATTCTCCTGGCTCAGCCTCCCCAGTGCTGAGGTTGTAGATGTGAGTTACCACACCTGGCTGAAAGTCATTTTTAAGGTATATTTTACATGTGGTAAAATGTGTATGTCTTCTGTGAAAAGCATATGGATATGGATATATATATATATATCCCTCCCTCTTCCAGTCACTAGAGTGCTAATCATGCACTGACATGGCTGGCATACTGGCATATTTATGGTCACTTCATAATTACTCCTAACCTCAAACAGTAACAACATCATCAACTCTCTAGAAAGTTCTCTTGAGCCCTTTCCTATCAGTTCACATCTGTCCCTAAGGTGGTGACCATTGTTTTGGCCTCATCCAGGGCTTACTTTTCCTGTTACACTCCACTCCATCTGTGGAGCCAGACACCTCTCTGACCTTTACAAGAAGAATGTTCAACCAACCATCAGAAAGGATGGGTGGGACTACTAACCCTGATGCCTTTGGGACCAGTGAGTCCTGGAAGTCCTGGAGAGCCCTAGATCCAAGTGGAAAAAGGAAAAGTCAGTGCAGCAAAAACCATTTGGTGCTATGATACCCACACATCCAAGGCCCTAGGCGTGTCTCCACGCTGAGCAGTTTTGGTCTTGTGATTATTTCACTATTGATAGAGCTTATTAATCACTGGCTGCTCCCAATTGAGTACCAATTAGAATGGACCAACAAAACTACATTCAAACCCTCACTGCTCAAAAACTGGATCAGGGACCAATGACCAGCGAGTTGATCTCAAACAGCTTCACCCCTTTCCTCTTCCAGGTCATATTGATGCTGAATCCACATCTCCACAGGATTCTGCTGGGATTCTCCGGCACTGGGAATCCTTAAAAAGACCCACATTAGCCTAGCAGCTGCTGGGGACTGATAAGGGGGAACACCATGGTTACAGCGGCAAAAGATACCAGTGGCCGGTGATTCTGTGCCGGAGAAACGCTTCATAACACAATGTGCCCGACACGTAAGAGTAAATAAACATCAAAGTGGGAACTGCCTGCACCACAGATGCTTTTTTACCTCCCCCGCTTAATGAATCCTGGTTTGAGGCCCCTTTCCACCGAGAATAACCTTAAATGGAGACTATTTTAACTAAGCTGTGAAACCGCCATTGTCCAAAAGCTTTTTTCCATCACCCCAGAGAGTTTCAGATATTTTTTGTTTTGTTTTGTTTTGTTTTGTTTTTGAGAAAGGGCTGTTACAAAGTCTTCTGAGATTGGAGCATCAAGGTCAAAGTCAGCCGTTCCCTTCTGAGGGGGAATTCCTGGGTGCAAGGCCATGTTCAGGGCTGGATCTTTCCCTGGTGAGAGCTGCTTTGTGTTATGCAGAGGGCAGAAAGGAAGACAGATTTGCAGGTTTGATTTCCCTGTTGTAAATCTTCATGAGCAGAAAATAACACTGAGAAGGGAAGCTTATAAATCTGAAAACTATTTTGGCAAGATTTTAATGTTCTCTGGTTGTTTGCCTTTGGTCAAGTTCTCCTTTGGGGATGCGTGTACCTATAAGCCATGTTTGAAAATGAGATCCCATGACGTGACAGGTGTTTTCTGGGTTGGTTTTATGGAATATTTGCAAGTGTTCTATGTATTATTCATATATATATGAATATTCATATATATATATAGTCAATATAGTATGGAATTTGAAAGACTCCACAAAGATCAATTATGATGATCTTTTATCAGCTATTAGTTGACAGCTTGCTGGAGGCCAGGAGTCAGGGAAGTTTGTATGTCTGATAGCCCCAGTGTCCATCCAGCTAATGTCTATTCCCAGTAGGAAGGTCTGATCAACAGAGCTAGTGCTACACGGTTATTTAGTAAATCCTCTCTCATAGCATGATTAAAGATCTGTGACAAGTGTGAAGGGAGGCAGGCTCTGGTACAGACATTAGAAGCCTGATGCTCAACAGACCTCCACAAAGGATGGGGAGACAGGAAGAGAATCAAGGATAGGGGACTTACACAACCAAAAGCAGATAGATGTCTCCAGACCCACTCCATGCGAATCAAAGCAGAGGTTCATGTCAAGGGAAGATACTAAAGAACCCCTCGCAGTGGCCATTGGAGATCATAGTGAGGCTTGCAGGAATGTTTTCAGAGGAGGAAGCCAAAGGCAAAGGGACACTGGCTAAGGGGAGACGAGCAGGAGGCTAACAGGTACCACATGAACTATTCCTTCAAGCACTCAGGCTACAGAAAAGACAAGGAGAGGATGATGAACCTCTGGTTAGGGTACCTAAAGAATCTAGACGAAGTTACATGCCAGTATAGAAAAATATTTGCATGTTTCAGCACTAAAAGAGAAGAGCCAACATCAAATGTCCATCAGAAAGGAGATGCTCCTGGACCAGGGTGAATCCCAGTGGTCAGGGAAGAGGTGGAGGGACAGGTCTTCAGTGAAGGAGGAAAAGATCTCATCCTCCCTTGTAAGACAAGCTTGGCGAGGTTCATGGGTGGAAACTACATGGTGTCTGGTTGGCTAAGAATTCAGTTCTGAAAAACTCAGCTAAGGTAGGAAATGAAGAATTTGTTTTTCATCCACCAGGTGGCTAAGGTGGGGAATTCTCTTCAGGGCCCCAGTGGCCTATGTGGTAGGCACGAAGATGGGTTAGGTGGGCAGAGGATTCACCAAGTTTGCAGCGTGACATACCTTGGGTCCCTGTGGTCCAGCAAAGCCTTCAGGACCTGGAAATCCTTTCTGGCCAGGAAAACCAGGGGGTCCAGGATAGCCTTTCTCCCCCTGTTAAAACCAAAATGAAACAAGAAGCAAGCGGCAGTTAGCTAGCAACACACTGAGCCACACCAGTCTTCTTTATAACAGTCTTCCCTGGGGTCAAGGAGTCAATAGTCAACACAACTCCCAGGAAAGCCACCAGCTAGTAACACATGTCCATCAACTTCAGAGTGGCGCTAATGTCCTTGTAGAGACTGATTTTTCCAAGAGTGTAGACCCACTATTTAGGACAGAGGTTAGAGGGAAAGGGACCAATTGAAAGAACAGTGGTTAGAAAATTAAGGTTAGTGGAGTGTGTTCATTAAGGTGTGGAGATGGTGAGGGCGAGGCTGCGTTTTGAGGTCTTCATAACGACAGAATGAAAACAGAATACCATGGAGGTACAGACTTGAGAGCTGTTTTATTGTGCAGAAATGTGTCCCCCAATTGATGATTTCCATGGATGCTGCAGGACAAGGACAGCACAGAGTATGAACCAAATGATCTCATAGGTGGAGCTAGATGATGCTCTGGGGAAGTGCCTAGCAGAGAATAAAATAGTTTGGCCAACAAAAACTTCCCATGACTGTGAATACCGGGGAATAGTCTTCAACAGTCAAGGCCACTAGTCAATTTGTTTTGTTACAATTGGTAGATGCAATAAAGAAAGAAAGAAAGAAAGAAAGAAAGAAAGAAAGAAAGAAAGAAAGAAAGCCACAGAAAAGATCGAAAGTCTGCTCCTTTATGTTGGTATACAGGCAGGCACACATCAATAATCAAAGAAGTGGATTTGCTAGACCTAGACCCTTCTCACGGCTCAGTGACTTTCACATGTTTTAGAATTGCATCATGCATACAGCTGCAACTCAATATATGCCTGAATGCAAGTTCAAGAACAAAGAGAGTGCATTCCAGAGTAAATGTGAACAGGCAACATTCAGGGCTTCCTGGGGAGAGGGGAGGACCCTAGTACAAGTGAATTATAGATATAGTATTGGTAAGTAAAATAATTATTGTAATCAGTATATATTTATATGTAAATTGTCTTATCTAAAAGGCTTAAAATGTGCTTTCTTTGAAATACTTTTTAATAGTTACCCTTCAATATTGTTGACCAATTAATTAATGTCTCCAAGGAAGGGGTTTGTAAACAAACAAAAAATACTTTAGCTCTGCTCCTGTCTTAATTGTCATAAATTGTGAGTTAATGGAGCGGACTGATGAGATTTCACAGCATTCTTTTTCTTTGAATTCTGCAATGGAGTTTTGAATTTTTTTTTTTTTTTTTTTTTTTTTTTTTTTTTTTCCTTGACTGTGGTTCTGTTGCTGGATTTTGCCACCAGGGGGTGGTCTTGTCTCAATGCTGCAGCACAGCATCTGTGGGTTTCAATGTTTTTATCAAAGCAAGAGAATCAAGTTGTTTTAATTTCTTCTCTCATGTTTAGCAACATCATAAATATAGTGTATGCTAGGGAGGCTTCTTAAAATGTTCATTTTTTTTGGCAGCTTGCTACTTATTCAGCTGAGAGAGTTACAGTCTAACTGCCAGTATTTACACAAGGTAGAGGGAGTAGCCAAAGCTTCCTAGAAGGATTTACACATTGTTCAAGGTTAATGTTTATATACAATTACTTTAAATGTGGATTTAGGAAAGTTGATAATGTAGTGATGATCTCCACTATGAAGAGCAAAGTGTGTCAGACTCAAGGCGTGTCTAGTGTGAAGAGGCAGCATTAAGTTCTGTTCTTACCTTCTCCCCTTTGGTCCCCACGCAGAGACACTGGCCCTTGCCTTTGCAGACACAGCCCTGGAAAGAGCAAAAGAGGACAATTAATGGATACCAAACCTATCTTATGCTCTTTGAACCTTGGACACTTAAACTCGTGATACACGTGACACTGGCAATTCATCAATAAAAGTGAATAGAAAAAAATATCATCATAGAAGAAATGTCAAATGACATAGAAGGGTCACCATTTTTTTTTAAATTGAATTTTGAAAGTTGAACAGTTTGTTTGTAGAAAAGGAAAAGTCTGTTATTCCACGCCCTTTTCCCACAACAATAAAACGTCGAACTGTGTGAAACTACCATTGTTGTAGTTGGAAAGGAACCTAACATTGATTTCTTCTTAGGTTCAGTAAAATGGTGTGTGTGTGTGTGTGTGTGTTATGTGTTGTGGTGTGTGTGTGTGTGTGTAATTGTGTGCTGTGTGGTATGTGTGTGGTGTTTGTGGTATGTGTGTGCTGTGTGTGTTATGTGTGCTGTATAGGATGTGTGTGTGTGTGTGTGTGTGTGTGTGTGTGGTGTTTGGGTTCGATGTGTATTTGTACCTGGCTCTCCTATGTGCACCATATCTCATATCTCATGACTGAATACATAACACTTCCACAGGTGATTCCAAGCTTTGCTTTCCCTGAAATAGTATTCAACACCGGAATAAGAATGTTGATGTTCACTGCGTGTATTTAAAACATTCAATTACTGTGCTGATACCAGAATAAACTTTCTTACATAAAGAACGAAAACTACATCACTGAGCCAGCAATCTTCTATCCTATCTAGTCACTTTGACACATCAACAAACTCAGCCCTTAGAAATTATGTAGAAACTCTGAAAAATATTACCCACCTGCAGAAACACAAGAAGAAAAATAATTGTTAAGTAGTAGATTTAATATGTTCTTTGACATAAATGATACATTCTATGGTCGTGTATAAACCTTTTTCTTTATTGTTTCCTTTAGTAAATACTAATTGCAAATTAGTTTGCTTCTATATAAAATATATGATTGATAATTGACGATACCAGCTGCTAATTGATGACCTAACATTTATAGGAGGCTGGTAGGTAAATTGCAAGGGAAACGGGGAGTTTCTAACTGAAAAAGGAAAAGTCTCAAAACATAAGTAACTGAATATATTCCCTAAGGTGATGACAGGAGACTTTTCTGCCATTCACAGAGCTGAGCAGGTGATGGCTTTCATTCCTCCCACACTCACCCCATTTATAAACATCGTGATTTATATGAATGGGAAGTCACTGACTGAGGCATGGATAGTCTCCCTGAGTTGTGGTAATTCGATATTCTTATAAGACCAGGTCTTTACTGTTTTCCTGGCAGGTGTTTGGCATGATGAAGACTTCACTTAATTTTGCCTTTCTGGATTCTTAACTGTCTACATTCATGTCAGACATATATTTAACTGCACTCTTATTAGCAATGGGCTCCCTAAACATCTGTGTCATCTTGTCTCTGCCCCATGGTTAACTCAAGCAGAAACTTTGAGGCAAGCTTCCAGGAATCTGTTTCATGATGCCCTTTTGTTGATAACGATTTATTTCTCACAGTTGAGAACCCCATTCTGAGTGAACTTGACATAATTATACATGGAGTTTCCTAGCCGCTGTCCTCAATAGAGTATGCATGGATTTCCTTAGCCACTGACTTCCAAAGATCTCTAGAAGCTCTGCTTCTCACAAGCCAGACACCTGCATCCTGAGCATCTGGTCCAGGGAAGGGAGGGGCATATTGGCCATCCTGTAAACTAGACAATATTAAATGTTCCACAAGGCAGGCTTAATTCAATTTTGTTTTGTTTATTTTATCTGTCTGTCTACCTAACTATCACTTTCTCTACCATCTCTCTTCCTATCATCATTTATTATCAATTTTTGAATAACAGTTGTGTTCAGCCTCCTCTATTGAAAAACCTTTCAACCAAAGTTTGAGTGAGTCCATCCTTGCTGATCTCCTTTAGACCACATCTTCCCTTCATTCTACTCTATGGAACTTTTGTAATTACATGTTTAATGAACATTTTTTTTTCCTAATGGCTGCATGTCCCAGGAGAGAAGGAACCACCCGCTGTTGTTCATGTCAATGTTCTACCTGTGTTGTATATCCAGAACAATTGCTGTATCAATTGGATGGAAGCTTATGGTTCACCCTGAACTTGGGAGTGGTGATATATTATTTATGATTAATTAAAGCTTGCCTGAGGATTCATAAAGCAAAGTTAGCCACACGTCATGGAAACCAGGCACACACCTTTAATCCCAGCAGCCAGAAGCTAGGAGGTGGTGGCACACACCTTTAACCCCAGGACTCAGGGTTAAGAGGTATATGGATCTCTGAGAGTCCAAGACCCCCCAGATCTACACAATACTGAATCAGTCTAAAAGAGAATTATAGCTCACACCTTTAATCCCAGCACTAGAGGGTATAAAAAAACAGGAACAAGTATTGAGTAGGAGGCAGTCATTCTCCAGCCAGACAGAGGAAAGACAACAGTCTGAGGCTTGGTGAGAGCTCGTGGAGACAGGATCAGCCCTTTAAGTCTGAGAAAGAGGTAAGAAGCTAATGGCTGACTGCTTAGTTTTTCTGATGTTCAGTTTGAAGCTTGAACCCCAATATCTGTCTCTGGGTCCTTTACTTTTCATGTTACACATGGTAGTTATATGGCTGTTGTTGGGCAATTATAACTGACATGAAAAAGAGCGAAGTCAGAGCCTTTGGCTGGTTCAACACATTAAAACGGACACAAACTGAATGATTTGTTAGTTAGTTGCTTGGGCTGAAAAAATTTTTTAGAATAACATTAGCCCTCCTGAGAGTTGAAATGCAGTGCAAAAACAATTATATAATGTCCCATTTAAGCTCAGCAGCTGTTGATATAATTCACCACTCCATTTCCCTCTGTCTCTCTTGTTTCTCCCGCTTTCTTCACCTCTACACGCACGCATACGCACGCACGCATACGCACGCATGCACACGGCGCACGCACACGCACGCGCATGCACGCGCTCCCACACACACTCTCTCACACGCACGCACGCACGCACGCACGCACGCACTCCTGTCCCCAAATAACTCAAAAGAAGGCTTCATGCAGGCTGACATGTCACCTCCATATGAGCATATATTTTTATGTAATTGCATAAAATTAAGAAACCCAAATGGATGTCATTTTAGCATACTTGTTTATTAGAGGATCATAGTTTTATTTAAGGTCCTTAATTATGGTAGGAAATTAAAAGCTGTTTAATGTCTAGCAAAGCTATGATTTTATAGTAGCAATTTCATCACTTAAAAAAAGACGTGTGTGTGTGTGTGTGTGTGTGTGTGTGTGTGTGTGTGTGTGTGTGTGTGTGGTGTGTACTACATGTGTGTGGGTACCTTCAGAGGCCAGAAAAGAGCATATCATTCTCAAAAGCTAGAGTTACAGGTGGTTATGAGGCCCCAACACAAGTGTAGGGAGAGTTGAACTTGGGTCCTCTGGGAGAACAGCAAGTGCTCTGAACTTCTGAACCATCTCTCCAGCTCCAAGATTTGATCTCAATGCATGTGTTTTCTCTAACTTTTAAAAAACTACTTCAGCCACATCTTTTGCAAAAAGCAACTTTCAATAGGAAAACTTATTGTATAAATGATATTAATGATAATTATTATTGTTTTGTAGCAGTGTTGTGGATGGTACTAGAGCCTTGAGGATTCTAGACCTCTGAGGATTCCTACCACTGAGCCACTCCTCCAGCCCTTCAATTTTACTCTTAATAAATGTTTCAATCCTGCTTTCATAGAAATACATTTTTGCCCACTCACTTAATCAAGGTGTTCCTCAGCATTTAATTAACACACTCCATTACATTCCTAAGTGCTACAGGCAGAGAAGTTGATGTAAGAATATGAACTCTCGGCAATCCTAAAATCTAGAGATAGGCATGTACTGCTATGCTAGGGACAAGCACAAAGTGAACACACAGGCAGTCTGATCTTCATGGTAGCCAACTCAATGGGCAGGCATTTTGAGTGGACCCACTATACGCTCTCTTCACATGTCTGCGTGCTTGAAGCCATGTAGTAGATTTGGCTGTCACAACTAGACCCACCGCTGTCTCTTTCTCCACAGGTTAGCAGAACTATTCCAGAATCAGTCAAACAGTCAGGGTGCGGCCTCCCTGTCCATCTGCACAATATTGCTGGCTGATACTTCAGCATTCATTACGTGACAACTTGCCTACAAGTAGATTCTCCATCTGACTGGATGAACTCAACAGTAGTAATAGCAGCTCTCTGGCAGGCGTTCAGCAGTCCGAATGATGGTGTAGAGAGCCTGGCATGGGACCTCACGAAATAAAGCCCCCTAGGAATGCCCTTGCATGCGAGATACAAATTATTTTCATTTTGGCATTTCCCCTTAAACATAATGTAAACTTTGCAAATACGTTTCAATCAATTATTCCTCAGATTACTCAATGAAATGATGCAGAGGCCATGGCTAAACCTTTTGCATTCATTTTGATGGACCCTTTTTTTTTTTTTTTTTTTTTTTTTTTTTTTTTGAAGCACTACAACTATGTTATTGGGTCCAACCCATTAATTACTATTCAGAAGTCAACTCCCTTAAAAATAAGTATGCCCATTGGCTATCATCCAGTCAACTACACTGATGGTTATTTCTCATGTAACATTTTTTATGATTTTTTTCCTTTTTCAACAACAAAGTAATTTTCAGGGTCCCCATACCAGAGCTCAAGAAAGTGAAGAGAAGAAAGTTCTTAATAATATTGCCTTTTCTTTCCCTTGGAATCAGAACACTGCCCAAGGTTAATGGTTTTGCACATAGGAATATTAAACAATTTGCTTGGGGGGGGGAACCACTCTCTTAATGAGTGCCTTCATTTTTTTATGGCCTCTGAATGCAAAATAGACATTCACTGTAGACAATCTAAAAGACTTAGAACTGCAGTGATCACATGCCCAGTACACACGGCCTACTCTGTGCCCTGTGGGTCATCTGTGCAG